AAGTGTTTCTGTTTGAGCTTGATTTTGCCACAGTTAGCTTTGTTATAATAATAGAACACTTTAAATTGTTAACCTGTTCCATTGTACTAAATATCCCCAATTTGTCCGCTGGTTTATTAATACATTTATATGGTCTAATTGTATTTCATCATGTTGAAAGAGTTGCGTTGCTTATCTTTTTGTTCCGGAGCTCAATGAAAAATATGTGTTATGAACATTAAAACCTGAAACACTATTAGATTGTCTATTTTCATTTGATTATGCCTATGTTATTGTTCTCTGCTGAAGGTTTGCTTCATGCTTATTTTCATTTTGACAGCTATCCACATTATAAATTAGATGTCTGTTTAAAAACTTCTATTAACCATGATCTACCTACCTACCCCACCCCACCCCCTCTCTGAATCTTCTGCTGTTTACAGCTTTATAGTTACATAGCACAATATTATACTGTTTAATGATGTGCACATAACAGAAAACGTTTTTATAAAAACTCCTCAACTTATGACTCCAATTGAGCCCACAAGTCATGGCGGTTGTTAAATGGGTCATTACATGACCAACCTAATTTTATGACATTTTTTTTGCAGCAGTCTTTAAGTGAATGCAGTGGTTGAAAAGTGAATGCTGCAGTTGTTAAATGAACACCACAGTTCTGAAATGAATCCATTGTTTGCAGTGGGTGTTTTTTGTCCATTAAACATTGATTTCTGGCAAAACACATCAAAAATCATGTTCACATGACTACAGGGTGCTGCAAATGGCCATAAATGTGGACCAGTTGCTGAGGACCAAAATGCCACCACATGACCATGGTGTGGGGGGAGTAGTTGCCAGAACTTCAAATCCGGGTCATAAATACTTTCTTTTGGGTCTGTCGTAACTTTGAATAATTGTTAAGTGACCATTCATTAAATGAGGACTACCTAAAGGGTTGTTGTTGTTTTAATTTAAAAACCAAATATGCACAGCATAGTTGATGCATGGAACATTCTTAATGCAGTTTATTCTTTTTTATTTCAGAAAACTGAAATATATAGAATCAAACTAATTTACACATCATAATGTTTTAAATATACTTATTATACTAAAAGTGTATTGGAGGAGCATTTATATTAAAGTGCCTTAAAGAAATCTCAAAATTTCTTTTGAACCATTAATGAATATCACATGGTATTGGTAGCAAAAACAAAAACAAATAACAAAAAGTGTAAATTTATTCCTATTAATGGGTAAGAATCGTGGAAGAGAATAATCATTGGTACATTTAACAAGATAATTGAGCAGCGTTCTCTGTATAAACCATTTAAAAATTGATCATCTATGATTTCTACCATTGAGTAATTTGTATTACAAGTGAAAGAACTATTAGATTGGAATGTAAAATTAACTTAATGCAAAATTAAGAAACAGATGGTAAAACATTATTATAGCTTGCTTTATTTCTGAATTAAGACAAACTATAATAATATTTACTTAATTTAGGAATTGTTACAACTTCTGCTAAGTGTTCACATAATGTTGTTCAGGATTTTTGTAAAATATTTTACCAAATAGTTGCGTAAGAGTAATCTTATTGATTGTTCAAAGCACAGAGACCTATTGAAACATTTAGATTTCTATATTGTCAAATCAATTGAACTAAAATACAGTGGAAAGTGATTATGGAGAAAGAAAGGAAACTTTTTTCCCCTTCTGTACTCATTTAGTAAGTGCTTGTGAAATAATATACTGTAAAAAATGTAAAACCGATTCGATGAATGTAGTCAAATTGAGCAATCCAAAAGGAAACAACAGGTTATTTTAATATAGCTTTTGTTGGTGTAGAAATTAAGCTACTACTTTTTCTACTACTACTAAATGAGTTCTATATAAACAGCTTAGTAATAAAAGTTTATGATACATCTGGGGAATCTTATTTAAAGGTAGAATGTTAAAGTTGTTCTCGGAAAATTGGTAAACCCACACAAATGAACAGTTCAGTAGAGAGAAAAGAAAGTTATCATGGAAGGACAAAGGAAATTTTCCCTAGTTAGACTGTTCCGTATAGAGAATGTAAATCACTATGTGTGGCTACAATGTCAGAAACAGTTCAGTAATTAAAACACAATCATTCTGCTCCGTTCAATATGACTTTCCACTCTAGCAAATGAGTGAGTTTTGCCTAATGAAAGGAGTCTGTTATCTCCTAGCAACCTCCCTCTTTGTAGCTTAGATGGGAATGAAGGTTGAGGCTTGGGAAGAAGGAGAGGGGAGGGCGCTTCAGCTTTTTACTCCACTCTCCACATTGTTTTTGTTTGGAGTAATTGGAGTGATTGAAATTCCAGATCATGAATAACTCAGAAAAATGGTAAGGTTGACACGCAAGAAAAATACGAGTCAAAATAGCATCAATCTCCTATTTTTTTTTTTTATTATACCAGTATTTGTTGTGATTTCTTTAATCATACTGTGTCAGGATTTTATCTTCTTAATATTAGGCTTGCTCATCATTTGATAAGAATGCACTGAAACTTACACATAGGCATAAAATTATGTGTTGAAATATTTGCAGTATAAGAGGACCTCTGGTAGATCAGATCAGACTAATAGAGAATCAACAGCGGCTAATCAAATGCCTCCAAGAAAGATGGGGCATGAGAATGAGTATTTAACTCAGAGACATTCGGTAAACAATTGAAGCTGTGAGGTGAACCTGAATCTTTCTATTCTTTATCTTGCCCCTTAACTACTACACTTCCTTGCTTTTGAGCTAAGAAAGAGGAACTGGCCCAAACTCTCGAAGGGAACTTCCATGATTGAGGGGAACTCTCTTTGGCTGGGGGCTAAAAGAGAGTAACTAGTCCAAAGTCAGCTAGTGGGCTTCTGTAGTGAGAGGGAGGACTTGAACCCGAGCTCCCCACTTCTTATCTATCCTACATCATCTAGTTCTGATATCATTACCTACTTTCACTAGCATTGCAATGGCATTTAGGCTTATATACCACCCAGTGATGCTTTACAGCACATTCTGGGCAGTTTACAACATAGAAGCATTATTTGCCCCCAACAATCTGAGTCCTCATTTTACCAACCTTGGAAGGATGGAAATCTGAGTCAATCTTGAGTGCTGTTGCAATCGAACTCCAGGCTGTGGACAGAGTTTGCCTTCAATACTGCACTTTAACCACTACACCACCATGCTTAGCTTTGAAATACCAATGTACTGGCTTGACATAGAGATGGGTAGACTTCAAGTCCCATAAATCCCCACTTAGCATACTGGCTTGGGAATCCTGGAAGTTGAAGTCCATCCATCTTAAAGTTGCCAGGGTTGAAAAACACTGCTTTTATTTATTTATTTGTACCCCACCTTTATTATTTGTACAAACAATTGAAGGCTGCAAATATATCTGACACACTTTCTTCCTCCTTTTCCCCCCACCCCCCATCCCAAACAACAACCCTGTGACAATGGTTGGGCTGAGAGAAAGTGACTGGCCCTAAGCTTTCATGGCTAAGGTGGACTTGAACTCACAATCTCCCGGTTTCTAGCATGGTACCTTAACCAATAGACCAAACTGGTCACATGCTTTATATGATATATGTTGTCAATTATAGATGGTTTGTATTTTTAAAAAGCCCATATGAAACATTTCTGTAACTCAGAAATGGCAGGGTTTTTTAATGTAACAATTTTAAAATTATTTTATTCATGTACTTTTTAGTAGTCAAATTGATATAAAACAATACACCCAAGTCTTTTGAATTATAACTTCTTAATTTGTAGTATATGAATGTTTTTGCTGTGGAGAAAGAAATAAGATCTTATTCTTAGCAGCTGTTGCCACATGCTCCTGAGCATATTTATTATATCTGGTAGTTGGCTATTTTTGTATATGAATTCTGTAAATATTGGTAGCTTTAATGCTTTTATATATTTTAGTTCTGATTACACACACATTACCTGGTTTATAAAGTGTTTTTTTTTTTTTGGTAAAGTTGTGAAATGCTTTTAATTGCCAGCATAATTACACAATAGGAGTTATAAAGATTAAATACAGTTAAATTTTCAGTCTCTACCCATACTTCTTTTACTTGGCATTATACATTCTTTTCCACCTTTCTCAGGTTTCTTCAGGCTATTGTCATTTCTGGGTTTAACTTATTTATAAAATCACTGATGACAAGACTAGTTGCATATATAAAAACATCAAAGTATAGGGCTTGTCACGTGACTTAAAAAGCATAATGGAAAACGTCAAATTATTCTCTCAATAAAGAATTTCCTAGAACTGGTTAGGGCACAACAAAAATTCAGCTCTGTGCTTTTATATTTTCTTTTACATGATTATATGAGTACATAAACAAAATCAGGTCTGTGGTTAGATCTAAGGCAGTAAGAATTTAGTTAATGAAATGAGCTGTAGGTCTAATGAATAATAATAGGGTATTGCAGTGGCTTAATTGATAGATCAGCATTTGTTGTTTCTGAGTGGGAGAAAAACATACATTTTAATCTCAAAATAGAAAGCATTTGAAAATACAGGAAGAATATTAAAAGGGAGAAAATAAATTTCTATTTATTGTACAGGTTGAATTCAATCAATTTACTGAAATAATTACAATTTTAAAAATATAGTATTTACTTGTTTATCGTTGTGCCTGCTGAGTGGCCAATTTATGATATGAACAAAGTGTTCATTCCAGTTGCTATAATAAATAGTGAATTTGGAAATAGGCATAGAATAGAATAGAATAGAATAGAATAGAATAGAATAGAATAGAATAGAATAGAATAGAATTTTTTATTGGCCAAGTGTGATTGGACACACAAGGAATTTGTCTTGCTCTCAGTGTACAGTAAATTCCAGTAACCAGCTATAAATTTTAGAAAGCTATGTGACAAATGTCAATGTCTTCAGTCATTTCAAAGAAGGAATTAATTTAGGGGAGAAAGCAAAGTATTAAGATTCTGTGAACTCAAGCAATGCTGACTGGCCCTGTGTTTTCTGTTTCAGCGATGTGCATACTGCAAGCACCTTGGAGCCACTATCAAATGCTGTGAAGAGAAATGCACCCACATATATCATTACCCGTGTGCTGCTGGAGCAGGCACATTTCAGGATTTTAATAACTTTTCCCTTCTTTGCCCAGATCACATTGACCAGGCTCCGCAAAGATGTAAGTAGCCATATTAAATAATGCTGAAAATATGTAATAGAGCCTCCTAATCAGATGTTTGTTTAGTTATTTCAAATCTCTATGGATTTGATTGGATATTATTTGCACAGATTGGTTTCGCTCCTTGGCTGTTGTTTTCATATTATTGATTTTTTTTAAAAAAAAATGTTTTAATTTGTTGCGCAATGGGCATCCAAATAAATCAAAAGAATAAATTAAAAAATAAAAGGAATTGGAGTAGATAGATCTGCCCAATTTTACTCTTCTTGTGGGTTTTTGTAAGCGCTATGATGGGATGAAGGATTATAGGCAAGGAGATGGTGCAAAATTAATTTTTCCTCTTTCCTAGCAGTTCAAATTAAATGCTGAGAAATGACAGAAGTCAGATTGCCTTATTATCAGCTAATTTAAGATCAATTTGTCCTGCTCTCTCATCATATAGCATCTTTCTTGAAATATAAATGGCTGTTCCTGCTGCACTCTTCTTTTTAAGTAATGGCAATAATTTCACTAGTACCGGTTTAAATTTAAAGACTATGATCTGTATATAATAACTGACTCATGTGGACATTAAATGTTTTATTTTCTGGGTACATTTTTCATAAGATAGCTTGCACAATCCTTATTTAACACCTGGATAAAATTTATAAAATTTAAAAAATATATCTAGCTGTTCCATCTTTTGAAAGTTATTTTCCCTATAAAATAACACATAATTCATCTATTAATTTGCAGCCAAGGAAGAAGCTAACTGTGCAGTGTGTGACAGCCCTGGTGACCTGTTAGATCAACTTTTTTGTACAACCTGTGGCCAGCATTACCATGGAATGTGCCTGGATATACAAGTGACACCTATCAAACGGGCAGGTTGGCAGTGCCCTGATTGTAAAGTGTGCCAGAACTGCAAGTAAGCAAAGCTGGAATATAAAGTGCTAAAGAACTGGTCCCTCATTTTAAATTATTGTGTATAGGTAGTCTTTCTTAGTGACCACAATTGGGACTAGAAACTCCTCAACTAAATCCTGCAATCACTAAGTGGAAAATCATGTGATCAAGATAGTTTCATGTATTCACTTCTGCTTTGTCATTAAGTGAATCTCTATATCGTTAACTGGAATATCACATGATCATGACTTACAGTTTTACTTTCATGATCTCCATTAACTGATTATTGCTAATCAGTTAGAAAACACATGAAGCTGATCACGTGATTATGGGACATTGCGATGGTCATATATTTTTACACCATTGTAATTTCAGACAATTACTAAATAAGGCAGTTGGTAAGTGAGGCTTACTTGTAGTATTATGAAAAGATGAAGTAAACATTTTTTTTTCTGTTGAATTTAATTTAATTTAATTTAATTTCCAATTTATATACCGCCCTTCTCCCTGAGGACTCAGGGCGGTGTACAGCCAAGATAAAAAACATAGAATACAAATATTAAAAAACATTTAAAAATATATATAAATTTTGGCCCAAAAGTTAAGAAATCACAGACTGATTAAAAGAATTTAAAAATTTCTTCTTAAGCCAACCCGGCTTGCTGGAAAAGATGGGTTTTAAGGGAACGACGGAAGGCATTGAGGTCATGGATTCTCCTTATCTCCGAGGGCAACTGATTCCAGAGGGTGGGAGCCCCCACCGAGAAGGCCCTCCCCCTGGGAGTCACCAGCCTACATTGTTTGGCTGATGGCACCCTGAGGAGGCCCTCTCTGTGGGAGCGCACGGGTCGATGGGAGGTCGTCGATAGCAGCAGGCGGTCTCACAGATAGCTAGGCCCTATGCCATGGAGCGCTTTAAAGGTAATAACCAACACCTTGAAGCGCACCCGGAAGACCACCGGGAGCCAGTGCAGCTCGCGCAGGAGCGGTGTTACATGGGAGCGCCATGTTGCTCCCATCACTACCCGCGCTGCTGCATTCTGGACCAGCTGGAGCCTCCGGGTGCTCTTCAAGGGGAGCCCCATGTAGAGAGCATTGCAGTAGTCAAGGCGAGAGGTGAGGGCGTGAGTGACTGTGCACAAGGAATCCCGATCGAGAAAGGGCCGCAACTGGCGAATCAGGCGAACCTGATAAAAGGTCCCCCTGGTAACAGCCGTCAGATGTTCCTCCAAAGACAGCTGCCTATCCAGGAGGACTCCCAGATTGCGAGCCCTTTCAGTGGGGGCCAAAGACTCGCCCCCAATAGTCAGTGATGGAGTCAACTGACTATATCGGGATGCCGGGAGCCACAGCCACTCAGTCTTGGAAGGGTTGAGCTTGAGCCTGTTGCTCCCCATCCAGATCCGTACAGCCTCCAGGCACTGGGACATCACTTCAAGGGCATCGTTGGGGTGGCCTGGGGTGGAGATGTACAGCTGGGTGTCATCAGCGTACTGATGGTATCTCACCCCAAAGCCACGGATGATCTCACCCAGCGGCTTCACATAAATGTTGAACAGAGGGTGAAAAACAGGTCTTACGGAATTTGGGACCTCTGGCCTCTGGGGGGGTGGGGAAGGCCGTTTTCACCAAGAAAGCCTCTGGAGCCTGGGGAGGGCATGTCATCTTGTGCCAAAAGTGGGAGGAGCGCAGGGGTGGTTGTGCGCGGGGGTGGGATGCATTGAATTATGGGTGTGGGCTTGCATGACCCCCCCATGCTCCCCACACTTTTGGCAAAAAGGTTAGCCATCACTGTTTTAGATTTTATCAACAAATGACACTTGTTTTACTATATTTGCTTTACTACATAACCTAAATAGGTTTGCTCCTAGAAATTTTGATTCTTCCACCATTTTTGCTTGCCTGTGATGGTTTCTCTTCTAAAATAATCTTCCCCAGATGTGGTCTGTGTGACCTATGAAGAATGGAGAAAATAATCTTTTGGACATGTTTTTCAATAGAGTTAGAAATCCCTAGTGTGGTTTTAGATAAAATGCTGAATTTAATATAAAATAAGATGCACCTCCAACTTTTTACACTGTGTTTGCTACTCACGGTATCCGCTATTCACTGTGTTCATGTAAGTTTCAGAATCAAGACAAGTGCTGCGTAATACTCCATGATTTGTTTAACCACTGTTGAGTTTGATATTACTTTTTAAATCTTGTTTCATGTTATTAGATTCTGAGGAGACCTGATAACATAAAATTGCTGTATTTATTCCTTAATATTTGTGAGGCCACGTACTCCCATGCATCATGAATATAATATGCTTTAGGAATGTGCATTGTTTCTTACACTTAAAGGTGAAATGGTATATCCAGTAGAAAAGAGTTGATACTGTGGCATTGGTCCATAGACATTGTGTTTTATTGAGACTTTAGCATTTCATTAGCCTACTTGCCTGCTCTCGCTGTTTATATTCATCTGCCCTGCTTCAAAGTTAACAATATTTTATCTTTTGATCCAATATAACTTAAATTATGGATCTTTCTCTTAGGCAGTCTGGAGAAGACAACAAAATGCTTGTCTGCGATACATGTGACAAAGGGTATCATACTTTTTGTTTACAACCAGTTATGGATTCTGTACCAACAAATGGGTGGAAATGCAAAGTAAGTTTAAATTCAGTTTCCTAAATGTAAAGCTTGTGTGAAATTAAAGTGCAATTTTTAAGTTTTGAGTTTTAAGAGTAATATTCGGAAGGCTGCAGGTGTAATGTTCTTCTGCAGGGCCTTTTCTAGGGAGAACTGCTGCTGCTCAAATGGTGGAATAAAATTTTATTTACATTTTTAATTATTGTTTGTTATTACTACTGTTATACTGTATTGCAAACTGCCCAGCCATCTTTTGAGCAGATGGCACATAAATAGTTGTATTAATAAACTTTAACAGAAGGTATACATTGTTGAGCAGGGGGCAATTTAAAAATGTTCTATATAGATGGCATTATTAGTTGATTGAAGTTTCTCAGTTAACTGATGTTTTTGATATCATAAAATAGAGTGGCTTAAAAAAAAAGCTCATTTTTTTGGACTTCCAGAACTGCAGGGTATGTGCAGAATGTGGCACACGGATCAGTAGCCAGTGGCATCACAACTGCCTTATGTGTGACAGTTGTTATCGTCAACAAGACAACCTGCCTTGCCCTTTCTGCGAAAAATCCCCCTATCCAAACTTGCAAAAAGAAAGGTTGCACTGTCATATGTGTAAAAGGTGAGAAGAGTGTTTTTAATTCTACTTTAATTTAGTCCTCTGCTTGTCGTTAATAGTTTCCAAATCATTTCCAGCAGAATACATCAATATTACTTTTCTTTGGTACTTACCTGTTGCATCCACTACTGATCTTAATTTCTGCACATCAACCGTTGCTAATTGGCCATGAGACTCACTGCTCAAACTCTCACCAACTTCTGTAGAATCCTATCCTATATCATATCCTATAAAGGTTTGACTAAGAAGTGTGGTTGGCTTATTACCATTTATAATGGAACTTATTTCTTGTTAAGAAATTATATGTAAGCGCACAGAACACAGGTAGTCCTCAACTTACAACAGGTTCGTTTAGTGACTGTTCAAACTTACGGCACTGAAAAAAGTCGCTTATGACCATTTATCACACTTAACATTGCAGCATCCCCATGGTCATGTGATTTACATTTGGATGCTTGACAACTGACTCACATTTATGACGGTTGCTGTGTCTCTAAGTCATGTGATCCCCTTTTGCAACCTTCTGACAAGCAGAGTCAATGGGGAAGTCAGATTCACTTAACAACAATGTTACTAGCTTAATATCTGAAGTGGTTCACTTAACAAGTGTGGCAAGAAAGGCCACACTTGGGACAAAAGTCACTTAACCAATGTCTCACTTAGCATCAGAAATCTTGGGCTCAATTGTGGTTTTAAGTCAAGGACTACCTTTACTCTTTTTCTTCATTAATGAGTATGGCATATTACACTAGTTATCCAAGTAAAACAAATATTAAAAAGCCTAATTTGAAATGGTCCAAAATTTTAAAAAGACCTTTTCCCCCCACTGAAAATGTATATTAGTGGAAGAAATTAACACATTAATCTGAATTCTAAACCTATTATTCCCTGCAGGTGGATACACATAGGATGTGATAAGCCTCCTGACAATGAACTGGATATTCATTTAAAAGAATATATCTGCAGTCTTTGCAAACATTCAGATGTAGATCAAGAACATACACAAATGTGTGAGATGATGGAGACTGAACAACTTTTGCCTGAAGTTGACACAGGTATGGGCCACCTCTTATCTGTTTGTGTCTCTTGATGATTTTTCATCTGAAATCTACAGATTTCTTCCTTTTCCAGATTATTGGTGCAATAAAGCACAATTATTTTTTAAAGTCTATATTGCTAGAATGTCTCAATAAAATTTTCCAGAAAGACCTACAAATTTTAGTGTGACTGCATCTCATATTTTATTTTCCTTCCCACCATTTAACTCAAATAGGAACAATTCCCAACTCTTTATAATGTAGAAACCTAATATAGGAACACTGTTCAGAGTAAAATGGCATTTATGATCCAAAGTTTTCCCCATGGTTTGAATGAGAAGAATAATTAAATGTACGAGCTTGATAATGTCTTTGCTTTTGTTTTAACATCTGTGCACATGACATAGAAATGGAAAACATAGATTCAGAAGACATAGGAAACCAGAAGCCGTTAGTACCTGAAGGTGGCCTTGATCAAGAATTGGTGGTTGAGTCTTCTACAGATAATAAGAATGCCTTTTCTTTGACAGCACAAGAGAATATATGTATGTATATAAAATATGATCAGATATTTAGAAAATGTAACAACATTTGAGCAGTGCATTTTCTGTTTACAATAATAAGGGTTTTGGAATAGATAGTAGTTCCTAAAGGTTATAGAAGAAATAGAACTGTGTTTGTATAGATGCAATCTTCTGATGAAATATATAATATAACAACAATTTTTTATTACAGTCAAAGTTCAGAGATAAAAGATATAACTGAAAGAAATATAAAACAGAAAAATAGACAGCTTTTAATCGGTGGAGTTAGTTATTTCTGATCTCCTTTTCTTCAGATTTAATTTTTTCTGTTTGTCGTTCTCACCGTTTAAGAAACTCATTACTTAGGGGGTATGATAGTTTTTTAAACTATTCATTTCTTAATTTAATAGTATCTTACATTACCATTTTATTGACTTTTTACTAATAATATATAAATGTGAATGAATGACATCGCGTAATTTTGTAAAATAATTATTTAATATTAAAATTAAAGCAGAATTTTTTAAAAGTAAGAATAGGACCTTTAAGAAACTCTGATTTCTTAAATTATGCCAGTTTATGAAACATAAATCTGAAATGTCACAATTCAGTTAAAACTGTCCCAATAAACAAATAGGTTCTTACCCAGATATGTTTCTGAGCAAGGTAGATTAATAAAGAAACTAATACTGAAATAAAAATTTTATGAGTTTCAGCCTACAAGATCTGAAAGATCGTTTGAATAACAACAGCAATAGCAATAGCATTTAGTGGCTAAATTATTTACTGGCCCCTAGCACTGTACAGCCCTCTCTGGGTGGTTTACAGTATAAGAATTATTTGCATTTGGTCCCCAACAATCAGGGTCCTCATTTTACCAATCTCAGAAGGATGGAAGGCTGAGTCAACCTTGAGCCCTCTCACAATCGAACTCCAGGCTGTGGGCAGAATTTGCCTGAAATACTTCACTTTAACCACTGCCGCTATCAGGGTGTCAGCTAATTGTTCATCATGATATATGTTTTATTTTGTAAATTATGATAACTTAAAATTCCATCAGACTTAATACAAGTGTGAATGAAAAGCACTTGTGTATTTGTCTAATCATGGATGAAATATTCCTAAAAAAGATGATTGCTGGGAATTTCTAGTTTGCTAAATTTGATACTAAAGTTTATAAATATTCTGGACCAATAAGAATAAAATTATAATATTTATATTATGTGATCCAGTTTGCTGTAGCTCTTAAGGCATTGGCTAGAAACCAGGATATTTTTATTTTGAACCCAGCTTGTGCATAAAGCCAGCTGATTGACTTGGACCTATCAGTCCCCCTTAGTTCTAAGAAACAGGCAATGGCAAATCACTTCTGAAATCCTGCCAAGAAAACTACAAGTCAGTCATAACTCAAAGACACATATTATATTTTAGTTATATATTCTTATACAGGTAGTTCTCGAGTTACTGTTTATTTCATTTAGTTCATTTGGTTACTGTTTGAAGTTATAACAGCACTGAAAAAGTGACTGATGATAGTTTTCACACTTATGACCATTGTAGCATCTCCATGGTCACATGATCAGAGTTCACATGCTTGGCAACTGATTCATATTTATGATGGTTGCAGAGTCCCAGGGTCATGTGATCACCTTTTGCAACCTTCTGACATGCAAAGTCACTGGGGAAAGCAGATTCACTTAATAACAACATTATCAGCTCAACCACTGCAGTGATTCAATTAATACTTGTGGCAACAAAGGTCATAAAATGGTGTAAAATTTAGCATCTGTCTTGTTTACAACATAAATTTTGAGCTCAATTGTGATTGTAAATCAAGAACTACCACTATAAATGAGGCGTGGACATGACATAAATTTATACATTTATTTTATGTCAATAGAAAATGTTCCCCCTTTTATAGTGGTAAAAGTCTAGACTGTTTAATTGAACAGACATATGTTTGGTATCTAAAGATAAAAGATATTTTTTATGTGGTATATAGATTGTGGATTTTTATTTCAAGTTGTGAGAAGTAAATTTATACTTAGGTTAGATAAATACGTGAAGGGATAGATTTACCAATATTAACAGCAACATGCTAACTGGAACCATGTTTTCATATAGAGTAACAGAACTAAAATTCAGCATTCAAAAACAGTCAAGGTAGACATTTATCTGCTTGGCACTTTCAACTTTCAAGGAAAAAAAATAAAAGTATTTTTGAGAGAATGTTGCTTTCTATAGCAGTACCATTGTATGAGATTAAAATACAGTATCCACATTTGTTTCAGGTTTCTCATTAGATGAAAAGAAATATGAACTGGAGACCCAGGTCTCCAATCGTTTTGATACAGAAGAAGGGGAAATGTCTGTTAAAAATCCTCCTGCATCTGATAGCAATCCCTCTGATACAAAGGGGGGAAACCCAGAAAATATTCCAGAAATAACACAGCAAGAATCAGATAAACAAGCTGAAGAAACAAAACCATCAGAGACAAGCACCGAGTTAGTGGAAGCACCCCAAGAGGAATGTCAGCTTCTTCAGAGGGAACCAGAGAATATATCGAAGATACCTGATCCGTTCATTTTGGTCGGTAAAGAGTTAGTCTCCAGTCCTAAGGAAGAACAGTCTGAAATAGTGGCCATTCTAGAAAGTGCAAATGGAAGAGACACTCCTGAAGTGTCACCTCTTCCTCAAAGTGAAAGTTGTGCAACTGAGAGTTGCCAATTGGCAGACAAACCTTTGGAATCATCACCTGAGATGTTTTCCCCACGTCCATCCTCTGTTGAAATAAGCAAACCTGTTGATGGATCTTCCTTGCCAACATCTTCGCTAGAGCCAAGTGCATCCCATGAGATGCTGCAATGTCAGATGTCATCATTAGAATCTGCTGCGGTCCTTCCAACCACATTTGTATCCCTCACTCCAAAAATTGGAATGGGAAAACCTGCTATCACTAAAAGGAAGTTTTCTCCCGGGAGACCAAGGTCAAGACAGGTAAGCGTTTTTGCTAAAACTCATTGCAACCTAATACAAGTAATATCACCATTTGTTTAGTGGCTGTTTGAAGTTACAACAATACTGAAAAAAATAACTTATGGCCGTTTTTCACACTTAACGACCATTGCAGGGTCATGTGATCAAAATTCAGACTTGGTAACTGGTTCATATTTATGATGGTTGCTGTATCCTGGGATCATGTGATCACCTTTTGTGATCTGACAAAGTTAAAATAGAGGGAAACTTTCTTAATAACTCTCTCACTTAGCAACATAAATTTTGGACTTGATTGTGGCCATAAGTCGGGGACTACCTGTAATAATGTAATGTTTTGACTATGGATCCCCATATTTTTATTGTAACTTATAATTATATTGCTATATATATTTGTATGTTTATTATTTTTCATTTTGTAAGCCAACCAGATTTGCCTTGTGGCGAGATGGGCAGCAAATAAATTTAAGAATAAAAATGAAATAAATGATCTAATTGATGTTAGTTCTCTTTGAAAAAGCAATTGTGGCATTTGAGTATGTTATTGCACCAATAATTATAAAGGAACAAATATTTATAGTAATAAATGGAAAACTCCAAGCTAATAGCATTTTGAAAAAAGACCAAAATTAAAAACCTCTTTCAATTCAGATCTGAAATGCAGTAAATGAATCACATCATTTTTTTTCTGCTGCTGCTTTCAGTTAGTATATTAGAGATAATTGTTTACTGGTTTGCTCAAAGCTTTCTATATTGGTTTTCTGCATGAGGTTTTTTCCGAACAGAAAACATATTTTTCAGTATTTTTTTGTTTACTTATATAGAGTAAGCCTTTATTACGTGCAGGTACTATAGAGCTATGATCACAAAGATTTGTAGTACAATTTATTTAACTCACTTCTTTAAATCCATCACCTTGCTTGTAAAGAAAAATAATTTCACTAGTGATTTCATGAACTTATCTGTAGTTTTATCTTCTAATAAAATTTATTTCATTATTTTTATAACTTGCTCTCAGAGAGCATTAAACTAAATGACTATAAATATACATAATGCTTCAACTACACTTATCTGTTTTTTTCCCTACTTCTAATTTATAAAGAAGTTACTACTCCATTATTCCTTAACTTTAAGATGAGTCTATTGCAGTGTTTATGAATTGCAGATTAATTCCTTGTTATTCTATGCCAGGCCAGATACTATCCTAATATAGGCACATGTCTGAATTATCTATCAATCAAGATTATTGTACCAAATAAAGCTCAGAATATTTACAACGTAAAATCTTGTTTCTTCCATTTTGGTGGTGTTTCATCAGAAGATGGAAGCTCATTCTAAATAATACCTTAAAAAAGAGATCATGATATAATTAAGTTATTAAATGATATCATATGCTTTGAATACATGATTCTAAAAAGAATGCTCTTCTTTGAAAATCTTAAAGGCTGAGTAGAATCAGTCTCCTGATCAGGCCCGAATAATAGCGATGGCTATGTATAAAGTACAGACTCAAGGAATTCATTAAATTTTCTGTATGAAATGAAAGCAAACCTTAGCTACAAAAGAAAGGGAGCTTTGCCCACATAGAGCGCGGATTTTGTAGCAATAGCCAACATCCTGGCTATAGAAACCAGACCTCTCATTAGAAATGACACCAAACAAACAGTGATGGAAAAGGTAGAAGGGGCAGCTCCTCCCTTAGACACAGAAGAGGCTGCTATTTTGTAGAGATAGGTATCCGCCCTGTGTCTGTAGTTAAGCCAAAGAAGAAGGTAGACGGCCAGAAAATGAGCTAGGCTCGAGTACTTGGGCCAATATTATTATAGAAATGTTGAAGCAGAAGCAAGAGGAAAGGCTTTGATTCATTAAAAAAGGGTAAGAAGAGTGGTTTTGAAGGGAAAGATAGCCTAGGATGGCAAAAGAGCCACATAGGTCCCCAGACGACACACTCAAGCATTCACATACTTGCAAACTGTTTACTCACTACTCATCACTCTAGAGAAAAATGTCCCTTACTGACTGCTTTCTGTGCTTATTTCCACACACACGTTGTAAAATTATTATCAATTTTATTTGATGTATAAACTTAGCAGTTAAAATAATGTATGTATTAAAAATAATGCTTAGGCCACATACTGCTCAGAGATATCTAAACAGATCTCTTGTCTTTCATATTCATATGGCAGTTTTTATTTTAAATACTGTTTTGTCTGCTATACTTAATAACCCTGGGTAATAATTTAGTTTCAAGTGATCTAATCTACTGTTTCTTACAGTCTGATTTTAAGAGATTAAAAATCTTTATATAACAATAGGCAAAATATTCCCCGAAGTGATACATCTTGTAAAAATCATAGTTATAACCAAATTGCATCTTTTCATTGTCCAATAGTTGTTTATTTTCCTATCTTTGTTTTTATATTTTTATCTTCAACCACTTATCTATCTTCATTCAAACATGATCTTCATCATTTATAGATGTGAATGTTTTATACATTTATTTTCTTCTCTTACATATTTAGGGTACTTGGAATAGCCATAATACAGCAAGCCCACCTTCCTGGTCTCAGGATATTTTAGAAGGTCGAGAAGCATTTAAATCTAGACAACTGCCTGGCAGTGCTATTTGGAACATCAAAGTGGTAATTAATCTTCACTTAACTTTATTGTAGTCATTCACCAGTATTGATAGTCCTTCATTTACAACCTTTTGTTTAGTGACTGTTCAAAGTAAGAGTGGCACTGAAAAAGTGACTTATGGCTGTTTTTCACACTTACAACTGTGGCCGCATCCCCATGGTCACATGGATGATTGGATTCTTGGCAACTGGCATGTATTTATGACGATTGCAGTATCCCAGGGACATATGATCACCTTTTGCGAACTTCTGACAAGCAGAGTCAATGTTTGAGTTACATGTAGTGAACTACTGCCTATAAACTGTGTCCCTATAAATATATTACTGTAGTTGTTAATCTGCAAGGACTAATTCAGTTCTTCTGTATTTAAATAGGGTCGTGGGTCAGGGTTTCCAGGGAAGCGGAGACCACGAGGCGCAGGACTTTCTGGAAGAGGTGGGCGAGGGAGATCAAAATTGAAGAATGGAATTGGATCAATTCTTGCTACAGGGGTAAGAATCTATGACACAGCATCTTAAGTTAATTAGCCCAAACAAAGAGTGCTATAGAAGTCATTGCTGACTTTTCATAAAATAGTTGTTGCCATAATACAAAGTGTCATAAAATATTTCCTGTGCTGATGTTTGACTGTGCTATGCAGTTCAAAATGGGCTGTTTTCAAGGCAGATATATCTCTGAATGTATCCCAATTTTTCCACCGAGGGCAGTATATTAGAAGGTCTGTCATTGTTGAAAGCATTGAGGAAGAAGGAAGTATCTTTGAAAGGATGAGCCATGGTTCATAGACGGTCTAGTATATAACGGAATTAAAATTGTATGCGTATGGTGGTTTGTTCTCCTTCAGTGAAAGACGGATGCAATATTTTGAATGTGTATGACTTACATGTCTACATCTCAAATAATTTATGGTCTATTGTGTAACATGTTAAGCAGTGGTGGGTTCCGCCCGGATCCGCCGAGCCGGTAACAGTGATGATATGACATCACCGAACCGGTTCTCTTTATTCGGGAGCTGGGCCCTCCCACCCCGCCCACGTTATTCTTACCTTTTATTTGGCCCCGGCCCCAATCTATTCGCTGCCTCCCGAGTCCCAGCTGATGGCTAGAAGGAAAAAAACTGTTTAAACTCTTGCCACGGGGCTTCAAAGGGCCGCCCTACAGCTGATCGGTGTTAAAAGGCAGTGTGGTGGTAGACCGGTGCCTCAAAAAACAAATGGGTAGACTGGGACGCTCCAAGAACAAATGGGTAGACCAGGACACTCGAAAAACAAATGGGTAGACTGGGACGCTCCAAGAACAAATGGGTAATTTAATTTAATTTAATTTAATTTAATTCAATTCAATTCAATTCAATTCAATTCAATTCAATTCAATTCAATTCAATTCAATTCAATTAATTTAATTTAATTTAATTTAATTTAATTTAATTTAATTTAATTTATCATATTTCTATGCCGCCCAACTCCCAAGGGACTCTGGGCAGCTTACAACAAAAACTGGTACAGCTCTGCAAGCAGTTAAAAGCCTGGTAGACCAGTACCTCTGCTAAATCCTAAAGAATTATCATATGACCATCAAGCCATTCCCACAAAATAAGCCACGCTCACAGAATCAGTAGTAAAAAAATTTAGAACCCACCCCTGATGTTAAGGTAATTATGATTTAAAGCTGACCAGCTGCTGTAAGGCTGTAAACCGTGATGATGCAATGAGAAAGAGTCAGCAGGGTTATAACTTTAAGAGGCTGTCTATATAGGGGTGGCCATGTGGGGGTGTCTTTCTCTCCTTATGTTCTATCTTCATTATAGTTCTCTGTGTATTTCTCTTCATGTGTGCTTCCTGTTATAGTTGAAGATTGATTGATTGATTGCCTGGCTTTGTTTAGCATGTGTATGTATATATATAACTTGTAGATAAACCACTGTTTGAAAAACCTCTGTGTACTGTATTTTGCTCCTGGGTTGTCTCAAACTAGCAGTCACATGTGCACACTCTGACATAACAGTTAAAAACTGTTATTAAATTATTACAGTATCCCATTTAATTCTTCTGTTCTATTTTGCAGGCCACAGATATGGATAACCTATCCAACAAAGATGAAGAAGAAAACTCCATGCATAATACGGTTGTCCTGTTCTCTAGCAGTGACAAGTTTACTTTACATCAGGTTGTAGTACTCAGATGTACTTTGTTACTTTCTGTGTAAATCTGTCTTTCTGTGTATCTGTCTGTCCATCCATCCATCCAGACTTTTTTTGGAGAGTATTCAAACCAAAATCTCTTCCTATCCACCCACCCCTGCCCAAGTCCCTAGTGGTGGCAATAGGTTACAAAATTCCAGGCACCTGTTAAAATGAGAGAATGTAAAGGGATTCAGTTCTAGAACATCACGTTTCACAGTCCACCCAAGGGAAGAGGGTGTTGGTGGGCCCTCTATGTATTAGGAAAGGGGGATGGATTGACATTAGGCATGTATTATCATGAACAGCTGTCTGATTTCTTTCCTCTGAAATTCTGATAAGCTGCTCATTTGTCTTCCCTGAAAAGATGCAAAAGCAATCTTTGTATTGCCCCTGTATATTTTCCACAGGTATGGAAATATTAACAGTTATGAAATATTTGCTTTGGCTAGATTTGCATAAACACTGATGCATTTTACCATGACAGTGTTACTAAATCTGTGATTTGGTTTTGCGGATTTTACTTTTTTACGTTTCTCACAGATACACTAGAGCAAAAAATAAATAAAATGGCTTTCTTGATCATAACAGCTCACTCCATAATTCTGATTTTCTTTATCAGTAAATCAGCAATATGCCTTTCTATTTAAACAATTGTTCTTTTGTATATTAAAAAAGAAAGTAATTAGATTGAAAAGGGTTTTAGTGTCTTACTGTGGTTTTCTTGGGTCTAAAATCACAAGAAATTTTCCTTTACAAAAATGTGAAAATTTTAAAAGTACTATTGAGTATGTAATAATGCATATATAGATTACGCTAATAAGTGAACACTATACCATGAATCTTCTGTAAAGACATAAGAAACATTTAAAAAAGGATAGATGATAGATAGTCATCAGATGCTCTTGGGGGTTGGAAGGGTTGGAATGCCTAATACTGTCTCTTATTTGAAGATTGATTTTTTTTTAATATTCTATATTTTGATATATTTTGTTTGATATTCCAGGACATGTGTGTAGTTTGTGGGAGTTTTGGACAAGGTGCAGAAGGCCAATTACTTGCCTGCTCACAGTGTGGTCAGTGTTATCATCCATTCTGTGTGGGTATTAAGGTGAGTGTTTTGAAATACCTATGCTTGCATACCTGTTTATCCTTTTTTAAAAAAATTTATTGGATTTTTATTTTTAAATATACATCAATAGCAATACATGAACAGTGTGGCCTCTGTGTATAATTCATTTTGATACAAGTAGCAATAATAATATTAATAATATTTGTTACATTAATCAAATTTATGTAATCCTAGTATTAATATACATGTTTGTTTTAAAGTAGTCATTCAATATTTCAATGTTCCATTTTAATGCCAATGATACTATTTAAACATTCATAGTAATACCATCTTTCAGCCTCTAATCTTTCTATCTAGTTATTGCTTATATTCTAGTATATAAAAATTATATGTGCTAATATTCCCCCTATTTCTTATTTCTACCTCTATTCTAGCTTCTAGTCAGGCCACCATTACTAATCCTAGTATTAATACACATGTTTATATTAAGACATAGTCCTTCATTATTTGGTTATTCAATGTTTCAGTACACCATTCTAGTACCAATCATCATAGTTTTAAAACATACATAATAATAATACCATCTTTCAACCTCCATTCTTTCCATCTAACTATTGCTTTATATAAAAGTGTGCATCTTATTTCGACCTCTATTCTAGTTTTTAAGTCATCATTATATTAGGGAAAAAAAAGAAAAAAAATCCTTTCTATCCATCATCTCCTGCCCATTTTAATACTTCAATTTTTATTCATTTTTTAGCTTGCCTCCCATACTTCTTTCTTAGATCTTTGTCTCTATCAACATCTGTGTCTTCACCATTCAGTCTGCATATTTCTCCCATCCCTAACCCCTTAACCTGCCAGGTCTCCTGCGTCCACCCAAGCCCCTATCTCCCTTTCAAAAGTACCTTCCCTCTTATCCGATTCCATTTTTAAATCTCTTAAAATACTTTTCCCTTGGTTTATTTCATCAGTTATTATTATCTTTATCGTCTTCTCCTTTTCATCTCCTTGCTTTATTTGCTGATTTGTCTGTACTATCTTTTCCTCCATTCTTTCTGTTGTCTCCTCTCTTTCCTGGACTCTTTAATCTTCATTCATTATCAGTTGTAGGATATTTTCTATTTTCCCATTTATGCCTTGCACTAGGTTCTTCATCTCTCTGTGATTCTTTGTCATAGTATCCCTAATGCTTTGAAACATCAATGCCATTTCTTTTGAAATCTTGCTCATTTCCCCCTTATGGAGGATCTTGTCTTATTTTAGTAAGTCCCGCTCTTACTCAATAGTCCAAAAGCAATATATTCAGGTCCAATGTTGCTCCTCAGAAAGTTCAATAATCATAATTCTTTACATCTCAGGATTATTAATCTGCTCCATTTAAGTGGTCCAGGCAGCTTTTTCAGGAGACCCGCTCCTCACGTCCGATCTCACTGCGATGTCAGCTGGAAGTCTGCATACCTGTTTATCCTTAAAAACCCTGTGTAGCTTGGATCTAGATTTCCTTAGGGAGAACATACCCTTTTATATAATCCTACCCTACTTGATGATCCAATGGAAGTCATTTCACAGGAACTTAGAACTGAGCCTTTCTTGTAACTTCCCCAGGTCTCTGGAATGCACACCTTGCTAAACTGAAATGCTTTGTTTTCTTTTCAAAAACATCACTCCTCGATACATTTGTTTTAATAATTAGTCAGATAAATTCATTTTTAAATTTTAGATTTTAACTTGATTAATTAATTTATTTAATGAATTTATATAGCCATCCAACCTCCCCCTAGGTAATTCCATGCAGTTTACAGCATTTAAAAAAATCCACCATATAATAAAAACCATCACCCATCACCCATAGCAGCCACCATACAATCAAAACTTGTTCAATCAAAACCACTTGTTCAATTCTGTCTCTATGTAGGCCTGCTGACAAAAATCATGTTGTTAGGACCTTTTGGAAAAGCAACCGAGGGGGCCATCTCTACTTTGGGGAAATGATATTCCATAAAGAAGGGGTCACCATTGAGAAGGCCATTTTTGCCAGATATACATTCCCAATCAATGAGATCCACAACATACTCTGCTTTCCTGTCCTAGTGGGCCAGGTGGATGTATTAGGGTGGAGGTTTATCTGTATTGTAGGCCACGGAGACAACTTAATAATGGCCAGTAATAAAAACATCAGTATCCGCATCTTCTATTTCTGACAAAATCTTTTAAAATAATCCTTTGTAAATATGTCTATAATTTGTTAGCAGCTTACAAAATACTTTAATGACTTTGTATACATATTATAAAAGTTATTTTCCAGCTATAAATTCTAATAATTACTTGCTATAATGTTATATGTTAAATATAATATATATATAACTGCTCTTTGCTGGATTAACAATAACTGCTGTATTTATTTAGTGTTTTATATTTATCACTAAATCTGGATTGTTAAAGATTTATCCAGAAATTATAAATTGTTTGCTATTATATAAGCTATAAGCTGTTTTTTCAAATGTACTTAGTTTCACAGTAACAATTTTCCATACATATGAGCATTTAACCTAAAATCTGCATACATTTTGTGAAAAGAATTTGCATTTTTAGAAGAATATACATTTGAAACACTTTGTAAAGAAATGCCACTAAAAGGTATTCTAATTGGTCTTGGAAATCAAAACCCCAAATAACTAACACAAACCCCCAATTAACATGGATGACTCAGTTTGTTTTACCAAATTTTAAAAAATGATTTAAATACAAATGTAATGACAAATACTGTGAAGATTTTTTTTGTTTTAAATAATTTGGCATAAGCACAAAAGCTTTCAACATTTAAAGTGTCCTTGATTGACAGGTTAGGAAGTGATTAAAGGACTTTAAAATTTTGCAATTTTATAAAGCACAAGTGATGTGTTCCTGAATATAGGCAACATAGTTGGAATGGAAACCTTTTGTCTCCAATGTTTCTCAATCTTGGTCACTTAAAGATGTGTAGACTTCAATTCCCAGAATTCCCAGCTAGCATATTACTGGGAACATCCAATTGCCTCAGGAAAATAATGTCATTTGAATGATGTTGATGGGATCCTAGGTTATCATCATCCAATGAAAGACAATAAAATTAAATGCATCCCCTTTCCCCATTACATTTGAACAAGTCTTAGGCTATTTTTTTTATCTATTTGAAAAACTATGACATATTTGACATCCCTGGAACTGACAGTTTGAAGTTTTATGAATTTTAATTGCATGTTGCCTTCTTCTATACAGATTACAAAAGTGGTGCTCCACAAGGGTTGGAGATGTCTGGAGTGTACTGTTTGTGAAGCCTGTGGAAAGGCTACAGATCCAGGAAGGTTACTTCTTTGTGATGACTGTGATATCAGCTACCACACTTACTGCCTGGATCCACCACTACAGACAGTTCCCAAAGGAGGTTGGAAGTGCAAATGGTGTGTGTTTCTCTACTACTACTACTACTATTATTATTATTATTATTATTATTATTATTATTATTATTATTATTATTTTACTCTCAATATTTTTATGGGTTTAAATCAAATCTGCATCATGGTTATAGACCACCTTATTTATGAAGGGTTTTTTGCCTGAAATGCATTTCGGTGAGCTATTGGGGGTGCCTAACTGCAGTACATAAAGTATGATCATATTTTAATTAAAGTTCAAATAATACGAGTGGGGAAATCATACATGCCCTTCAGTAATTGATATTCCCAAGCAGAGTAATGTAGGAGCCTAGATTGAGAATTAATTTGCAAACGCTTTGGAATTAGGGATCTTAAAGACTTGGAGGACGCCTCCTGCCTTTTAACATACATATTCGGGCCATTGGATCTAGGGTGATTTAGAATATCATGGTAGCCATGACAACCAAGAACAGTTCCAGCCGCATAGTACATTAATAAAAGAGTATATTTGTAGCTCAAGGTTGAACTATAGAGTCCTTGGTGATCTTTGAGCTTGGTTATTTTCTTGGAGACTTTTCATTACTCAATTAGGGAATATCTCCAGTGAAGATGTACTAAAGATGTTACCTAATTGGGTAATGAAATATCTGCAAGAAAACAATCAAGCTCAGAGAACACCAAGAACTCCATATACTACATCATATTCTAAAGCTTATTTAAATAGACTCTCTTTAGTGGTGACATTTTGCATAATCTCACCTATTACATAAATGGGTTAATGTTTTGTTCATTGGATAGTACAGAAATCTAAGCAAATGCTTATGTAAATACAAACTAAATGTTATTTATGTGCTTGTGTTTTGAAGGTGTGTTTGGTGCAGACACTGTGGAGCTACTTCTCCTGGTTTAAGATGTGAATGGCAAAATAATTACACACAGTGTGCTCCTTGTGCAAGTTTATCCACCTGCCCAGTCTGCTGTTGCAATTACAGAGAAGAAGAGCTTATTGTGCAGTGCAGGCAGTGTGACAGGTTAAAATTTCTTTTACGTTGGGAACGAATATTTTTTTACTTGCTTGTTCATACTGTGTTCCCTTATATTTGTGGGATGAATTTTGATTTTTTTTATCAAAATGATTCTTCAAATTAGTTTTTATTACCTAATCTATAAAATAGTTCAGTTTTTATCAAACCGTTTTCTTTCTCACTCATAATATTGGAGTTATATAGCATTGACAGGAGGATATTCTTCAAATTCTTGGGTAACCTGAAGAAGTTTTGAACAATATTCTTTAAGTAACCTTTAATTATTGATTTATTCTTCACAGCCACACAAATAGATTTGTTCTTGATGGGTCATTAACCTGATCCTTCAGGTCTTCCAATGGTGCAGTATAGTATGGAATAAACAACAATTCCTTGAACATAAAAATCACACTAATTTAAAATATTTCTGTAACTCAGAAAGTAATTGATAAAGTTAGTAAGATCCTCTTGGATTCATCTTTTTTGTGTCCAGCATTTCTTCATAATCTTCCTAATTTATCAACGTAGACAAGAAATGGAACTAAATGACCTCATTCTAATCCCAGGGACCTTGGTCTCTTGTTATCAAAGTCATTGTGAATGTGCATCTACTAAATCTCAAAAATTGAGTTGTACTGGCTCCTTTCAAAAAGCTTCCCGATATAAATAATCCACCATTGGATCCTGAACTAAAGAAGTTTGTTTTATCAAAGCAGCTTGGTTCAAATATATTTTGAAATATATTTGAGAATGCTGGAATTATATAGCAATCCCCAGCTCAACCAACTGGTCCAAAAGGAAATTTTAATAACTAATTTTATTAAACATCTTCTGGGTTTTTCAGGAACTTATTTCTCTGTGGGGACAATATTTGTATTGCATGATAAAATTGCATGCATTTCAATCAACTCCTTTGCCATCTATGCTTTAACTTTCAGATGGATGCACACTGTCTGTCAAAATTTAAACACGGAGGAAGAAGTGGAAAACACAGCAGATATTGGTTTTGACTGCACCATGTGTAGACCATATATGCCATCAGCAAATGGTAAATTCACTTCCTGTTTATCTAATAACAGCACAGTAAGATTTGTTGTAAAGCTTCTCTCTGTCAGATGTTGCGTTAACAAAAGAGACTGTTTTCTTTTGTCCAGATATTTTCTTAGTGCTGTATGATCAGTAATAGAAAATGTCATTAAAAATCTGTTGTTCCTTTAGGTTGTCAGTTATCTTAAAGATATGTTATTAGAAAAGAAATTGTATGAAAATTTTAATAAAATTTTAATAAAAAATAAATTAAAAAAATAAATTGGAATAACAGACATGTGAAAATAGATTAATGAAGATTTCAGTATCAAAATACTGCTATTGAGGACTGCATAACTTAACTAAATGAGAATTTTCATTGTTTATTTTTCCTTTTTCTAGTGCCTTCCTTTGAATTTTGTGAATCATCCTTTGCAGCCCAAATTCCATTAAAAGCAAAAGAACTTGGTAATCATTAAAATTCTTCATTCTCTCCATCTAACTTCATTTCTACTAATAATTCACTGTTGAAGCCAGAATTATGCCTTAAAATTATATAATCAATATAATTGATTTTAATAGCTGGTTTTTGTTAGCTATTCCCTTGTTCATTCTTAAACCCAGCTGATACCTTTCATGAATAAATGTTCAAGTCCTCCTTAATGGAAATTAAATTGCTTAAGTGAGCAAAAGATTACTCATAAAGATGAAGGCAGGCCTTTCTCTGCTTGCCCTTTTAAATATGGTCTTTGAAAGACAGATGCATAATTTGACAAAAATTGGGGTGATTTATTCAGACTTTATCTTTCCCCAATCTATTTATAGTGGAATTTATTATTCTCTGTGTATCTCTTCACTTACATATGTTGAGTTGAATAATGTATGGAGTAGTAGACTCTTTGTAAAATATTATAATTAAATTATAATTATGATATAATTATAATGTTGGTTTTCCTTTGAAATAGTTATGCTGTTTTTCTTTTTTTCTTTTTTTTTTTTTTTCTTTTTTAAATTTGATTTATATGCCGCCCTTCTCCGGAGACTCAGGGCGGCTTACAGTGCGTTAAGCAATAGCCTTCATACTTTTGTATATTTATACAAAGTCAGCTTATTGCCCCCACAAACTGGGTCCTCATTTCACCTACCTTAGAAAGGATGGAAGGCTGAGTCAACCTTGAGCCTTGGAGAGATTCGAACCAGCAGTAAATTGCAGGCAGCTGTGTTAATAACAGGGTGCTTAGACCACTGTACTATCAAGGCTCTTGATCACAATGCTGTGTTCTCTCTTTATCTAATATTAGAACAGATAGTCTTCCATGGTATATTAATTACAATATTTTAAAAATCCAAGAGTTGTGCTTATAAACAAAATTATTAAAAGTGTAAATTCCTGTTGTGGTTCATGCCAATTTTATAGACCCACCGAAGACGTACACTCAGGATGGTGTCTGTTTGACCGAAACAGGGATGTCTCAGTTACAGAGCCTCAGTGCTATTGTACCAAGAAGAAAAAGGGCAAAGCCAAAGCTGAAGTTGAAGATTATAAACCAGAATAGTGTTGCTGTACTTCAAACACCACCTGATGTCCAATCAGAACATTCAAGAGATGGTGAGATGGATGACAGTAGAGGTGATTATTACATGCTCTCTTCCCATTTTATTGAACTATTGGTTAGATTGAAGGTCTCTTGGTGCATTGTGGAAGAAGACGGAATTTATGGAACAAATCCAAAGCACAAAGCAGATGGAATTTGTAACAGGAATGATAGCTGGCTTTAAAATTGTATTAGTTGAACTGGGAAAATTTCAAGATTTGTTGCTGCCTCCAAAAATCAGGGTGACAAATGAGAAAATGCCCAAGAGAGGAAAGGAAGAGAAGACTATTTACTTAGACTATACACTTGATCAAAATGGTGCTTACATTGGCAGCAGATCTGCGAGGCAGTGAGTGTCACTGTATAATTTTTATTTGCCTGAATATAGGTAAACCTTGGATTATGATCACTCATTCAATAACCATTCCAAATTGCAACAGCCCTAAATTTGGGATACTTAGATGGGTCCTTGGAATTCTGGCTGTCGCAGTGTCCCTACTTGGTGATTGTGATCTGGGTGCTTGGCTTGCAGTTATGACATCACAGTGAGCCATAGTCACATGACTGCAATTTTTTATATTTTTTGCTGGTTTCCCAGAAGCAGAGTTAATGGGAAAGACAGCAGGAAGTTGGAAGTCCCAGTTTCTCATGATAGCTACTTATGACATTGAATGCATTGAAAAACATGAAGTGTTTAAAACTCATAATATCAGTGGATCAATGTTATACGTTGGTGTTTGCTATTCTTTGTTGAAATATATGAGTTGACCAATCTTACACAGCAAAGAATGTTTTTGATTTACTATCATATATCATTTAATGAAAAGATAACTTTTGTCCACAAGTGTATAATGGTGTGGTTAAGTGTATGCAAATTATTAATGATACCATAAATCTGAATCAGAAAAATGGCTGATTGAATGTCATATCCTAAAATAAGCATGCTGTATTGGTTTACAACAACTTTCTAACTTTCTCATCACAGATTAATTTACTTAAAACAAAACAAAACAATGCATTGTGTAGCAAATGCTATAGAATGAAATTGTTAAGGCACAGTGATAGAGGAAGCAAAATATTATATGAGGTTTGAAAGAAACATATTTGCCACAGTATGCTTTGTTCTTTGATCTCAAGTTCAATTCCAAGCATTGTCTATCCAACAGAATCTTACTTTGGTCCATGATCAGATGATAAAACAATATAGAAAAACATAATATTGCAGTATTAGTATGAGGACCATAGCTGAATAGGAAGACAGTGAGAACAATATCTTGTCACTGTTAGGTAGCATTCTTGTCATTGGCTAGTGTTTCCTTCAATCTAGAAATAGAATTTTGGATTTCCACTCTTCTTACTCTTTTTGGATTTCCACTCTTACTGCAGAAACTCTTAGTTCAGAATTTTTAAGTGGTGACATCATATAATAGAAAGAGACATGAGATCCACTGAAGTCTTTAAAGTCTTACGGTAGTTAATGAGGAATAACTCCATGTGTAATACATTAATAAATATTATGGTAGTAGACATTGAATGTTAAATATATGTAGTCCTTCCTTAATAACCATTAATTCAACAACCATTCAGAGTTATGATGGTGCTGAATCACTTGTAGTTTACACACAGTCTCTGAAGTTACAGGCAATGCAACACCTTCATAGTCATGTGATCAGAATTCAGATGCTTGGTGGCCCATCCACAGAACAGCAGAGGAACTTCAACTTTCTCCCATCTATCTCCATCTCTACCCTTTTGGCATCCTGCACAGTGGCACTCCATGACAGCAGCACTGAGACTGAATTAGAAGTCCAAGAGGTCTCAGCCAGTTGCCATCTTCCCCACTACTTTAGTTCTGATGCCATCAACCAGAGTGGGAAGTGGCACCTCAAGCCTATGCCTTGGCCAGCCACCGTGCAAAGCCACAGCCACCCTGAATTCTGCAGACCCTGCCATGCCTATCTGACCTTTGTTATCTTCTTCCCACTGCTGACAAGATGCCCTTAGCCTGGCCCTATGCCAACTGCTGGTCGTGCATAGTGTGCATGCCCATTCTCCAGCGCGCTGCTTGGAGAATCCAAGTGTGGGTTATCTCTCATCTATTTGCCAGAGATTGAGTGTAGATTTTTTCTTTTTTTGTTGACCATGCCTCCTCTGCTCAGCTGAGCTTCAGTTTTTTCATGAAGGTGCAGTCATCCATTGTATCCAACCTGTTGCGGAAGAGAATCACCCCGGATCCCCGGGCGGGAAGCCTAAAGGGCGGGTTGGATTCTCCAGCAGCGCGCCAAGAAGGGACTTTCAGGTATGTCAATGTCCGTTCTCCAGCGTGCTGCTTGGAGAATCCAAGCATGGGACATATGCAAGCTAGATCTCTATGGACAGGAGGCTGCCTGATCCCGGGGTTCCGGGATGGAGTGTACTCTCTGCAGCACTCGTCGTCCAAAGAACGCCTCAGCCAAGGCATAACTGTCTAACTTGTAGTGATGGATAAATGGTGTCAACGAAGACCAAGTGGCCACCCTGCAAATGTCACTAACGGAGGCTTGGGTAGCCCAGGCAGCTGTTGTTGCTGCACTTCTAGTTGAATGGGCTAAAATTTGTCCTGGCAAAGGCTTGGCTTTAAGTGCATATGCCTTTGCAATACACGCCTTCAGCCAATAACCCACGGTGGAGGGGGAAGACTTTCCTGCCCATTGATAATGGATGGAACAAAACAAACAGAGCTTCCAATCTTCTGAAAGGTGCCGTTCGTTTAATGTACCTGCGGAGGGCCCTCCTAACGTCCAAGGTGTGCCATTTTTCTTCCAATGGATGTTTGGGATTTAAGCAAATCAGGCAAAATGAGCTCCTGGGCCTGATGAAACCAGGAGTTCGCCTTGGGCAGAAAGGAGGGATCCAGCCGCAGGACGACTTTGTTCGAATGGAAGATACAAAGACCATTGGGCCATTGGCCTGCAAAGGTCCTGCAAGGAATGGTAATGGCCTCCTCGTTGTAGCCCTGCTGTGATTTTTGAAATCGCATCAGAAATCAGATTCTGAATGTCCAAGAACAGTCCGGAACCCTGAACCTCCTCCGAGCGGAGCCTCCCTGCTGTTGGGGTAAAGGTTGCCTCAGGGACCGAACCTCTGGTAGAGGGAGTCACATGCAACCAGGGCATTATAGTGCAGGGCAAATAGAAAGAATTTTCCTGGGGACCTGTGATAGAAGTGTGTTTTTGCTCCGCAGCCCTGTCTGGTGACCAACATAGTGGGTCTTCCTCCATCGGTTTAGGTAAATTAACCGATCTCTCAGAGTCAGAAATCATTGCTTCAGCAATGGAAGCCATCTGATGCTCTTTAGTCTGGGCCTTCTGTTGTGCCTTAGTAAACTGTTTTTCTAAGGCTTTGTGGCATCTCTTAGCGTCTTTATCCCAGCCAGAATGCCCTTTTGAAGGCAGTGGGGTAAGAACCCTGCCTTTGCCTGTATTACTCCTGGTGGTTGCCTTGGAGCCCTTAGAACCAGGAGATTGTGCCCTGCAAGGTCTGGAAGGGCTGTCATCCTGTTCAGTGTCTGAGGACAGATTCGCCATTTTGTACACTGCCCCTGTAAGGTTTACAGACCAGTCAGACATCTTCAGCACAGAACAGGATCACGAGAGAGGGCTGCAGAAGCTGATGATACTTGCAGTACAGATCAAACCTCACAAACACAATTATGACACCACTCTGTTATGCTTGGTGAATATTTGGTGTGAGAGCTAATTAAACTCTCCAAATGCCGCCGTGAAGTGCTGCAAGATGAGGCTCTCTCACAGCCGTAGCAATTAGGCGCACAATTCAGTTTTGGCGCCTCCGCTGTTAATAACAGCCTCCAGCTGTTATTAAGCAAACTGCACTGTGAGAAATTGCACGAAGTGTGAGTGTGACTGTGGGTGCAGAGGGAAGCCCAACTCCCTCTGCGCTGCTTCGCTGCTGGGCTCAATGAAGGGGTGTGCAATTGAAAAATTGAAACTGCAAAACACCCACACAGCTTGTCTGCAGTAAAGCAGCACTGAGATCCCTCAGTGCCTTCCAAGCGAGCCGTTAGCAAAATGGTGCAAGAGTGGAAACCTGACTCTTTCGGCACTGCCGCAGCCTAAAAAAACTGAATAACTGGTGCGAGAGCGAAAGACTCTCCCAGCGCCGCGAAGCATCACACTCACCTCGGAGTTCGCCGTGGCTCACTGGGCAGTGACTCTGGAGCCACCCTGGAATTGGGAGATGAGGTGGTGGCAGTTGTGCTGGCAGACCGGGGGAACCAGCACATGCACCGGCAGCAAATGCAAGCGGGGAATCAGCCTCCTGTTATCCAGAGTTGTCCTATAAGGGACAGAACTCTGGCCGCTGCACAATGTCTTACAGAGGCGGTAGCAATAAGCCTGGGTCCCCAGGCACAAGTAGGCCACCGCCAGCAGCGGAGGAGACAGGCACCAGCCAAAGGCTGCTCTACTGCAGACTCCTCTGTAAAACAAAGATAGAAATTGTCAATTCCTCACATTGGTTGGAAATCCAAACTGGAATAATTCACTATGATCTAACTGCCAGAGCACTTCTACACACATCTCTTTAGCTAGACTGAGTGGGAAAACTGAAGCTCAGCTGAGCAGAGGAGGCGTGATCAACAAAAAAAGAAAAAAATCTACACTTGGTCTCTGGCAAATAGATGAGAGATAATGCACACCAACCCAATCTTGGATTCTCTAGCAACATGCTGAGAAGGGACATTCCGGTAAGTCAATGTCCATTTTCGCTATACTTCAGATGTCTCCAGAAGCTTTCTGAAGGCTTTCTGAAGCGGTACGAGAATGGGGCACATGATTTGGACATCAATGGCAAAGTTTCAGAAGTCATGTGAAGCATTGTAAGAATGGAACGCACTATGGGCAATGGCATATGTATCCTTGGGAAGAAAGTTTGGCATATCAGTTGGCATCTGATAGACTGTCTCTTGCCGGTCACATCCACCTGACCTACTAGAGCAGGGAGACAAGGAAAGTTGTGGGTCCTGTCCCGTAAGGAGGTAGATCTGGCGGGACCCAGAAGAAGGGTCTTCTCTGTGGTGGCTCCCTCCCTTTGGAACATCATCCCTGCAGAAATTAGACTGGCCCACTCTGACAGGCTTTCAGAAAGCCCTCAGGTTTTGCCTGTGGGCCTGGAGAACCGAGAGTGTGGTTGAGCTCATCAAATGGATTATTTAGTAGTGTGCTATTGCCAGTAGGGGGTGAGTAGGGGGTTATTTTTTTAAAAAAAATGTTTTAGATTGTGTTTTTAATGTTTGTAAGACACCTACAGTCGCTGGAGCAAGTAGGCAACTATATAAATTTTCTAAATAAATAATTAAATCTGCCTTGCTTAGGGCCAGTTTGGTTGCGCCTCCTCAGTGTGAGAGGCGAAGATCAGCTTGGCGCAGCAGGGCTATAGAGTCATTAATATAGTTTTCATTCATTGATCTAATGCCTAAATACTTTAAATGCCTATTGATACCTATAATACCATTATATTACAATGCCCAGTTGTTTCTTAACAGCCTCTGTTTATCAGTTGCCTCAGCTAAGTTCATTTCAAAGCTTCTTCAGGAAGTTGGCTTCAGTTATCTTTAACAAACAAGTTTCCATACTTTATTGGAGCACGTTTTATATGGAGCTGTCTTTAAATACTGGATGGAAATTTCACTGGGTTTAGATGAAGCAGCAAAATTAAAATCTGGTATATGTATTTGAGAAAAAGCCAAGCAAATACATAAAAAGCTGTTTTAGTTATTATCCTGGGCCAATTAACAGCACTATTTTGGGATTTTAAAGTCTTAATTAACTTGAACATGCGTTTGGCCTTGAATTAAGCTTGCTTTAATTTAATCCGTTATGATCTCTGAAGGCTTTCTGGGATGTAATGGGGTGGTAATATTTATATATGCCAACCTTCGTACAGGAACTCAAGGTGACATTGTTCCCTCTCCTATTTCTCCCTACAATGACAATCCTGTGAGGTAGGACTTGCTGAGAGAAAGTTACTGGCCTTAAATAACTTAGCAAGCTTCTATAACTAAAAGTGGACTTAATCCTGAGTTTCCCAGGTCCCAGTCCATTATCTTAACCGCTACACCATGATGTCTCACAAATAGAAATGGAATATAGAATAAAACTTTTTTATTTATGTCCCTGTGATATGGTTAATATTCAATTTTAATGGGATTTTGTTATGATTATTTTCAAAAGGTTCTTTGGTAACTGAAGAGTCTTTTATATGAGCAATTAAGTAAAGGTGTATAAATAACTCCAATCTTTTTCTCCCCCACTTTTTAACTTGTTTTAATTCAGAAGGAGACCTTATGGATTGTGAAGGAAAATCAGATACAAGTCCTGAACGAGAACCTATAGATGATGATCCTAAGGGAATGGAAGCAACTGAAGGGATCAAAAAAAGAAAGAGAAAGCCATATAGACCTGGTAGAGTACATACTCCAGATGTTTTCATGTTTATTAGGCTTATATTTATTAACTATTATTTATTTTATTTATTTTTTTATTATTCGAATTTCTATACCGCCCTTCTCCTTTCGGACTCAGGGCGGTGAACAGCCAAAATAAAAACATTTATACATAAATACGATTAAAAATAGATTTAAAATAATTAAATTTGGCCCATACATACGCATACATAATACATAAATTTGGCATACATAAATTTGGCCCAACTACATACGCATACATAATATTTTATTTAGAAATGAGGTTAGTTAAGTGTTGTTGAGAATTACCCGATCTGTTGTATTCTGCAGTTTCATACAGTGGTTTTCATTTTCAAATACAGGTAGTCCTTGACTTACAACCATTTGTTTAGCGATCGTTCAAAGTTGCAACAGCACTGAAAAAAGGATTTATGACCAGCTTTCACACTTAACGATTGTTGCAACATCCTCATGCTGATCCACAGGATCAAACTTCAGGCCCTTGGCAACAGGCCCCATGGTCATGAAACCATCATGGCCATGGGACCTATCCAGGGTCCCAGGGTGATGTGATCACCTACTTGGCTTCTGACAAGAAGAGTCAATGGGGGAAGTCAGATTCACTTAACAACTGTAGCAAAAAAAGTCATAAAATGAGGCACAACTCACTTGACTATTGCCTGGCTTAGTATGGAAATTTTGGGCTCAGTTGTAGTCGTCAGTCAAGAACTACCTGTACTGCCTGATTATCAAGATGTATATGCCAAAGTTAACAAACAACAGGGTAACTTTTCTTTATAAATAATAATAATAATAATAATAATAATAATAATAATAATAATAATAAAATCCTCATAGCTTCCATGCAAAAGAGATATAAACTTAGCACAGTTTGACCATCACAAATTTTAATGTTCAAGAGAGAAGTGAGGGTTTTTTCAACTGATATTTCTATTGATAAACAAGTCATCGTTGGATTAATATGGGCAACTGTTGGATTTCTTATGCATCATATTGAATTCTTATAGACGGGAGCTATATCATCAAGCAGAAATTATAGATACTCAATTTTTGTTGATTCCCTATTATCTTTATCTATTATCTTTTATTACCCGGGTACCTTCGAGACCGTCTTCTGCCACCAATAGCCTCCCACCGGCCAGTCCGCTCCCACAGAGAGGGTCTCCTCAGAGTGCCATCGGCCAAGTTATGTCGGCTGGCGACACCCAGGGGGAGGGCCTTCTCTGTGGGAGCCCCAGCCCTGTGGAATGAACTGCCCCCGGAAATACGTAAGAGCTCCGACCTCCGGGTGTTTCGCTGCGCACTGAAGACCCTGTTGTTCCGCCAGGCTGGCCTATCAACATAATAATTTTAAATTGGGATATTTTAAATTTCTGGGGTTTTAAATTGAGCCAAATTTATTTAATCATTTTAAATTTTAAATCGTTGTTTTGTCTTGTGTTTTTAAATAGGCTGTACACCGCCCTGAGTCCTTCGGGAGAAGGGCGGTATAGAAATAAAATTATTATTATTATTATTATTATTATTATTATTATTATTATTATTATTATTATTATCTTGACCTGGGAAATAGTTCTTAGTATGTCTTAGAAGGGCAGGCTGCCTAGAAAAGGGCCAGCACCTGTGCTGCTGTTGTCCTGCCTCTTTAAGCTTCTCCCCAGCCAGCACAGCAGGATATGCTATAAAAGTTGTGCTGAGAGATAGCTGGGTGTTGTGGTGCTGGTAAGAGGAAAGGAGGTGTGTGTTTGTGTGTGGAAATAAAGTAACTACAAAAATTAAATATATTTGATATCTAGAATTGCCTTTAGTAGCTTATTATTATATTTGAATGACATTATGTATTATATAGAAGTGACTACAAAATGTCTGCACTACAAAAGTGACTACAATAAAGATGTTTCTCTTTATTTAAATAACTTAATTATAACTTAATAATCTAAAAAACACAGTCACCTGTGTGAGTTGGGTGGCTATCTAAATTTGCTTAATAAATACTGTGAACATAATTTTTATAGGCATTGGTGGATTCATGGTACGGCAGCGGAGTCGTACAGGACAAGGAAAAATGAAAAGATCTCTCTCTAGAAAAGATTCTTCTGGTTCTGTATCTGAGCAAATATTCAGCAGAGATGAAAGTAGGCATCTAGCAATTTATTCTCATAGTTCTGTGTCAGTGCCATGTCCTGTAATATAGGATAATTATATTTTAATTAGTTATCTTTTTTTAACCTCGGTTTTTTTTCCCCAAAAGCTTAATTCATTGTCATTCCTGAAGATATTACATGATTGCATTCTTATATAGATTCATGTATTATAATTTGAGACCATTTTTCATTTTGAATTAAATTCTGCCAGATTTACTTTGAACATAAATGTATAGTTCTACAACTTTGTTAACCATTCTTACTAGAAACAACCTTTCTAGTAAAAAAGCATCCTTGTGGCAGTTCATTTATGCAAAGCTGGTGTATTATGAAGAGATGCATAATTTAGTAAAGCTTATTGAAATGTGAATTGAAACGCAAATTGTTTTCATTAATGTAAAAATAGATGATGAGCCCAGGAAAAGCAGAATAAGAGTAATCCACTAGAAACAAATATTAGAGAAATATTCAAGTAATTTAGAATCTTGGTGACTGCCTGGATAGCTTCCTTCAGTTTTCTTGATAAGATTTTTCGGAAATGGTTTGCCATTGCCTCCTTCCTAGGACTGAGGGAAAGTGACTGGCCCAAGGCCACCCAGCTGGCTTTGTAACTAAGGCAAGACTAGAATTTGCAGTCTTCCAGGTTTAGCTTGATCCCTTAGCCATTACACTAACGGCTGAAATTCTAAAGAGAGCTAATGGCAAAGGAAGACCATCATAAAACAATATAATACCTATATAATAGGTATTATGCACCTAAAATATCTATAATATAATACCTAAAATACTTTAGTATTGTATGTTAAGTATCTTTCTAAAAAGCTCTGCTCCTTTTGAACTGACAGTCTGAAAGCCATGGCATAGAGAATAGGTCCTTCCATGGAGATTGCAGGTGACAGTTTCTTTAGAATGTGGTGCCAAGTAGTCTTGTATACCAATGCCACATGTTATCTTTACATCACTTTTATCAGATTTTCAACATTTGCTGTTTTTAAATTGGGAAAAGAACTAATCAATACCCTCTTTCTGTACTTCAGATGTAGTCTAGAATGAAATAGGGTTGTAACATTGTACCTGTTTGATATTTCTAGGTTGGAGTGAACAACTGCCTGATACACTTGTTGATGAAACTATGTCTGTTTCTGAAAATATGGAAAAAATGAAAAAACGTTATAGGAAAAAGAAAAATAAGCTTGAGGAAATTTTCCCAGCATATTTGCAGGTACTCTCATAGCTATGCAAAATATTTTCCCTAAGATCATTATTTGCATGTAGTAAATAATCTATTTGTAATTTAAGAAATTGCTTTATAATTTGTAATCCATTAACATTAGTGTTAATTTCCTAGTTCTATGAATATTTTATTGTATTTCTGAAAAGTAAAATATTTTAATATATTAACATTAATACATTATAATGTTTTGAATGCATTAATATAGACATAGTAATATAATATAAATAGTTATTTATAGTCTAATTAGCTGAAAGAATTTCTGTTTTTAGAATGAACACACTTTTGTTCATGTTACTGAATTAGCCAAAAGGCAATAAGGTTATTTAAATTTTACTTATATAGTAAAATTAATTGCTTGGATTTTATGATAAATGAATAGTAGGAACTTCATAGAGGAACCTGTCTGATTGAATATTTTGAATGCTTTTAAATCAAAAGTGAACAACAACAGCAATTTTACATAAAGAATCATAATTGAGTTAAATATGAGTGTGTTTTATAACAAGAGCTGTTAGCTATATATTTATTTATATATATAAAAGTGAAAACCACTCACTCCATAATCATGAAATCTCCAGAACCGTAAAGCCTACAAAGTTGGAATTTGCCACATGTGTTTCTCTTGGCTTCTAGGTGCTTACTAAGAAAGGATTTTTCGAAATGACCATCAGAGCATTAGTATTTCCTATGTTATGATTAACACGCTCTTATGCTGTTCTACTCCCCCTCCCCACCTGAAAAGAAATATGTTCCAAATGCAAAACACAAGCAGAGGAGAGGAGTTTCACTTTCAGTTTTACTTTCACAACAGCAACCAGGGAATAGGATAGGGGAGGCTTCTATGGGGCAAGCCTGAGGGAGAGAAGGGGATAGGATAGGAGAGGCTCTGTGCGGCAAGGCTGAGGAAGAGAAGGAGATAGGATAGGATAGGGTTCTATGAGGCAAGGCTGAGGGTGAGAAGGGGAGAGGAGAGGCTGATCGTAACTACTCATTAATTTTCAAGCTGTAAGTGTCAATTTATCAAGCCCGATTACATGGCTTTGTAGCGAGGCACGGGTATCCAGCTAGTTAACTATAACATTAACCAATAAGTATTTGAATCGGTTTCAATTTAGATTCAGATTCAAATATAGGAATCCTGTGGCTTATAAAGACATTTTAATTAAATGCTTGTTTTTGTTTGTTTGTTGCTTGTTTTAATTCTAGGAAGCTTTCTTTGGAAAAGAACTTTTAGATACTAGTAGGCAAAGCAAGCCACGTTTGGATAATTTATGTGATAAAAGCCTCAGCATTTCCTGCAAAGCAAATCTGAACACCAATTTCTTAGACCCATCTTCAGATCCACTTTTGAGTTCAACTTCCACTTCCACTCCCTCAAAATCTGGTGCACAAGGTACATAAATCTGAAGATATTTTTGCATGGGGTGTGCATGGGCACGGATCAGAAGAGGCCTTATTAGAAGAGCCTTTTAGTAAAAGTTACCTGTTTAATGTTGTAGTTACTCTTTGGAGTTCCTTCGTTCAGAGATAGAGATGATCTACTACCCTGGGTAGTTGAAATATTTGTTTACTAAGTTTTGAATGTTGCCATTCCTGATGGCATCTTTATTATGTTTGAGTCTGAGCTGTCTGTTTTCTAAAGGTACTCTGGATGACCCATTAGCTGCCCTTGTGCTGAACACTGAGGATGACATCCTTGGAATTCTCTCAGATGATTTAGTGAAACCTGGGGATCATTCAGGTACGATTGGAAAAATTGTTCTTTATGATGTTCTTGATTGCTGGTTACTTACACTTGAAACATTCACTCAGGGCTCTTTTTTATTCATATTACGGTATCTCAGATGGCAAAAGGCAAATCATTTTCCTTTTGAACGTTCATATTTCTGTCTTGTGAGCCCCTCAATATATATGAGTAGTCTTAGGACAGCAATTGGGACCAGAATTTTCATTGCTATGTAAGGCGATTGTTAAGTGAGTTGTGCCCGATTTTACAACCTTTTATGCCACAATTGTTAAGCAAATCACATTGTAATTGAGCAAATTCAGCTTCCCCCAATGATTTGCTTGTTAGAAGCTGGCTGAGAAATTGCAGATGGGGATCATATGATCTCAGGATGCTACAACTGATCTAAATACATGCTGATTGCCAAGCCTCCAGATTTTAATCATGTGATCATGAAGCTGCTGCAACAGTTGTAAGTGTGAGGATCAGTCATAAGTCCCTTTTTTTAGTGACATTGTAACTTCAAACAGTCATTAAACAAAGGGTTGTAAGTTCAGGACTACCTATACATGTATTTGTAAATAGGCATAATTTTTACATATGCTTCTACTAGTCAAAGCTGTTATCCCTTGCTTTGCTTAATACATCTGTCCTTTGTTTTTTTTTAATTGTCCTTTATTACTCTGGGGATAACTTTCAGAGTTTTTCATATCCATGAACTATTTCAGCATGCAGCTATATATACGTTTGATTTGTTCTTGCTTGCTTGCTTCACTTTTTTTTTTTTTTTTTTTTTTTGTTATAATCATCCATTTTATCTGGTTTGGATCCTGTAGGTCTTGATTTATGCACTTTCCAAGTTGAGAATTCCTCTTCCCCTTTTGGTAAGGAAATATTCAGTGGATGATCGGTGTTTAGAAGTAGTTCTGTTTCCTAATGGTTTCAGCTGATTTTTTTAATGCATAGTGTAATAACTCTTCTGTTGCCTCACTTTCTTTCATTTTTCACTACCTTCGTGCAGAGTCTTGCGCAGTGTAACATGCCTGTATTTTTAGTGTACTTAGAAGAACTTGTTTTTTTAATTTAAAGAATATTGTGAATAACTACAGAATTGTCTATGTGTGCATTTCACAATATCAAGTAATACATTTCTCTTAAACTTACTTAAAGCATTTCATGTCTCTGTTCAGAGTAGTGGACTTTTTATTTACACCAATGAATATAAAAGCATGGGGGGGAACCTTCTGGTTTTTAATTCAGCTTTGGAATGTTATTGCAAATATAAGTAAGAATGCCAGACATAACGCCTAAGGTTCGTATTTTTAGAAAAGAGTTATTTTCAAAAAAAAAAAAATTAAATGTATTATAAGAGCTCTAAAATTCCGCAGTATTTTCATTTCTGGTAAGTGTTCTGTTTTTAGACATAAAAAGCCAGTCCCTTTGAGATAGGCCAGGTCAGGAAAACATGTGCTGCATAAACTACAAAAACATTTCATTGTTACAGGTTATATTGGAATTTTGAAAACCTGTTTCCCTCTGCTCCCAATTATATAAGGACAATAATGTCAGATTTAACTTGAGTTTCTTTCTCACCCCCTTTCCCTTCCTGGAGCCCAGAGTTAAGTGGATATAAATACCGTATTTTACAGAGTATAAGAAACGTACTTCCTCCCCCCCTCCCAAAAAAAAGCGGGTGGAAATGTTGGTGTGTCTTATACACCAAATACAACCATTCTTGGCCTCCCAAAGCCCCGCCCTGCTCATCCCATTTTTGCAAAAAATGAGTCTGTTTTTTGCAAAAATGGGGTGCACAGAGGGTTTGGGAGGCTTGCAGAGTGCTCTTGGGGGCTGGGGAGGGCAAAAATGCCCCCGTTTTTTGCCTGCTTTTCACAGGCAAAAACCCCAGAAGCACTTTGCAAGCCTCCCAAACCCTCTACGTGCCCTGTTTTTCGCAAAAATGGATGAAAAACGGGGCACGCAAAGGATTTGGGAGGCCTGCAGAGTGCTCCTGGGGGCCGGGGAGGGCAAAAACTTATTTTTTCTTACTTGCTTCTTTGAAATCTTGGTGCGTCTTTTACACCAGGTGCGTTTTATAGTCTGAAAAATACGGTAGTCCTTGACTTACAACCATAATGGAACCTACCATTAGGCTTGCAAGTTGTTATGGTTGTACAGCAGGTCATCATGTGACTGACCCAATTTCACATTATTATTATTATTATTATTATTTGTGGTAGTTGTTAAGTAAATCAGAATGATCATGAAGTGAATCCATGGTTGCTACAGTATGTCACAGAAGTGAGTACACCCCCTCACATTTTGTAAATATTTAAGTATATCTTTTCATGTGACAATACTGAAGAAATGACACTTGGCTACAATGTAAAGTAGTGAGTATACAGCTTGTATAACCGTGTAAATGTGCTGTCCCATCCAAATAATGCAACACACAGCCATTAATGTCTAAACTGCTGGCAACAAAAGTGTCATTTTTTCAGTGTTGTCACATGAAAAGATATACTTAAATATTTACAAAATGTGATGGGGGTGTACTCACTTCTGTGACATACTGTAAGCAAACGGCTCAGTCATTAAGTAAACTCTTGGCTTGCTATGTATCATTTTTGCTGAAAAACCAAGAATAAATGCTGGTATTCAGAAAAACGTTGTAAATCACTGTCACATGATTGCAGAGCACCACCATAAATGCAGGCTGGTTGCTGAACACCCAAAATATGGTCACGTGAGCATAGGTGGTGGGTGATTGTCAAAACTTTGGAATTGGGTTGCAAATATCTGAAGGTTGTCCAAAGTTATCTGCAGGTTGAATCAATGCAACTGGACTAATTTTTTTATAGTTAGTTTGAGAGACAATTCACTGCCTGTCCAGACAGAGTAAGGAAATTAGTCATTGGAATGTACCAACTCCTTCCACAACAACCTCAGGGGTTGTTTTCTTCCCCAAAGTGCATTGCAAAATATCGATGAAGATTCTCAATCATCCAGATAGAATTGTCGAAGTTTGTCGGAAGGGTGAATCATTGCAACTGGATTGATATTTTGGTTGTTTGTTTGGGAGATGTTTCAGCACACTTTGGGGAATAAACCCCTGAGAATGGTGTGGCAGGAATTGGTACATTCCAATGACTCTCTGCCTAACTGCCTTGTTCTGACTGAGGAAGCTGCCTGGATGGGCAGCAAAACGTCTCTCAAGCTAACAATAAAATTCAGTGCAATTGCACTGATTCAACCTTTAGACAACCTTCAGACAACTCTACCTGGATGATTGAGAATCTTCATCAATGTTTTGGGTCATAAATACCTTTTATACTCATAATTATACTCATAATTTTGAATGGTTGTTAAGCAACTGATTGTAAATTGAGGACTACCTCTATTTACCTAATTAATGTTGCAATTACTTACTTACTTACTTTACTTTATTTGATTTATATACCGCCCTACTCCCGAAGGACTCAGGGCGGTGAACAGCCAAACAGTAAAAATACATAGATACAAAATTTAAAAACGAAGTAAAATCGAATTAAACAATTTGGCCCAGACAGATTAAAACACCCCAATCATTTTAAAAACCGATTAAAATTTGCATAATTAAAAAAGAGGGAAAAGATTAGACCAGGCCCGCCTGGTGGAATAAAAAGGTCTTAAGAGCACGGTGGAAGGTGCGCAGATCCGGGATGCTCCGTATCTCCGGGGGGAGCTTGTTCCAGATAGTAGGTGCCCCCACAGAGAAGGCTCTCCCCCTAGGGGCCACCAGTCGACATTGTTTGGCCGATGGCACCCGGAGGAGCCCCTCTCTATGAGACCGTACCGGCCGATGGGAGGCTGGTACGCCTATCCCCCTATCCCCCTATTGTGGGATTCGTTGTCTAGTTTTGAAATAAAAAACACCAGGCAAAACTTCCAAGAGAAAACAATGCTAATTTTATTTACTGCTTTGCAAAGAGCGTGCCCCAATGCAAAGTCAGGTACAGTGAACACACCCTAAATCCATGATGGCGAATCTGTGGCACGCGTGCCAGAGGTGGCACACAGAGCCCTCTCTGTGGGCACACATGCCACCGCCAGCTGCTCTTCTGGTTTCCGGCATGCACATGAGCACTAGCCAGCTGGTCTTTGCAGGTGCCAGAGTGCCAGAAACAGGCTGTTTTCCAGGCCATTTTTGGGCTGTTTTCAGGCCATTTTTTGAAAAACAGCCCGAAAAACGGGCATGCACGTGCTGGCCAGCTGGCCTTAGGGTTTCCAGCTCTCCGGTGCGCATGCACATATGCATGCACCCGCGTTCCAGTTTGGCTACTCGGTGCCAAAAAGGTTCACCATCACTTCCCTAAATCATCAATATGTTTGCCTTATATTCTCTATTGCCATTACAAATTTACCTCCCACCTTTTCCTCCTTGGCTTAGTACTCGTGCTGTCACAACTTATCCGAAGTGTCTAAAGTGAACACATTATCTCCGCCCCTGATTACATCTCCCACTACTCTAATTCTATCTCCCCCTGCCCTTATTTACAAATTACCTTTTATGGTCCTAGTTCCTAGGGATTGTCTCCAAAAAGTAACTATCATATCAGTAAATTCTGGTTAAGACCAGTGTTTAGCATAGCAGAGGTCTTGCTACATACAATTCTCAAGCTTCAGCCTAGCTCATGAGATTAGAAATGATGTATACAATATTGTTTCTTCACAGGCTAGCATATCTTCTTACAATTCTGTAAAAACAATAGGCTCTGTTTCCCACATACTTCTTTTTCAACACTGGCATACATGTTTTCTCTCTTTCTACACACACACAAACACACACACTTATACATACACCCCAGAATTCTATTAACTTGACTAATAAAAATTTTCTGCACAGAGGAATAATTTCCCACCATCACTACTTGTAATACTTGTCTGTCAAGAAAGTGTTACAAAACAGATCTATCAAGCACAAGCTAGAATATATTGTCAATTTATATATTTAATAAAACAATCAAAATGGTTTGAAGCAATTGGTTAAATAGTCATATAGTCACCTTGAACAGTGAAATGGGCAGCACATAAATTTAATATATACAATAAATACAATAAAATATCTGCCAGAACAACTGAATAAAATTCAGCCAAATGATTTCAAACAGTGAACCATACGGAATTTCAATTTGCCAGCATTGACTCGGCAGTTTAACAAAAAAGGGTCCACTTGGTGCCAATGCTGACGGAAAGAAGCCTGCTTTGGTTGTCAATTAAATGGGAGAAAGTAAACACATAGTTGCCGCATAGGCTTGAAGAGACCAGGATTAGGTCAGTTACAGAATAAACGATGCCAGGAAGATTCTAATATAAAGCAGCAGTCTGCAAAGGGAAAGAAGGACAAGTTGGCAATAGGAGAAAAATCAGAATGAGATACACAATAAGCTAGAATCAAGAGCAGTCTATGCCAGCATTTGGTTTGGTATTTGAAATAATTAGCAATTTTATTAGACAAAGGGACAAGCTGAACAAAAGGTTTCCCTGAACAGTAAACTAATGTAGCAAGCCAAACTTGGGATCAGGGTAAAAAGTTTTCTTTCACCAAAATGTAGTTTCTAAGCCAGTAATCATGACAGTTCCCAGTGCCTCTTGTCTGACTTTTGAAACACCTGTAAATTGGAAAAGAGATAAACCATTTATAATCTTCCTAGTGGTAGTGGAAACATTCATTCCTCAGCCTAGTAAATAATTTGAACTAATGCTACACATACCTGTTCAAAAACATAAACTGTTGTTTTATTATAAACAAGGTCCATAGTTGCAGTCTAACACCCTTCATCAAACTGTATGCACTATTTGTGGCTAAATCATATTTAAAGATACTGAGCTTTTTTAATCTTTTGGGTACTTCAGACATAGTTTCACAGCGTCCATAACACAGTTTCCATTTGTTGACTGATTTATTTGAAAAAACATTCCCTTAAATGTAAAATACCCTTATCTATTTTTGATATATGTCAAATATTACAGTAGTTTTATTGTTGTCAAGATTTTGATGTAGGCTTTGTGATTCAAATCCATACAGAGATATGATGCTTTTATTGGGCTAACTGAACATTTGCAAAAATAGTTATGTTTCAGATGTTATTCATTGGACACAATGGTTATGAAACAGATGTGGGGACAGAGGTTGGTAATATGTCATTATTTGAAAAGCTGAAAGTTTGTAATTGCAATCTTAAGTATTTCACTAATAAAAAAAAATCCCACAATATATAATTGGGTTTGTTTTTGGTACTGGTATGGATGCTTTTCCTGTTCATAATATTCAAAATTAAGGTTGCCAGGTGTCCACTATTTGAGCGGACAGTCCACTTTTTTCACATTATGTTCACTATTTTTTTTCACAAAATAGTGGACATTTTTTTTTATTCAAAAGCTTTATGATTGTATATTTTTTAATATTTCTCAACGTTGTACTGAAATTAAAGAATTATTCCTTAAACACAAAGAATTGATCAAATAAAAAATACACACGACAGCAAAGTAAAATGTAATTTAATATTTTACATATTATTATAATATATTTGATGTTTTGAATTTTAAGTAAAGTTTTGAAGTGATTATTTTAATATGTGTTAAAATGTTTGTAAGAAAATATATAATTTAATTGTAAATTTTTTTTTAATTTTTTTACTACTTAACACCCCTCCCCCCCCCGCTTGTCCGCTATTTTTTGGAAGCAGACCTGGCAACCCTGTTCAAACTATTTTCTAAAATGAAAATGTTGACTTCTTAAACTGCTCAAATGAAAATGAATACTGTTTATTATATTTAGTTGTAGGCACTATAGGATTTTTTCTTACCATTTAAGCCAATTAATGTTATTCGAAATTGTACTTTTCTTTCCTTCAGCTGGACTAGACATTGGGCCTATCTCTGATGATCCCTCTGCCTCGCTGCCTCTGCATAACGTCACCCAGAGTACCCGGCCACTGAGTGAAGAACAGTTAGATGGGATCTTGAGCCCAGAATTGGACAAGATGGTCACAGATGGTAAATGGTTATATTGCGTCCTTGTCTTCCAAGCCAGCTTGTTTTGACATATTACCACATATGTTCAACTTTATACTAGTAGTTCTTGAAATTAATGTGTTGCAATTATCTAAATGCAGTGAATGGTGATTGGTAATATTCATTGCTTTTACTTTGTGCAGGTGCAATTCTTGGTAAATTATATAAGATTCCAGGTATGTGGCCTATTTTTAATATCTTCCTGTGAAGTTTATTTCATACACATTCATATTATATACATATATGCACCACACCTTTATCTGTCTACTACTGCTCTAACATCCCCTTGTATTTTATAGAACTGGGAGGAAAGGATGTGGAAGACTTGTTTACTGCTGTACTGAGTCCGGCAGCCACTCAGTCAGTTCCTTTGCCACAGCCTCCACCACCACCTCCACCACAAATAATGCACTTGCACAATCAAGGTTTGCTTTTTAACAGTTTAAAGTATTTCACCCTAAATAAACAATATGGCAATTGAGAGCAGTTCAAGAATAGTTAGTGCCTTGTACATAGTCATAGGTGTAGTTCTCAACTTTAAAAAATATTCATTTAGTGGCCATTTGAAGTTACAATGATGCTGAAAAAAAATGTCAGGTGCCAGTAACTAGAACAACTCCGTGAACAGGCTCAAGCAGATACTTTATTGCTAACCACCTATATTACAAGAAATTCTTGCTGTTTCTTTGGAAACAGCAGATCTAGACCGAAGGACTTGACCTCAGACATTTCCTTCCCTGAAGAATGAAACAACTGCAAGCTGGAAGTTGTTTTTACTCCCCCTTCTCCTTCAGCCTGTAGTTTCACCACAAAAAGTGACTGAGTGCCAGTCCTCACACTTGCAGCAGTCACAATGTCCTTGTAGTTACGTGATCAAAATTTGGGCATTTAGCATAGATTTCTGGCAGTGGCACTGCCTTGGGGTCATGTGATCACTTTGCAGCCTTGCCAGCTGGCTTTCTAGAAGCAAAGTCAATGAAGGAAGCCAAATTCATTTAACCACCACTTAATGACCATAGTGATTTGCTTAATGACCATGGCAAAAGTTGTAAAATTGAGCATAACTCGAAGATTGCCTTGCTTAATAACAAAGATTCCCATCCCTATTGTGGTCTTAAATAGAGAGAAACTTATATGGGGAAAGGTTTTTTTTTTTAAAGGATTTTTAATGTACCTTAACTGCTCACTATAATTCATAAAAGAGATTCTGACCTCTTTTGAGGAGGGAATGTAAGGACTTTTAATTTGTTTTTGCATTTGTTTTTTCATTACATTATTGAAATTACTTGAAACATGCATGTAAATCAAATCTCACACCTGTTCTTTTACACTTTCCCTTCATATACTATAGATACAAAATAGTGTTTTATTAAAGATAATATTAGTTAACATAGGCCCTAGGGATGGGTTCTAAATTTTTTTACTACCAGTTCTGTGGGCGTGGCTTATTTTGTGGGCGTGGCTTGGTGGGGGGTAACGTGACTGGGTAGGTGTGGCCAACTTTTTTTGTTGTTTACTTTTAAAAGCATTTTTTCTACAACCTTAAGAGGTTGCAGAAAAAAATGCTTTTAGAAGCCTCTGACAATCAGGCAACTCAGCTGGGATTGCCAGAGGCTTTTAAAGGCATTTTGTTTTCTACAACCTCTTCAGCCAAAGAGGAAAATGCTTTTAAAAGCCTCTGATGATCCCAGCTGAGCCGCATGATCATCAGAGGGTTTTGGTTTTTTTTTACTTTTAAAACCATTTTTTCGGCCAAAGAGGTTGTAGAAAAAATGTTTTTAAAAGTAAAAAAAAAAGAAGCCTCTGATGAGGTGGGTGGGGTAAGCGAGCAGCAACCGGGCCGGGGACCGGTTTGGGGGCGTGGCCAGCCAATGTTATTACCAGTTCTCCGAACTACTACAAATTTTTACTACTGGTTCTTGTGAATCAGTGCGAACCGGGAGCAACCCACCACTGATAGGCCCTGAATATATCTTTGTAAACTGTTCACAATATAATTGAAACTGTGTATTTGATACTGTGGTTTTAGATAATAGTTTCTTCAAAAGCTTTAGTCTAATTCTATGAAACCATGAACCAGAGATTTATTAGCCTAATGGATGTGAAACATTCTAAAACATGAAGGTAGCTAAATGTTGTAGTTATATCTTAAGTTGTATGCTCCTGCTAGCAACACATTCGTCTTGAACTGGTTGTTACTAATTTTATTTTTCCACTTCATTCTTTCAAGGGGAGAATGCATTTTCAAGAATTCCACTTATGAATGGCCTGATTGGACAAACTCCCCATCTCCCTCATACACCCTTAGTGCCTGGAGGTGGATTAGGAACTTTCACTACTATAACACAGCCATCCTATACCGATACCAGGTTAGTAAATTTAAAAGATTGAATATTTTTTTAAAAATCTGGTACAGCCTTACGCATGAAAACCACCTTGGTGACTTCGGGCTAGTCCCTCTCTCAACCCAACCTACTTCACATGGTGGGTATTATGAGGAAAATACCACAGGAGGATGAAGGGGCATTATATATGTTCACTGCCCTGAACTATTTATAAAAATAATAATGACAGGGTAAAACTATGATCTTTAAATTAAATTAACATGGAATTAAGTTAAAAGATTGGCCTCCCTAATTTCTCACTGACACCAGAACATAGGAGTGCCAGTACTATTAGCAATTTTAAAATGTAAGGTTTGGGACATTGTAGTTCTGTATGCAAAAATTGATATCTATGCTTTGTTTTTGTGTTGTGATTTTAGAGATAAAAACACAGTATTTAATGCAGTGATTAATGATCCTACCAATCCTTGGGTTGCAACTGCAACACCTTTGGAAGGAGAAAATGATACCATGTCTAATGCACAGAGGAGCACTCTGAAATGGGAAAAAGAGGAAGCACTTGGTGAAATGGCAACAGTAGCACCTGTTTTATACACAAATATAAATTTTCCAAACCTAAAAGAAGAGTTTCCAGGTACATTATCAAGTTAAACTTAATTTTTGCAGGGCTGTTGGGTGTCCGCTTTGTTTCAGGGTATTCTAATTTTTTTAACATATTCTATGAATTGGATAATATTCCATAATGTATCAGTAATACCTCTATACCAATTAATGAATCTGTCTCCTTTCTCTTCTCCATGTTCTCAGACTGGACTACCAGAGTCAAGCAGATTGCCAAGCTATGGAGAAAGGCAAGCTCTCAAGAAAGAGCTCCATATGTGGTAATGAACCTTTTCAGTTTGATGAAAACACATTTTCTATTTACCTATAACTGCTGTTAATTAGTCTAGAAATTATTTTAAACTGTGAATTGCTAAAAAGCACATTGTTTCGGCAGAGTACGTTTTAAAAACATAAAATCTAGCAAAATCAGCTTGTTCAACAGGCATTTTTCCAGACTTCTCTGTGGATTACACAAGGATCCATGATAATTCACTGAATTTAAGTTTATTTTATGGATTTTTTTTCCTTTTTGTTTAGCCTTTTCTTTCTTTCTTATCCACTCCCATTCAAGGTCTAACTAGATCAGACTGAGAGAAAGGCTTTCTTTATGTGTCTGTCTAGATTTCTTTAAAGGGGTGTATGACTAACAACAATAAGAATTGTTACATAAATAACCCATACTTCCTGGGACCCTTGATTGCCCAAGAGACAGAACAAGAAACACATAAGTGCCTGAATCCTTGAAGACCCTTTTTATTAGATCTCACTCTCCATTGCATGTTTCAAAATTTGGAACTGCCAAGTTGATAGATAAATTTGAAGAAACATTCTATGAGTAAGCATTATCTTCTTTCATTCCTCAAGGACATAAATCAGTGATAGCTAAGGTTTCTTGCTTTCCTCAGTACTCACTGCTTTTTAATTTCCCAAATCTGCTTTTTAGGTCATTCAAGTTTGTTATTGTTGTTCACATTTTGTGAATGCTTTGTACAGCATTTTATAAAATACTTTAATGTGGAATTTATACACAGATTAAATTTTTGGTAACAGCCTAATTGATTTGATCATCTGGAGGTGCAATTGGAAGAATCTTAGTTAGAAATAAGTGCTTAAGACTTTTGGAAATTATTAAAAACCATGTTTGTGGCTTAGATTGAAACTGGGCCACATTTCCTGGATTTCATTTTCTGTTTCAAATATGGGTTGATTAAAAATATTCCTTTAGTATTTCAATATTTATTTGTTCTTGTTGATGGCAACTTTGTCCTCCATCTGGATCTGCATAAATACATCTACTCTATATTTGTCCAGCAAAATAAATAGTTGCCTTGTTGCTTATTAAATCATGCACACATTTTTGAAATCAAATAAATAAACTTTAAGTACTTCTGGGATAATGAAAAAGGTTGCTTTTATTTATGAATCAGAACCCAAGTAAATTCTGTTTTTGTTTTTCAAATAGCAAAAAGCCAGAGATAATAGGGCTGCTTTACGGATTAACAAAGTACAGATGTCCAATGATTCAATGAAGAGGCAGCAACAGCAGGATAACATTGATCCTGGATCTCGTATTGAAACTGATCTCTTCAAGGATCCATTAAAACAGAGAGAATCTGAACATGAGCAAGAATGGAAATTTAGGCAGGTATGTTGCATTTGCTGCTTGCTCTTTGCTATTTGTCTAGCACACCTGCATATTTTTATGCTCCCATTCAGTGGATATGGGCTTCCTAAATGTGATGTAGCTTTTGTATCATAAATAGAACTTTAAATAAATTGGAACAAATTCATGTTTCCAGCAGAAATCTCATATCAAACAAGGTTGAGTAATTTGGAATTTATATTTCTGTCTTGAAGTGAAGTGAAGCATTCATTATAGGTGCAGAAGGAAATACTGAAATATGTAATGTTTTTGGAAGTGATAAGTATTAGAGGAATATGGCAGATTCTGACAACACAGGCTAATTTAGAGGTTAATAGAAGCTGTCTGAATTGTTTATTTATGTTACAATTGCAGATTGCAGAACTTGATGGGAACTTGGGGAGTCTACAGGATGCATCTCTTCAGGGGAGGGTTTTATTTTATTTTGGTTTACAGTATTAAATAATCAGATGAAGCTGAACTTACATTTTTGGGGGTGTAGGGGAGTGTTGCATGTCCTGCAGTCATTTTTGCATCCACTATTTAAAAAAAACAACAACTTGCACATAAAGCATGATTTGAATGGGAGATCTCCAAAAAGTGTTGGGTGGCTTGGATGAAACTTTAGATATGGCTTGAAAGCATTTTTTATAGTATTTGACTGTTATGTTTATTTTTAATATGAACTTCTGATTTTCAAAGATACATACCTTTAATAACTTCAGGTAGGACTTTATTAAAATTAATAATTAAAACTTTGCCATTGGTTTCTGTGCTCTTAGTGTGTCAATATGTATGTATAAATAATATTTAAATTTGCTTGTTGGTTTACTACTTTGTCTTTATTTAATTTTAACTTTTTTTCCTTCCTTTTCTGAAACAGCAAATGCGTCAAAAAAGTAAACAGCAAGCTAAAATTGAAGCAACTCAGAAACTTGAGCAAGTGAAAAATGAGCAGCAGCAACAGCAGCAGCTGCAGCAGCAACAACTAGGATCACAACAGCTTGTAAACCAGTCAGGCTCAGATACCCCTAGCAGTGGGATGCAAAGTCCTTTAACCCCTCAGACCAGCAATGGAAATATGTCTCCTGCACAGCAAGCATTATATGCAAAACAGTTGCCTGGTCCTTCTACAGCTACTCCTTCTGATGTTTTCCTAAAACCCCAAGCCCCACCTCCACCTGTGACTGCTAATCGAATGCCTGCTCAAGATGGTCATTGTCAGACTCCATCACAACAAACTTTCTCTTCTTCCCCCTCTGCTCAACCACCTTCTCCGGTTGACCCATATGCAAAAATGGTGGGAACTCCCAGGCCACCACCTGTTAACCAAAATCAAAAATTTGTCAGGAGAAATTCTGCTACGCCAGCAGAGGTCTGTCCACTGCCTTCGATATCCAGGCCAACTCAAGTTTCTGAATCAATGGGAAGGAGACCATCACCAGCCAGAGATTCATGTTCTTTGTCCCCAGGCACCAGTGATCCTTATGCAAAACCTCCAGATACACCAAGACCTGTAATTGGAACAGAACAGTTCTCTAAACCTTTGGGGATGTCAAGATCATCTCTAATTTCAGAACAGCCAGCAAGCAGTGACCAATTTGTTAAGCCATCTCCAAGAACAGGAGGTGATACTTTTCAGAGACCACGGATCTCTTCTACTGATTCATGTTTACGGCCTTCATTGACTTCAACATCTGTTATTGAAGGGCATCCCAGTCCATTTAAAACACCAGCGTGCCCAAATCCATCTTCTCAAGATTCTTACACAAAAATGCCACCTACTTTAAGGAGAGTAGCTGTGGACCCTTATGAAAGGCCTCTTTTGACACCAAGGCCTGTAGATAATTTTGCACACAATCCATCTAATGATTCTTACAGCCAGACTCAGTTGGCTTCACACTCAGCAATAAAGGATACTTTTGCCCATCCACAAAGAGTGTTGCGAAATCAGGGTGATTATTCTGGAGCTCTTTCAAGGACAGTTGCTCAGGATCCATATGCCCAGCCCCCAAGCACTCCTCGCCCGGTTACAGACCCTTACGCTCAGCCTCCTGGCACCCCTCGACCTGCTTCAGATCTTTATACCCAGCCCCCTGGCTCTGCTCGACCTGTTTCAGTTGACCCATATATGCATCAACCACTTGCATCAAGACCTCCACAAGCTGCAGACTTATTTGCTCAGGTTTCAGCTAATCAGAGGCGTTCTGATCTGTATGCCCAGCCTCCAGGTACACCAATGCCAGTTACTAATGATCCATATTCTCAGTCACCAGCAACTCCAAGATCTGGAATTTCAGAAACTTTCAGTAGACCTATTCCCATGTCAAATCGGGATCCTTATCTGCAGGCATCACAGAACAGGACTTTATCTGGGACTTTTGTCAAGCCTTCAGATCCTTCTCAACCTTCAAAGCTATCAGGGTCTACAGTAACAGATTCTTTTAGCCATGATCCCTCACCTTGTGATCCTTTTGATCAGCCTCCAATGACTCCAAGATCACAACCCGAAACCTTTGGAACAGCTCAGCACCCCCAAGATGACAAATCTAGAAGTGGGTCAGAAGGAAATTTCAATTCCTCAGTAAATTCATCCATGAATTTGCAAGGAAAACTATTTTCACAGACCACACAAGGTTCTGTCCCAGGCCCAACTGCAGGACTAACCCAGAACAGCGTAATGTCTCATACAGATGCAGAGAAATTAAGACAGGTGAATTTATCTTGTTTGATGTTGTGCTGATTCATATTGAGGTGACATAATTGAAAGAATGTAAAAATTGAAAGAATGTAAAAATAGCTTTTAGAAACATAAAAAACTGCCTGCTTCAATAAATCACTGATTCACAGAGCTAAATGATACAAACATACTGCTGACTAACTTCTGGCTAATGTTGCCCTATCTTTATTAAATACTTATTGTGTGAATATTATCCAACATCTCTTCTTAACCAGAGTTGAGGGTAGAAATGAGCTATAAAATTTGTATATTTCCTCCACCTTATATAGTTAGAATCAAGAAGCACTTACTTATCTGTGTTAACTACTGTTCTTTTAAAGAAATGTTTCTTGGATCTAAGGTTTGTAAAAATTATTATTCAGTGCTTAAGACCTTGGCATTGGTCAGTATGCTTGTGTGTAAGTATTTAGTTCAAAGCTAAATTAAATGTCTGTCTTAGTCTAGTGAATAATTGATTCTGTAAAGACATGAGGATTGTGAAAAAACTCATTTGTTTTATCATAATATTCTGGATTGGCTGTCTAGACTTAGAGATTGAGGGCACTGTATTTCAGCACATCCTTTCATAACTACAGGATTTTATTGTAAACTGCCCAAGGTAACTAAGGTGAGATGGGCAGTGTAGAAATGGGAAAGAGAGGGGGAGATTCAAAACTGAATGCCAAGAGATTGATATTAAGCCAGAGGATTGATGTTTTGAGTTTTGTAAGTTTTTTATAAAAGTCCATCTAAAGTGTGATGGATGAATACAGTTTTAAAATGAACAAATGTGGCTTACAGGTATGTGACCTATTGCAAGGAACGTGGTTTTATCAAAAGAAGCAAAACGTTTCTATGTGAACATTAGATTATATATATTTTTTGTTTCTTGTCAGCGCCAGAAGTTACGTGAAATCATTCTTCAGCAGCAGCAACAAAAGAAAAACGCAATCCGTCAAGAAAAAGCCCCACCAGAGCCTACTGCAGTAACTCCAACGGCACCTATTCAACCATGGCAGCAAGAAAATCTGAATCAAATTTTCACCCGACCACCACCTCCATATCCTGGCAACATTAGATCATCTACCATTCCTCCAGGTGGACTAAGGCTGGCAGGTTTTCCTGTTGATGGGCAACTGAATAGACCTCAATTTCCAGGAGATGCTGTTGGCATGGGGATGAGGCCTCATGGAATTCGGTATAGAAATACTTTATCACCCTTTACTAAATTTGACTATTTATGAAGAAATTCAAGCATGTTTGTCATTCAGAATGACCAAGACAAATTTGCATAAGTTCATTTTAATGCAGAAATTGTGCTACAGATACGATACGATATATGATATATGATATGATAAAATATGATACAATATGATATACATCTTTCTTTGAAAGGGAGAAAATGGTAATTTTTAGCAACAAGTACTTTAAAAAAATCTTCATTACTTTTAACAATCCCCTTAAATAGCATGTGGTTTAAAATTGTACTTGAATGTAATGTAAGCCAACATTTTAAAAAATTACATGCAGTCACTTAAAATTGAATTCATATTTTGTTAAATATTCTTTTTATTTTGTAAAATAATGAACCAAGCACAAAAACATTTAAATTCTGATGCCACAACATTCTGACACTAGAATATATTATTTTTGTTTTAATTATAATTTTAAGAGTCTATAAATTAAGATACATAAATGTTTCCTTTCCATGTCATGTTTAAATAGGATTATGTCTGGAAAATACTATCCTTGTTGCTAGAAATGTCTAGGTATTCTGGAATGTAGGAATCTTCTTTCTGCCCTTATATCAATTATATTAATTAGCCTGAAAATTCAGTATAGTTTTATTTTACATTTATTTAATTTACATCTTTTTTCTGGCAATTTAATCAAACTTTAAAGCAAGATATAGTGCCTTTCAACTTACTATTCTTTTTTTTTTTTACACTAATTCTGAAGTTCTGCAAAATATGCATAATTTTTTTTTACTGGATTATATACAGAGAGGGATCATCTATTTTTAGTAGTTAATAGATAATGTGAAAATAAACTCAGAGATGTCATTAATTTTATTTATGTAAAAATTAGCTACACAGTTATTGTATGTATTCATTATGGAGGAAATATTCTCCTGGGGGTTATCCAATTCAATAAAAGCTTGTTTTTCTCTTTCCCAGATTTAGCTTTCCCAGCGGTGGCCATGGACCTCCACCTTGCCAAGATCATTTTCTTGGTCCACCACAACAAATGCAACATGCTGGTGTCCCACCACAGTTTAGAAGATCCATGCCTATAGATCTGCCTAGACTACCTAACAAACCACCAATGAATAATCCCATTGGTTTGTCACAGCATTTCCCACCGCAAGGTATCCAGGTTCAACAGCACAACATAATGGGGCAGGCGTTCATTGAGCTTTGCCATAGAGCACCTGAAGTCAGACCAAGATTACCTTTTATTTCTTCATCAACTACTATTATGAACACTGTTCCTGAGCATCAACAACAAACTGAACTTCTACCTAGACAAGATCGTCAGGGCCCGAGACACCTAGAACCCACAAGATGTAATTCTCAAAATTCAGATAATCCATTGCAGAGTTCAACAGGTTTGGAGCATTTAGCACCATCCCAACAAGATAAAATGAATCCAGCTCATCCACCTGCACTAGTCATGTGTTCCTTAAATCATCCATCAATAAATAATGCATTTTCAGGAGACTCTTTGCCAACCACAAGAGCTACTGATGAAACAAATGACTTACAAGTGTCCAGTCAGCCCACGGATACCTTAGAAGGGAAACTCGATCCTGATGATCCCTCTGTGAAAGATTTAGATGTTAAAGACCTTGATGGTGTTGAGGTTAAGGATTTGGTTGATGAAGATCTTGAAAATTTAAATTTAGATGCAGAAGATAAAGGTGATGAATTGGACACATTAGATAATCTTGAAACTAATGACCGTCATCTTGATGATCTTCTGAGATCAGGAGAATTTGATATAATTGCATATACTGATCCAGACCATGATTTGGGTGACAAAAAGGGTATGTTTAATGAAGAGCTGGATCTTAATGTCCCCATAGATGATATACAGGGCAAGGCAGAAGACAGTCTGCAAAAACACTCAGATGATAAAACTTCTGTTCCTGAAGTGTCTGTTCCTCCTCAGAAAAAAGCTACTGAGAACAGTGAGACTAAAACGGAAGTGCTTTCTCCAATTGAAGAAGCTACATGTAATCATGAAAAAGTCGGCAAAAATGTGGCAACTTCTAGCGCTCAGCGTGATGGAGAAACTAAACCTGTTTTGCCTTGTAATATGGAAGCAACTGATAAAGCAAATATGAATGAGGAAACCGCAGTGTCCAGTTCAGATGCAATTCAGTTACCTAGTCAAAATACAACAAATTCTTGTAATACCCCTGGATCTACTCCAGTTCTTACAAGCTTACTTGCTCATGGCAATTCTGAAAATCCTGATACAAGGTTATTAGATTCTCCTTCTCACGCCTTCCGGACAACCCAAACAAATCCCATTTCCAGTATCCCACAAACTTTGATTACATCCACAAGTCAAAACATGGAAAATGTGTTATCTGATGTGAACATGGTTCCACCAGTAAGCCATAGTTTTTCACAAGGGACTGCAGTAAATTCAGGCTTTATCTCTGGCCAGCCCCTCAATCCCAGTTTAGGGGTAGGGCAGCCTGGAAGTCAAACAGGACCTGTTGTAAATAGGCCTGCGCCTAGTGGTATTCCTGGTCCTCAGCAGCTGGTGCTTTCTCAGACATTGGTCCAACAGCAGAATCGAGAGAGACCTCTGCTTTTGGAAGAGCAGCCTCTGTTGCTGCAAGATCTTTTGGATCAAGAAAGGCAAGAGCAGCAGCAGCAACGACAGATGCAAGCCATGATTCGCCAGCGGTCTGAGCCATTTTTCCCTAACATTGGTATGCTTTTGTTACTTTTCCAACCATGGTAATGTTGGCTGGGTATGTGTACAAACTAGGTGGAGCAAATATATTTCATTCTCACTTGTCATTAATGTTAACTCATTTCCATTTCTATATTTTATTTCCAACCTCCCAGGGGATGTGTAGATTTGTTAAAGCACTTTTGATCATTGAATAGCTTTTATTCAAGGATCTTTCTGTAGATTCATATAGTTGATTGATGGCATTGAATTTATTTCCTTCAGCTCATTAGGTTCTAGGTATAATTAAAAATGGATTCTAGGTTGAAAAACAATAAAATAATTAAAGCAAACATTAAAACCGTTACCACGAAAACTAAAAATTAGACTAAGCCAGCAATTTCAGTCCCCAGAAATATAACAAACAATTTTTGTTGCCTTTCTAAAAACTGAATATATAGACAAAATTTGGAGATGGGTGTCCTTGCCTCATGACTATAGTTGAGCCCAAAATTTTCATTACTAAGCAAGGCAGTTGTTAAGTGAACTTGGCCCCATTTTACAACTTTTCTTGCCACAGTTGTTAATCATTGTAAATTGACTAAGATGGTCGTTAAATGAATCTCGCTTCCCCTTATCAGAAGGCTGCAAAAGAGGATCAGGTGGCCCCAACAGTCTTAAATGCCAAGCGTCCAAATTTTGATCATGTGACCATGGAGATGCTGAACTGTCTAAGTGAAAAAGAGTGAAAAACAGTCATAAATTACATTTTTCAGTGCTATTGTAACTGAATAGTTAGGAAACGAATTGTTTTAAGTTGAGGACTTGCTGTATTAATTTTTCATAGTCTTTTTTTTTTTTTTTGTAAGGCTCATGCAAAGAGTTGATTGCTTTTGTTCTTCCTTTTATTTATATAAGATAGTACGGTATGTACTTCTTGGAACTCTTGAGAATTGCCCTAATGCAAATGAAAACATATATTTGACGAAATAAGAACAGGGAACATTCTTGAAAACAAATTTCATTTAATTTCTGGCACTAACTCAGTGCAGGCATTAAGAGAAAAACTGACAGTTTAACGTTTCTGCTTCTGCCAAAATATTTATCTGAATCACCAGTTAGTTATCCAATTTTAGCCTAAGGTCATGTAAACTTTGAGTGTAAAATGATTCTAAAATGATTGCTGGTAGCTTCAGTTTGTGATCTAAAACAAATTCAACATATCCATGGAAACAGTTTTTCAGATACACAACTATTTTTCTTAAAACAACAACAACACTGAATTGATTAGCAGATATAAACATGGAAAGACTAGAGTTCACAGAATTGTAGCTAACATGATTTGAATACTTTGTAAACATAATATATTCTAAAATTCTGTTTTCTTAGATTTTGATGCAATTACTGATCCTATAATGAAGGCAAAAATGGTAGCTCTGAAAGGGATCAATAAAGTTATGGCACAGAACAATATGGGAATGCCACCATTGGTCATGAACAGGTTGGTGAAAAATGATGCTTTTGCCTAAAATGATATAGTATTGTTCTCTTAGATACTAATATGAAAGTGCAGCTCTTCTCCTTAATTATAAGTTCAGATCTTACTTGCTTGCCAAAGATATTAATGAATATATACAATTCTATCATTGAATAAGTTTATTTTCTTTTTATTTCTGTTCTGCATGATGGATGCATGGATGGATGGATCTTAAAATAATTATAGGTACAGATGAGGAAATATCAGCTGATTTATATTATGATGGAATTGTTTGATATTATGATCTCTTCATTAATACAAGTTGCATAAAAAATAAACCAAATTGTTATTTTCCTTTACCTATTACTAGATTTGCCTTTATGGGTCAGACAGGACCTGGAGCCCAGAGCAGTGAAGGCCAGCATCTCATACCACAAGCAGTTACACAGGTAATAATTTTTTTTCTGAGATCTGCAGTAAATCGGTTCAAAATAATAATTTTTAAGGGCAATATATTTAGTGATTAAAGTAGGAACCAAATCCCCAATTGTTCTTGTATAGTACTTTTTGGATGGGTTTGGCTGAATCTGAAATATTGCCTTTCCCTGTCTTACAGATGATTGTTACTGTTGCTTCTGATTGCAGTAATAATGGTTTTATTTATTGGGGAAAGTGTTAGAAATGGAGAGATAGCTGATTCATATGTGAGGCATTGCACTTTTAGTACCGGGGGCAAAATCATTCATACAACCTATGTGCATAATGCCATATTTCTCAACCTTGGGGACTTTAAATTATGTGTACTTCAACTCCCAGAATTCCCCAGCCATCATGGAGCATTCTGGGAGTTGAAATCCACACATCTTAAAGGTTGAAAAACACTGACATAATCTGACTTCTGAGCTGGAAAAATCCGCATGCCTTTCTCAGATCATCTCAATAAATTGTGTTTTTGTTTTTTTCTCTTTTAAGGATGGTAGTCTAACACCTCAGATGTCTAGACCAAATCCTCCAAATTTTGGTCCTGGATTTGTAAGTAAGTATAATTCTGTTCACGGCCTTGAGGCGTGATTTCTAAACTCCATAAACATAATATACAAAAATAATGCAATTTCTCTGAGAAACTTCCATTATTAATGAGTAATTAGATATTCATTCATGTATTTAATTTTTTATAGACTTAATATGTTTTTGTGTAAAAGTGTATTCAGCCTTATCGCTGATTTTTTTAAAAAGTAATGGACCATTGGCTAGGTTAAGATAAACATGGCCCCTTTTTCCTTATAAAAGCTATTTTGGCATTTCTTTAAAATATTTTATATTTTTTCCATTGTTTAAAACATACTTTGAAAGGAATGTATGTTTGAGACAAAATATTAATACAGGTAGTCCTTCTTATTGGCCAGTCGCTTTGCGACTGTTTGAAATTCTGATGGCCACCCCCAATCTTTGGTCACATGATTGCATTTTGGGCACTTTGCAGTTAGCTAGCATTTAAGCTATTTGCAGGATCCCATGGTCACATGACCACAACTTATGATGTTTTTGGCTGGAAATTGGTTTACTTCTGGTTTCCATCAAAAACTGAAATTGAAAACAATGGGCTCGCTTACTGACCGCAGTATTCACTTTATAACTTTCACATTCATTTAACAACTATTGCAAAAAAATAACATAAAATCGGGTCAGTCACATGATCACCTGTTAATGATCTGCTCAGTTTATGACAATGGTTCCACGCTCAATTATGGCCAAAGACTACCTATATTATGTTGAACATAAAACAGCTTGGGAGAGGGCAACTGCAGATCTCTTTTCTGTAGCTTGCTTGAAAACATGTTTGTGTTTATGGATGCTAGTAATAGTCTGAGAGTCAGTGGAGGAATTCTTCGTAATAACAACATGGCCCAAAGCAAAAATAAAGATCTCCCTTTAACTTGAATCTTTAGAAGGAACATGGCATTTGTTATCTTTTAACCTCAGATGATTCATATAGAAAGCAATACGAAGAATGGCTACAGGAAACCCAGCAGCTTCTCCAAATGCAGCAGAAGTATCTCGAAGAGCAAATTGGAGCACACCGAAAATCAAAGAAAGCCCTCTCTGCAAAACAGCGCACAGCAAAGAAAGCTGGACGTGAGTTCCCAGAGGAGGATGCAGAGCAGCTGAAACACGTCACTGAGCAGCAGAGCATGGTTCAAAAACAGCTTGAACAGGTAAGAGCTCTTGGGTTCCATGCGATTGATAATAAAATCTCGCTATAGTGAGCCTTTCCGTGGGGAAAGTAGAAGGAAAGAGTGTTTGTATGTTCGTTTCCTTGAGTTATTTATAAAAATAATAAAGGCGGGATAAAGATAATTAAAAATTATATTAGAATTAAATAAGAAATGAATTTTGCAGATACGAAAGCAGCAGAAAGAGCATGCAGAGCTGATTGAAGAATACCGGATAAAACAGCAGCAGTCTGGAATGGGACCCCATTCAGGGATGCCAGGCCTTGCTTCACAGTCCCCCATGGTCCCTGGAGGGTCATCACCAGCCATGGGCCAGCAGAATTTCCCAATGATAACCCAGCAGCTTCAGCATCCACAGCACACAGTTGGCCAACCCAATCCACCCAGAATCCCATGCTTGCCCAGCTGGCAACCTCCAAACACTCCAGTACTTTTCTCCCACAATGCACCACGAATGCCACCTCCGATTCCCCAGCTGCCAGTTAATCCTGGGACACCTGCTTCTGTGTTAGCCCCCAGCCCCAGTGTACAGTCGGGTCCTCCACCTCGTGTGGAATTTGAGGACAATAACCCATTTAGTGAAAGCTTCCAGGAACGAGAGAGAAAAGAGCGTTTGCGGGAGCAGCAGGAAAGGCAACGAATCCAGCTTATGCAGGAAGTAGATCGACAGAGAGCACTGCAACAGAGGATAGAAATGGAGCAGCATGGCACTGTGAGCTCTGAATTAAATGCTAGAACGTCCTTTCCTCAAATACCTTACCTCGGTTCAGATCGACCTTGCGATTTTATGAGGCCACCCCTTCAGCAGTCTCCGCAGCAGCCACCACCACCACCGCAGCAGATAGGATCAATTTTGCCAGCAGGACCCTTAAACTCTCCTCCTGCTGCCACTTTTCCACCATGCAATGAGCAGCAGCAGGCAGGATCTTCCCCTTTTGCATCTGATTCAGTCCCAGTTCAAGGTGGAAGCTCTACTTACCATTCTGCTAAGCAGTCCCACGGAAGTATTTCTGGAGTCAGCTTTACCCAGTCCTTGCCTATGGCTCAATTTGCCACTGGTGTGCCTGCAGTTTCTCCAGGAACTAGCAGTGGTCTGGCCTGCAGTCAGGACTCCAGCCTGCCACCTGGGACAAACTTTGCTGGGACAAATCCAGTAAATCAGTCTCTGATTCAACTGTATTCTGATATCATTCCTGAGGAGAAGGGCAAAAAGAAAAGAACAAGAAAGAAGAAAAAAGAGGATGACACTGACTCTGTGAATACACCATCGACACCTCATTCAGATATAACTGCTCCTCCAACCCCAGTTGTTGTGGATCCTGTGTCCACCCCAACTCTTAGCACTCCTGGTGAGCTTGCACGCAACTCGGGAGAAATGGAGAAAGAAGAACTGCCAGATGCAGCAACACCACGTGCTGCAGAGAGTCAGTCTTCCTTAGAACTAAAAGCTCAACTTGCAGAAAGCAATTTGCCACAAAACCAACTCCCTGAACCGTTGAGTCTAAACCCAGAAACGGACACAGCCAAGACTGATATTTCTGCAAGCCTTCAAGAAATTAGACCAGAAAAGGCAGAAGTTGATCAGTGCTCCAGTCAAGCTGAATCTAAGATGAAGACTGAAAGGGATGTTGACGTGGAAGATGAGAAAGCTGCCATTCAGCTTTCCTCTCCTGCACAGAATCTGGCACCACCTGTCAACACACCACCTGCAAAAGTGGAGTCAGGGAATGAACTCCTCAAACACCTGCTTAAGAACAAAACAGCCACCAGTCACATCAGTCAGAAATCAGATAGCAGCTTCCACCTTCCAGAGAATGCTGAGGAGAACAAATTAATCGAAAAACAGGAATTGGCTGAAAGCAGCATGGTAAACATTTTTTTATAATAACAGCTTGACTTTCAGGACATTGGAAAATATATGGTAGGAAGTACTTTGTTCATGTCCACACCCATTTGTTGCTGGGTAACATATATATCTTTCTCAGCAATTTAGATCCTTGCCAGTCCTTGCTTAATGTCTGCCCTGTTTAATGGCCATTTGAAGTTACAACAGCACTGAAAAGTAATTTTATGAACAGTCCTCACATTTATGACTGTTACAGCATCCCATGGTCATATAACATTTCCTCGCTTCACAATTGGCTTCCAGCAAGCAGAGTCAATGGAGAAGCCAGCAGTAAAATCAGTAGTGATGGTCACAGGATGACTTAACAATCAAATGGAAAGTAATATAAATCCATCATGGTTGCGTGACGTCTCAATTAGTGACCATGTTGCTCAACATCTGAGTTTTCAGCCACAATTGGGGTTGCTAAGTGAGGACTATCTGCATTTGCTAAAACAGGTGCTTTCCTCCCCAACATTCCAATGTCTCTGGCCAATAGGAAAACATCTTCCAATCATGACAGTAATGGGGAAAGACTTGTGCTATTTACTGTGACTTCTGAAGCTCAGCCTCAATCCAACTGATTCTTTCATGAAATTGGGAGTAGTTGGTTCTTCTTTCAATTTTTACAGCTGGTTTTGAATTTGGTTAAGGGGAATGAGGAAGCAGTTAAACTATATGTCCATTGATATTTATCTTTGTGATCATATCGTTAGATGACCTGGGTGAGAAGTAGGAAAGTAGGTAGATAGTTTCACTATCAAATTCAGAGTTCAGTTTATAGGGTCTGAGTTTTGAACATCTAGGACTTTTATTAAAGTGATACGATATGCTATATTTGCTTTTTCCTTAACCAGCCATTAGGGAACCCGTTGCAAGGCTCATTAAGTTGTGGTAACAGCCAGGTTCAGAGAGCAGATTTAGGACATGAAATGAAGAAACAGAGAAACAAACGAACTCAGAGGACAGGTGAAAAAGCAACATCTCGGCCTAAAAGGAAAAAAAAAGAGGAAGAAGAAAAACAGACTGTTTTTCCTAACACAGAAACTTTCATGCAGTTGAAACAGGTGAGCATTGAAAAGTATAATCCATAATGAAAAGTTTTGGAAGAGGTGGAAAAGAGGCATTGAAAATGTCATATTTGGTTTTTTAGGTATCTGTGTTCTATTTTTACTATGTTTCCTTATTCAAAGCATTTAGTAATACAGGTATGAGCATTTCTAAGTTTCATTTGATACTTACCCACTTCTTGCATTTATTATAAAATATTCCAGAAAGTAGTTTTCTCCTTTGTGAGCCTTCTAATAGATCACTTTTTATTGGATTGATTGATTGCATGCCATCATGTAATCAAATTGATGTTGACTCTTAATAACCACAGAGATGGAAGTCCAAAGGTACTTTTTTCAAGAGGCAACTGGACTTTCATTGTTTTTCTTTGAAGATATTTCACTTCTCATTCAAAAAACGTCTTTGGATCTGAAACAATTATGTTTCTTGGATGAGAAGCAAAATGTTTTCAAGGAAAACAAAGTCCAGTTGCCTCTTGAAAAAGCACTTTTAGGACAACAATGACTTGGATGCCTGAGAATCTTCATAGACACAGAGATAGAACTTTTTTAGGATGATCTGCTCCTGTCCTGACCAATCATTTTTTCAGGTGGTGCACTTAACCATTGTTGTAATAAAAGTCCTTGCTGCTGAGATATGTGACACAAAGGAGAAATGGAATAAAGAATATATTAGTGGAAAAAAAAGTTTGTTTGGAGAAAAGATTAAAGCAATTTTTTGTTATTGTTAATTTTTTACATTAGCAACCGTAAAACTCTTGACAGTTTAGAACAAAACTGCAATCTGGAGATGGGTCTTGATGGAATGGTTATGACGACGATGATGATGAAAGAGTTTTCATTAGATACATTTTCATTGAGAACATTTTGAATCCTGAAAATATGGTATTAAAACCAAGGCTTCCACAACAATTGTTGCATTTAGGAGTCATTATTTCTGGCAAAATTATTTATTTTTTTAAGAACAATGTATAAAAGTTAGGATTTTGCTTAGTATAAGGAAACTCAAATGCTTGTATCTGGATTGCTTAAGCTTATAAAAGTAGCAATCTTCTTACTGTAATTTATCAATTGTGATCAATTATGAATCTTTTCCCCAGCAGCTCTCCTTGCTGCCTTTAATGGAGCCAATGATTGGAATGAGCTTCGCCCATTTTCTCCCGTATGGTAGCAGCCATCAGAGTAGTGGAAGTCGACTTGTGGGAGCTTTCGGTAGTGCTACGCTTGATGGGGTATCTGATTACTATTCTCAGCTAATCTACAAGGTGTATTATTTTTCTATGTAATTCTCTCAAAATTTTATAAGAAAAGTGGGATTCATTATTTTACATACCTCAGGATTTCTTGAGACTGTTCCTCACGTTTTTCATTCTTCCTTCCCATTCACTGAAAAGCTGTAGCATGCTAAAGCCTATACTTAGAGAGCCAGTTTGCTCTAGTAGTTAAAGTATCAAGCTAGAAATCAGGAGATTATGAATACTAGCCCCGCTTTAGGCATGAAAGCTAGCTGGGTGGCTTTGGACCAGTGGCTAGGAGACAGTGAGTTCTAGTCCCATCTTTGGGCATAAAAGCCATCTGTAACTTTGAGCCATTCATTTTCTCTCGGCCTACAATGTCAGGCTCTGACAACAAGCCGTTTGGTCAATTTTGGTTCAATACTTGATTGATCTAAAAAAGTGGGCCCTGCACTTGCAGGAAAACATTAGGAAAAAAGAAAAAAAATGAAAACCTATATTTAACAGTAATCTTTTAATTTGTTTCAAACACATGTACATGTGAAAGTTTTAATCCTACTCTCCATTTATTAACAAATCCACCCTGGATTACTATTTCAAAGACAAAATATTATTAAATAAAAGGTTTAGGTCTATTATGTACAGGGGTAAAATGCTACCGGTTCGGTTCACTCTGGTTTGGGAGAATCAGTAGTGATAAAAACTACCAGTTCGAATGAACCAGTAGTTAAAAAAAGTTGGGCAAACCAATAGTTAGCTACTGCTTCTGTCAAACCGGTAGTTAAAAATACCTCTGAACTGGTATTTCCGACGATCAGCTGTGCAGCGCAGTTTAGCTTGCGCCACATCTGATCCCCCCCGCTTCTACTTACCTTCCCAGGCCTCCTTTTGGTGCGTACTGCGCATGCGTGGCCAGCGAACCGGTAGCAAACTGGTTTGGATTTCACCACTGATTTTGTATAGATTTAAGAGATCATCACAAGGCCCTTCTGTAATTGTTTCTCCTTTTGGAGGTCAGCAAGTGGTAATTGGTGACCAGGAAATTTTCCCAGAATCTATTGTTATGCCCCTTCCAGAAAGCAGCAAAGCCATTCTAGTTTTCAAGGATTTTTTGAAATATCTGAAGTTGATGTTACTCTTGTTCCCATGATGGCTGTTGTTTTTATTTTTCTATTTGTTACTGGTTAATTTACACATGGCTTTTAGAGATATCGAAGCCACTTAACTCAATGATAGGATATGAAATCCCTAACTAAAAAATAAAGATAAATAAAGATGGCAGCATTGCCAGCCGCTGATAACAGAATTGACTACTGCAGATGGAATAAACCTCAATATGTGCTGAATGTGCTATCAAGACTGTAGAAAATGAGATGAAAATCATAGTTCTTTCCCAACGGTGAATTGCATTCATTTCACATTGTGTTTTCTGTACTCCGTCACAACTGTGCGGATGAAATCTCTTCCATGTGTTCTTCCACTGACTTACAATTCATGCATTATAGCTACAATTCCTCCTTTCTTTCTAGAACATTTTACACCTCGCGGGCCAAATCAGGCTGGAGGGGGACAGGGTGACCAGCCCTCTACAACTATCTCAGTTTCTCATATCACCCTTAGGGGAAATTAATTGCCCACTCCTGCTCTAGGGTGTGCATTATGGCCCATGTTCTAAGGAGGCTTTTGCTTTGCTCTTGCATGCTTTTCTGAGGAGTTTGAGTCATTGATAAAAGAATCAACCAATGTGACAGAATGTTATTTAACCCCACAGTTATGTATGGGGTGGGGTTTTTTTTATTCATTAGATACAATTTATCTGGAGAAACTAACCAAGCCACGTCAAAAAAGGGGTGAAACTGGCAAAATAGAATTGTCCCAAAAGGCAAATGAGAAAACTTTATAAACAAATATCTCCCATTCTAATTCTAGGTTAGTTTTTAAAAGAGTGATTGTTGATGTATGCCCATTAACTCATTGGCACAAAGCTTCACTTTCATCAGTGCCGAACTGTTAGCAGAAGATTACTTTAAAATCTGTTCTTGAAGAAGATGCTTTCTTCCCTCATTCTCAGTAAGACCTGGAGAACCAGTTTTCAAACAAAAACAGTATGATTGATTTCTTTCCTTACTTGATATATGCTCTTGATTACCTGGCAAACAGAACATGGAAATTATGATTTGTATTTGTCCTACAAGTAGTGCCAGTCATAATTTTTGTGTTTGGTGAGTAATTGTAAGAAAACTAAAAAAAAAATTGTTACTTTACTATACTAGTAACGATTAATAGTTAGTAGTTACAAAAAATGAAAGCCCTGTTACTTTGTTTGCATAGCACTGAAACCATGGCTTGGTGTTCAGTCTGAACTGAGTTAATATGTATGCATTCTATTTCTATTAGTTAATTTTGTTATTAAATGTGCAGGTTTGCCCAACAATCCTTTGGAAAACTAATTGAAAATATCTTCTCTCGTGCAGCAAAATAATCTCAGTAACCCACCCACACCTCCAGCATCCCTTCCTCCTACACCTCCACCTGTGACTTGCCAAAAAATTGTGAATGGATTTGCAACAACTGAAGAACTTGCCACCAAAGCTGGAATGTTGGGAGGAACTGATGGTAAGATGTTTGCTATCCACATCACTTTGCAGAAAGTCTGCCTATGTGATTGCTAAAAGTCAACAATGACTTGATGGTAATAATCAATAAAACCAGAGTTGCATAATATACATATTATATTCACTCAACTAATTAAAAAAAAGGGAAGACCTCCACCTTGGAAGCCACAAAAGCCAGGACTAATCTATCTTCCAGGGGAAAACTGTTCCATAAATATGAACTCCATCATGGAATATCTCCGAGCTTTAATATCCTGATTTTCTGGGGAAACTGATTAAGAGAAAATGAGGAACAATATGCTTTTTTTCCCAAAGATGTTCTTACTTGATTCTTGTAGGATTCAACCAAGCAAAATTCTTAATGTGTCTTGCAAGACAAATAGGATAAGGTTAATGTATCTCATTCTTCTCTGCCCTTTTCCTCTGCTTCAGCCACCCACTGATCCACCCATCCCCTTCACTTCCCTTTCCTTCAGTGCAACATCCATAATTAAATTCAGCACAGTCCAGGCTAGAAATCAGAAGACTCTTAAGTTCTAGTCCTACTTTAGGCATGAAAGCCGACTGGATGACTTTGAGCTAGTCACTCACTTTCAGCCCAATCCACCTCACAAGGTTGTTGTGGGGAAAATAGGAGGAGGAAGAAGTATTAGGTATGTGCTCTGCCATGCATTGTTTATAAAAATAATAAAGATAGGGTATTAAAATAAATAAATGAATATAAATAATCCAGCTGGTCCAGACTTACTTGCCCTTCCTCTTAGTTGCCCCAAGCATCTTCCTTGCTTCACCTTTCCCCATCTTTGCTGTCTTTACCTTTTCCCTCCTGTAAACCTACCCTGGAACCTCTATGCATCTTCCAAACACATGTTCAGATTCAGGCAAAAGAAACATATTTTGGTCCGCATATGACCTACTCCAAATTGAGTCTGGAATAGCCTACACACAGAATATGTTGGATGTTACTAAATGTTAGCAAAACATTCTCTGGCTCCTCAGAGATGCATGTAAGCTTTCATTAACCCAGTCCAGTCAGGTAGCTGTTTAAAATCATTTGTTTAATCTGTGCATCCTATCTGTTGCCAAAGCTTTAGGTTCAAAGCAGTTTCAGCTGCCTTTCAGGCCACAGGATGATTTGTTAGCCAGGGCCATAATTCAGGGTCCTAAGAGTGTGGATGTCCCTGCTTCTCTTCCAACCCCGCCTCATAACAATCATGAAGAGCTCAGGTAGGTGTCTTTTTTTAAAGGCATTAACATTGTATTGTGCTTAATATTGCTCATGTGTTTTGATACTGAGCAGAATCTGCTGTCCCATAATGATATTTTTGCTATTAAGTTCTTTGATCTATAAATTAAAGGAATATCTGTAATTTATGTCTCAACAAGCCACTCCAAAGACAGCACAATTTGTGAACTTCCAAGAGCTTCAGGCTAGTTCAGCCCATTATTTTTATAGTTCATCCATGTAATGTAGTTTTAAGCATTCAGAATAGTTTTCAGTTTTGATCTATTTTTCCCATTTTTAAAAATCAGAGTTAGACTCTGTTCTGTCAGTGAATGATCTTTGCTGAAAAAGAAAAATGCAATTTCCTGGGACCAGACTACAAAGCTAGTGTTGTCTAGTCCATTTGTATATGTGAACCATACTTACAAATGCCCTGGTTTTGCTGTGTGTCTTAGGATTCAGGATCCTTGTGATGATAGAGAAAGTCCAGATAGCTTTGTTCCTTCTTCTTCTCCTGAGAGCGTCATGGGCATGGAAATAAGTAGGTACCCGGATCTGTCAGCAGTAAAAGAAGAGATGCCACAGTCCATTCCATCTCCTGTCATTCCAATTCTGCCAGCCAGTACTGGAAAGGGTAAAGCCAACATTTATTCTGAACAAATATATACTGATTTCTCTAATCCAGTCATGAGATAAGTAGACTTCAATTTTCAGAATTTCCTAGCTAGCATGGCTGTCTGAGGAATTCTGGGAGTTGGAGCCCACACATCTTAAAGTTGCTGAGGTTGGGGAACATTGCAATCTAACCACATTCCAATGTGTCTTCTCTTTAAGTTTCAGAAGCAAAGCAAAATTTCATCAAAATGGAGCCTTGTTCAACTTTCTTCAGTTCTCAGCTTGGACTTGCCCCAAATAACACAGAATCTGGGCTTGTGTCCATTGCCATTACTTTGCATCCTACAGCTGCAGAGGTAAAGGAACCACACCTCTAGATGGACAAGGCTGGGTGCCGTCCTCAGTGTGCTACTGATGTCTTGGTTGCTAATTTTATTTCTACTGCAGTCAGTTGTACTAAATGCTGCTATGCAATTTCAGTATCATTTCATTGAATTGTATATAATAGGGTAATAAAAGCTAAGCTCAATAGCTTTGCTATATGCTGGATAAGAACATTATCCTATTGGCCATTCAATTTCCAGTTCCTTTCCTAATCATTCCAATTTTGTAATTAACTTCTTTTACTGGGTTTTAATTCAAGCTATCCACTGGCACTCCAAAATCCTTTTCTTCATTAGTCGCATGATCATTTCAGATCCCATTAATTTAAAGTTAGGATTTTGTGGACTAAAATACATTATTTTATACATTCTTGTCCTGAATTACATTTATCGATTTCTTACCTGTGTGACCAGTTTGATTTTACCACTCTGAACAATTTGGTATGATCAGCAAAGGTGGCTGCTTACCCTAACCCTGAATCATTTATATCCAAACTGAAAAGCCCCAGCCTTAACTCTGATGTCTTGAAAAACTTTCTGTATGTATTATATGTTAAAACTGCCCATATATTCCTAAAATATTTTCTGATTCTTAATTATTATTTTTTTTATTAAATTTGTATACCGCCCTACTCCCGAAGGACTCAGGGCGGTGAATCACTTGTCAGTATACAGGAGTGCTGATTCTCCTATTCCCTTTCAGCTGAGTTTGCTCACAATCCTTTAATTTTTATTTATGGGAGGATTTTTTTTTTAATTCCAAGCATATAACATCTATTTGACTTATAACAAATTAATGTTGTGGAAGTTGTAGAGTCCTCATAGTCACATGATTATTTATAACGTTCACTGAACCTTCTGATAAAGGCAAGAGGGAAGCCAGCAGGAAGTTGCAAATGGTAATCATGTGATTGTGGGATGCTGCGACACACAGGGGTAACTAGAATGTCCATTGTGATGTGACATTGCCCCTTATGACCACCTTGCTAAGAGATGGGAGTTCCTAGTCCCAATTACGGTTGATAAGTTGTTGTTTATGTTTATGTTTATTTGATTTATATACCGCCCTACTCCCGAAGGACTCAGGGCGGTGAATAGCCACGGGATAAAACACATAAATACAAAATTTAAAACTGAATAAAACCGAATTAAACAATTTGGCCGAAGACAGATTTAAAACACCCCAATAAATTAAGAACGAATTAAAATTTGCGTTTTAAAAAGGGAAAAATTAGGCCAGGCCAGCCTGATGGAATAAAAAGGTCTTGAGAGCGCCATGGAAGGTGCGTAGATCTGGGATCCTCCATATCTCTGGGGGGAGCTCATTCCAGATAGTAGGTGCCCCCACAGAGAAGGCTCTCCCCCGACATTGTTTGGCCGACGGCACCCGGAGGAGCCCCTCTTTATTAGAGCGTACCGGCCGGTGGGAGGCTACTGGTGGCAGCAGGCGGTCCCATAGATAACCAGGTCCTAAGCCATGGAGCACTCTAAAGGTAGTAACCAAGACCTTGAAGCGCACACAGAAGACAACCGGGAGCCAGTGCAGCTCGCGCAGGAGAGGTGTTACATGGGAACGCCATGTCGCTCCCATAACCACCCGCACGGCCGCACTCTGCGCCAGTTGGAGCCTCCAGATGCTCCTCAAGGGGAGCCCCATGTAGAGAGTGTTGCAGTAGTCCAGGCGGGAAGTGACGAGGGCATGAGTGACCGTGCATAAGGAGTCCCGATCCAGAAAGGGACGCAACTGGCGAATCAGGCGAACCTGATGAAAAATCCTCCCAGTCACGGCCGTCACATGCTCTTCTAAAGACAGCCATGAATCCAGGAGGACGCCCAAGTTGCTTGCCCTCTCTGTGGGGGCCAGCGATTTGCCCCCAATAGTCAGTGATGGCACCAACTGACTATATCGGGTTGTTGGAAACCACAGCCACTCGGTCTTGGATGGATTGAGCCTGAGCCTGTTTCTCCCCATCCAAATCCACACGGCCTCCAGGCACTGGGACATCACTTCAAGGGCATCGTTGGGTGGTCCGGGGTGGAGATGTACAGCTGAGTATCATCAGCGTACTGATGGTACTTCACCCCGAAACCACGGATGATCTCGCCCAGCAGCTTTACATAAATGTTGAACAGAAGGGGCGAGAGGACCAACCCTTGTGGCACCCCACATATGAGGCGCCTCAGGGTCGACCACTGCCCCCCTGTCAACACAGACTGCAACCGGTCGGAGAGAAAGGAGGAGAACCACTGCAACACAGTGCCCCCCACCCCAACTCTTCCAACTGGTGCAGCATGATACCATGGTCGATGGTATCAAAAGCCGCTGAGAGATCTAATAGGACCAGGACAGAGGAGCAACCTCTGTCCCGAGCCCTCCAGAGATCATCAAGCAACGTGACCAATGCCGTTTCTGTGCTGTACCCAGGCCTGAAGCCCGACTGAAACGGATCCAAGTATGCCGTTTCATCCAGGTGCTGGGGGAGCTGTCGCGCAACCACACTCTCAACAGCCTTCGCCACAAAGCGAAGGTTGGAGACTGGACGATAATTAGACAACACTGCCGGGTACAGGGAAGGCTTCTTGAGGAAAGGCCTCACCACCGCCTCTTTCAAGGCGGCGGGGAAATCACCCTCACTCAATGAAGCATTTATAATCCCCTGGAGCCAACCTCGCGTCACCTCCCAAGAAGCCAGCACTAACCAGGAGGGACACGGGTCCAACAAACATGTGGTCGCGTTCAGTCTACCCAGAATCCTGTCCACGTCGTCAGGAGTCACAGGATCAAACTCATCCCAGATAACATTCTCAAGACCTGCCTCAGTCATCCCCCCTGAAACTACCCAGTCGGAGTCCAGACCTTCCCGAATCTGAGTGATTTTGTCATGCAGATACTGTACAAAGTCCTCGGCTCTACCCTCCAAGGGGTCCTCCCGCACTCCCTGGTGGAGCAAGGAGTGGGTCACCCTAAACAGGGCAGCCGGGCGGTTCTCTGATGACACAATAAGAGCAGCAAAATAATTACACTTTGCTGCTTTTATCGCCACTAGGTAATTCTTAATATGAGATCTTACCAGTGTTCAGTCGGATTCAAAAAGACTGGCCCTCCAACTGCTCTCCAGGCGTCTTTTTCAGCTCTTCATCTCCCTCAGCTCCTCAGTAAACCAAGGGGCCAAGTGAGACCAGCGCCAGGTCGGAGGCCACAAAGGCACGACCCGATCCAAAGCTCCAGTGGCCGCCCTGTCCCAGGCGGCCACTAGGTCTCCAATCGAGGCGTGAGCCAGAGCCTCAGGGAATGGCCCAAGCTCCATCTGGAACCTGTCAGGCTCCATCTGGAACCTGTCAGGCTCCATCAGGTGCCTGGGGCGGAACCATCTTACCGGCTCGCCTCCCTGCGGCGAGGTGAAGCGGTTCGAAGGTCAAGGCAAAGGAGAGAATGATCCGACCATGACAAGGGCTCGGTGACTATATCCCCTATCTTGAGATCACTCAACCACTGTCCAGAGACAAAAACCAAATCCAGCGTGTTTCCCCCCGTGTGGGTAGGGCCATGAATTAGTTGTGTCAGGTCCATAGCCGTCATGGAAACCATGAACTCCTGAGCCACCTCAGACGTCTCACCCACGGATGGCAAGTTAAAATCCCCCATGACCATAAGCCTGGGGATGTCAACTGCCACCGCGGCGATAACGTTGAGTAGCTCAGGCAGGGCTGCTGCCACGTGGCAGGGAGCCAGGTACGTGATCAGCAAACCCATCTGTACCCCATGACCCCACTTCACAAGGAGGGACTCACATCCGGCAGTCTGAGGAACAGTGGCCTCCCTTGGCCTAAGACCTTTAATGACAACCGCAACCCCACTCCCCCCCCACCCCTCCCTTGTGACCTCAGTTGATGGAATGCATGGAAACCTGGTGGGCACATTTCAACGAGGGAGACCCCCCTCTCCTGGCCCAACTAGGTCTCTGTAATACCCGCCAGGTCCGCTCCCCCCTCCTGAACAAGATCACAGATGAGGGGGGCTTTATTTACAACAGACCTGGCGTTGCACAACATCAGCCGAAGGCCTAGGCCCTGAGGATCTGTGCAACCTGGGGAAAGAGTAGAGCATTGGGGGCCGGAGCGCGCCACCGCTCGAAGACAGCGAGTACGCGCTCCCGCAACACAATATGGACCCCTGCTCCCGCCATGCCTGCCCCTCCCACCCACAGTACTGATGGCAAAAACATCATCTGGATAAGCTCTAACCCGCTTTTCGACACTGTAACCCTCACCCCCCATAAGTGAGGACTACGTGTATCTTATTAATGACAAAGAAACTATACATTTACTTTTCTCCACTCTAGAATATTGGTAGTGTGGTGGCTGCATTCTCCAATCTTCTGCATGTCAGAATTCCAAACAGCTATGAAATTAGCACTGCATCTGATGTTCCGTCATCCATCGGAATAATGAATCCACACAGAACAAATCCAGCATTTGAGTACAGGCAGCATGTACTACTTCATGGTCCTCAGTCAGGAACCTTCGGCCCTCCTGGACTGACAGGGCCTTACGGACTCAAACCACACAATGCCCCATTTTTATCAAGTGGAAATGGTGAGTCAATGTGTGAGCTGCTAATATTTTGTTAATAAATAAGAAGTTAAACTCAGCATTGAAAATTTAAAAAAGGGATTTCAAGATAAAAACTAAATATTTATTTATTACTTTTTTATTTTTGTCTGTAATATCAATTTAATTCTGATAAAAGATTTGTAGGATTGGTTGTTATTCTGCTTCCAAGGGAACTAATCTGATATCAGTCATTAATCATGATTAGTTCCAAACTGCTACAGAAGTTACTGAAAAAAATAAACACCAAGAAGGACAATGCATAGATAGGTAGTTTTCAACATATAACCTTTTACTTAATGGTTATTAAGCAAAATTAATGGGGAAGCCAGATTCACTTAACAAACATGTTACTAATTTAACAGCTGCAATGATTCATTTAATAATTGTGGCAAGAAAGGTCGTAAAATAGAGTAAATCTCATTTAACGACTGTCTCATTTAGCAAAAATATGGGGCTCAATTGTGGTTGTAAGTCAAAAACTTACTGTAAATTAGGTAGAATGGGATGCATTAAGGATTGGTTATTAACTGATACCGAGACTGTATACAAACAAGTGGCTGTCCAGTCTCTTCTGAAAAACCTCCAGTGATGAAGCACCCACAACTTCTGGTGAGAAGTTGTTCCACTGGTTAATTTTCCTCACTGTTAGGAAGTTTCTCCTTAATTCCAGGTTGCTTCTCTCCTTGATAGATTTCCATTGTTTCATGCCCTGCTTTCAGGGTCTTTGGAGAATAGGTGTACTTCCTCTTCTTTGTCAAGAGGAGAAAAAAGAAGAAATGAAAAAATGGCTAGTAATATTTGAACCCTCTTCCCAGTTGACTGGAAGTCTTGGGAAAGTTTCTGAAGAACCTTTTTTTAATTGGTAAAAGTAAAACTGCTGAACGAACCTGATAATTTGGAGGAGTTTGTGCACGTTCAGAAGAACAGAGAACATAGAAGATAAGCCAGAAGGGAGCTTGGAGATCTTCTAGTCCACCCTTGCTAATGGCAGAAGACCCTATACCATCCCAGACAAATAGTTGTCCAATCTTTTCTTGAAATCCTCCAGTGATGGAACATCCACAACTTCTGAAGACAACTTCAGATTAGCAGTGGACACAACAATTAGTCAGGAAATTCCTCCTTAGTTCTAGGTTGGAGTTTCCATCTGTTATTTCTTGACTTGCCTTCTGGAAACTAGGTGAACCCCCTCTTTGGGGCAGCCCCTTAACTTTTGGAAGACTGCTATTATGTCACCCCGGTCCTTCTCTTTGTTAGACAAGACATAGCTAGTTCCTGCAACCGTTCATCATATGTTTCAGTATCTAATCCCTTTCTCATATCTGAGCCTTTTTAAAAATCATATCAGATTTTCAATCGATTCAATCAGTGGGATTCAGTGATGTTCTGTGTCAATTGAACTCCGAAAAGTTCAGTGAGCCAAATAGATTTGGACTGAATGATTGAACGACCCAACAGATCGGAGCAGAATTGAACTGAATTGATCATCTCTGCGCCAAACTTACAGATACAATTTCAGAACCATCAGTTCAATTCAATTTATTACAGTCGTAGACCAGAGACCAGGCCCCCCATCAACTCTTTCCCAATAGCAATAGCACTTAAGACTTATATACCGCTTCACGGTGTTTTACAGCCCTCCCTAAGCAGTTTACAGAGTCAGCCTCTTGCCCCCAATAATCTGGCTCCTCATTTTTCCGACCTCGGAAGGACCTTACCAGGCTCAGCCTTGAGCCTGGTGAGAAGCGAACTGCTAATAGTGGGCAGAGTTAGCCTGCAATTCTGCATGCTAACCACTGTGCCACCAGGGTACTTAGTAACGATAAGAGGACATTAATGCATATGAATAAAGTTGTGGTGTAACTGAAGGCCAAATACAGCTTTTTAGGCTGGGGCCTCGGCATCCATATTTTTCAATGAGACAGACCAAGCCTGGAAGACCATTTTAAGTACAATTTATCAGAATATTCTGACCAAAGGGATTCCTCTCATTGGAAGAGGGAGCCCAGATCCTTAGCTTACATTCCATTTGATAGCTAAGACATCAAAGAAAATGCAAGAGAAAAGGGGATTGGACAGGAGAAAACAGCAGTCTCCAATCTTTCCAGCTTGGTGGCTCTGCCTGGTGCGGTGTGTGTGTGTGAGTGAGTGTGTGTGAGTGAGTGAATGTGTGTGTGAGTGTGTATGTGTGAGTGGCAGGCATACGCACCTGCGTACAGCTCCATTTTTAGAGTGGAACTTCACTGTGGGCTTGTCAACCATTCATTTCTCCCCTGCAGCCCAGTTTTCAACAGGCCATGGCCCAGTACTTTCTACAGTAAATCAGTTACATGTAGTCAAACATGTTACATGTATGTCCATCTAAATGAGATCTGACATCAGAAGGGGCATAAAATTTAAGATGTTTACAAGGAAAAAGGTTTCTTGGAGTTGGTGAAGGGACAGACCAGATGCCAATTAGCACTGACAAGCTTTCTTTTAGCAGAAGATTTTCTCTGGACATCCCCTTATCTTTTCAGTTTAGAGATGTTAGAAGCTGTCAATCAATCCATACAGCAACAGGATAAAAAGTTTTCTTACATTCCAGTCTCTAATGGTTTGATAAAGCCTTACCGCCACTTTAAAAGAGAGAAAAAGAAGTCCAGTTAAAATACAAAGTAACTATGTTAGTTAATAAGTTATAAAGTCATTCACTTGTGCCCCTCACAACCAACAAGATTCCTTTTTTGGATTACTCATCCGATCATTCAGAGTGATACCCATCACCTCTTTCCTTCCTGGTCCATGCACTCTTTTCCATCAAATCCCTTCGTTTGGATCCGACAGGGTCCCATCAGATGATGTGCCTTAATGGAGGGGACTGGGGGATACAGACTAGACAGCATCATCACCAGATGGATTCATAACTGGCTAACCAACCGCACTCAACATGTAGTCCTCAATGGAACTGCATCTACATGGAAAGAGGTATGCAGTGGGGTACCCCAGGCCTCTGTTTTAGGCCCAGTACTCTTCAACATATTCATCAATGATTTAGACAAGGAGATAGATGGGGAACTCATCAAATTTGCAGAAGACACCAAGCTAGCAGGAATAGCCAACATTCCAGAAGATAGTCTGAAGATACAGAAAGATCTTGATAGACTTGAACATTGGGCCTTATCGAACAAAATGAAATTCACTGGTGAAAAAATTAAGGTTCTACATTTAGGCAAGAAAAACCAAATGCACAGGTATAGTATAGGTGGTACCTCACTCAATAGTAGTAACTGTGAGAGGGATCTTGGAGTCCTAGTGGACAACCATTTAAATATGAGCCAGCCCTGTGCTGCAGGTGCCAAAAAAGCCAACACAGTTCTAAGCTGCATAAACAGGGGGATAGAATCAAGATGATGTAAAGTTAATACCACTTTATAATGTCTTGGTAAGGCCACACTTGGAATGCTGCATCCAGTTTTGGTCGCCATGATGTAAAAAAGATGTGGAGACTCTAGAAAGAGTGCGGAGAAGAGCAACAAAGATGATTAGGGACTGGAGGCTAAAACATAAAGAACAGTTGCTGGAACTGGATATGTCTGGTCTGATGAAAGGAAGGATTAGTGGTGACATGATAGCAGTCTTCCAATATCTTGGAATAGGAAGAGGGAGCCAAGCTATTGGCAAGAACAACTTGCCTCCAAGAAGTTGTAAATGCTGCAACACTGGAAATTTTCAAGAAGAGATTGAATAACCATTTGTCTGAAGTTGTGTAGGGTTCCCTGCCTAAGCAGGGGGGTGGACTAGAAGACCTCCAAGGACCCTTTCAATTCTGTTATTTTAATTCCTGAGGAACCATCTTAGTCCCCCCCACTCAGTCTGATAGAGGGGCCATACTCCAAATCCCCTCAGCTAAGGAACTGTGGCTGTTGGAATATAGGAGAACAGCCTTTTCTGCCATGGCACCTAATCTTTGAAACATTATTCCCCTTGAGGTGAAATCTGCTTACCCTGTGCCCCCCTTGGCCTACTGAAAGGGTCTGAAGAGCTAGTTCTGTCAACTAGCTTGGCACCCTGATAGGGCATCTCATTTAGGGCGCGGCTAGTAGACCAATCGAAGATCCCACCTCCACTCCGTGTGTACATCGGTTGTTTTATTCACTTTGTTGTTAACTTAGTGTTCTAACTTTGCTGTCCAGTGTTTTGATCTTTTGACATTTTTACTGTTTTATATCATTATTTATAACATTGTGAGCTGCCTAATGTCTCTTGATAGTGAGATGGGTGGCATATAAATTTAATTTATATTAAATAAATTTATTTAAATTTATTTAAATAAATATATAGGGGCCTGGTGGCTCAGCAGACTAAAAGCATTGTGATTAACACCAGCTGTCTGCAATTACTGTAAGTTCGAATCTCACCAGGCTCAAGGTTGACTCAGCCTTCCATCCTTTCTAAGGTAGGTAAAATGAGGACCCAGTTTGTGGGGGCAATAAGCTGACTTTGTATAAATATACAAAAGGATGAAGGCTATTGCTTAACGCATTGTAAGCCGCCCTGAGTCTCCGGAGAAGGGCGGCATATAAATCAAATTTAAAAATTTTTTAATTTAGTGATAACGGAGCAGGTATTTGTAGGGATAAGAATATTTACAGTATAATGATGCATACATTAAAATAATTTGTATTCTTCTCATCTTCAGTTTTGGCAGGATATAAAGCACAAAGTCCAAATGTTGCCGATGGTTTGGCATTAAGGTCACAGTGGTGTTCTCATTGTAAAGTGGTAGTACTGGGCAGTGGAGTACGAAAATCTTTCAAAGAACTGCATTTCCTGAAACAGGTATATCTGTAATGACCTCCATTTTTAATTGTGATTTCCCTTATAGCAGGGGTGTCAAACTCGCGTCAACACAGTATCGCAACTTTTTTCCCTTTCGCTAAACCAGGTGTGGATGTGGCCAGCACACGACGCATCCAGCCTGTGGGCTGCGAGTTTGACAGCCCTGCCTTATAGTATTAAGGGTACAAGAGGGTTGGGAATATTCTGTTTCTTGCTGACTATGTTCCAGCAGATAAAATTTGAAATCAATTGAATGCTCTCTATTTTACCTGAATAAAACTTGAAATTTATCAGATATTCCAGGGATAGGGCACAACAAAGAATCAAAGCAAGCTCCTTTTTTTTAATCCAAGGCCATCAAACCAGGTGGAGAGGGGGAGGCCATGCTAACTACTGCCCAGTGACCAACTTGCATTGATATTGACTAAGAGGATTGTTTTCAAAATGTTTTTCAAGAACTTATAGGAAAAAAAGTTGTTGTTTTTTCTGTCCTACCTTCTTCTATCTGTATTGCAAGCTATACGTCTTCAACAGAAGGCACTACATAGTCCATCCACATGACCTCTAACTGAAATTATGCATTTTAATAAAAGTATTGCTATGTCCAGGATTCTACTACACTCTTACCTTACCTGGTCTACGGCAGTAGCAGTAAAAACATGATGAAGCCCAGCTGCATTAGTACTTATTTTGAAAGGGGAAGGGCATGGAAAACAGTTCAGTCATAATCCACAAAACAAAAGTGCATTTCAGGGCTCAAAATACTTCAGACTGTTTAAGACAATGCTGTCCTTTTGATCAAGTACAGAATGATGAGAATATCCATTTTGAGCTCAGAAAGTTTTTCACACCTGAGGTGTTAGAACTCTTGTTCAAATATGCTGGCTGGGGAAATTGGGAAGTGAAAGTTCAAGTATCTTAAAATGCCAAGGTTGAGAAAACTGTCTATTGCTGCTTGTTTTGCTTTATTTAATGTAAAAATTTGCTCTTTTAACAGTAAATGATCTCTGATAGTGCAGGAATGTTTTATATAGCACTGTTATTTATTTTCTTTTAATCTGCATCATTTCTTTCATTTAAGTGGCATAAAAATAGAAATAGTTCTGTGTATTCTCAGCATAAATACCAAAATATTCCAAAATAATTGGCATGTCTTCAATTTCCTACCATCTATTAATTTTTATTTGACCTGAGATTATGTTTACTACTAGTTAACAATGAGCTAAGCAAATAATCATAAGGCAATATATTTATTTCTTTTTTTTATTAATACATTTAACTATTCTGTATGTTGGAGAGCAAATTTTATTTGTTATAAATGTATGTTATTAGTGAAATCTTTAAGAATGATAGTGTTGAATGTTTTTCTAGTCCAACCTAAAATAAATTTCTCAAACAAAATCATGTTTTAATATAAGCTTCCTACAGATATTGAAGAGCTTGATGTTTCTATCATTATTTTATTGTTTTGTCTGGGGTTTTTTATTTTTAGGATTCCAAGGAAAAGTCTGAGAGAATAGAGAAAGACATTGTCTTCTGTAGTAACAATTGCTTAGTTCTTTATTCAGCCTCCATGCAAGCAAAAAATTCAGAAATCAAGGTAAATACTTACCACATACTTGCAATGACACTGCTTTAATATAAAATTTTAATAAAAAATTGTCTAGAAGATCAAGAGCAATGCAGATTGTTTAACATACATTTATTTGTTTTTCATTTTTTTCATCAATCTGCAGTAAAGATTCACCTTTTTTCACATAGGACCTGTATATATGTTTTAAAGTGTTTCCAAATATGAAAACTATATATTATATATAATTATATATGAATCTATTTTGAAGGGAAAATTTGGACTCTTTAAGATATAATTATTTTAATTATATTCTAGATTTTATATAAAGTGGATCTCTTCAAACATTTACTGCACATCTCAAAGCACTTCACTCATACTTTACAAGATTTTGCAAATAATGTTGGGATCTGTCATACTAATGGGAAAATATAACTGGTACACTAGAATTTCATTAAATAAAAGTGGGTTAAAAGTTATAAATAAATTAAATTACTTCAGATTGTCATTCCCTCTCACACACAGTGTTTAATAAGAACACTCAGATTTGCCTCTATCAATAAAATAGATGCTGCTGACATTAATCTGTCTTCAACAGATCGGACTGTACATGACAAAGAAAGAATATAATATGGATATATAACTGTCTATTCAGATATCTTTTGCATTTTCTAAACCTGGTCCAAGATAAATTGAAATCCCAATTTACAATGATAGAATGATAGCACAAGCTTATGCTTTGTATCAAGATTTTATATGTACATTTCAAAACCAGAGATCCTTTTGGTTAAGAAGCTATTTGCAATTTTATTTCCTTAAACATTATTTTAATATTCTCAGCTCTGAATTTTAAAACTACTCAGTTTTGCAAAGTGATTATTAAATCATGCAAACTTCTATTACTTAGTACAAAACTGTGATCTAGTTCCAATAATGCATGCACATAACTTTTGCTGTGAATCTCTCTTCAACTGCTGTTCTGATTATTTCTCAGGAATCCGTCCCTCCTGAAATCCAATTTTCAATGAAAGAACCTCCAAAAGGTTTCCACCAATATAGTACAAACATCTCCACATTTGATGTTCACTGCCTCCCTCAACTGCAGGAAAAAAATTCTCCCCCCTCATCACCCCTTATTATTTTTCCTCCTGCCTTTGAAGCAGCCAAAGTGGAGCCCAAACCAGAAGAACTTAAGGTAACCGTGAAATTGAAACCCCGCTTAAGAACTGTTCCCAATGGCCTTGATGACTGTCGGCCAGTGAACAAGAAATGGAAAGGAATGAAATGGAAAAAATGGAATGTACAGATTGTGATTCCTAAAGGAACATTCAAACCCACTTGTGAAGAGGAGATAGATGAGCTTCTCAAGAAACTGGGCACAACCCTTAAACCTGATCCTGTCCTGAAAGACTACCGAAAATGTTGCTTCTGCCATGAAGAGGGCGATGGGCTAACTGATGGACCGGCCAGGCTTCTGAATCTGGATTTAGACCTCTGGGTTCATTTGAACTGTGCTCTTTGGTCTACTGAGGTCTATGAGACACAAGCTGGTGCCTTAATCAATGTTGAGCTAGCTCTGCGAAGGGGCTTGCAAATGAAATGTGTGTTCTGCCACAAGATGGGTGCTACCAGCGGCTGCCACAGGTTAAGGTGCACCAATGTTTATCACTTCACCTGTGCCATTAAAGCACAATGCATGTTTTTCAAAGACAAAACTATGCTTTGCCCAATGCACAAACCGAAGAGCACTCATGAGCAAGAACTCAGTTATTTTGCGGTCTTCAGGCGAGTCTACGTCCAGCGGGACGAAGTCCGACAGATTGCTAGCATCGTACAGAGGGGGGACCGTGAGCACACTTTCCGGGTGGGGAGCCTGATCTTCCACAGTATTGGTCAGCTGCTGCCCCACCAGATGGTTGCCTTCCACTCTTCAAAGGTGCTCTACCCGGTGGGGTTTGAGGCCAGCCGGTTGTATTGGAGCATACGATACACTAACCGCCGTTCCCGCTACCTGTGTTCCATTGAAGAGAAGGATGGCTTTCCCTTGTTTGTGATCAGAGTGATTGAGCAAGGACACGAAGATATGATTCTGACTGGCCTGACTCCAGAAGGTAAATTAAAACCCGGGAACCCTAGTTGAGCTAGGCCAGGATGATCTGATTGAATTGATAGGCACTGATGTTTAAAATACCCAGAGGAAAGCCGCTTGCCTATTTCTGAGATAGTCTTTCTAAGCAGTGCATTTATTTACTTTCACTTCATGAGAAAAAAAACAAATACTTTTTATATTACAAAATGGAGAAACCATAAATGATGACAAGGTGTAATATGTCATGAATCTGAGGGTATATTTACCTACTTTTAAGAACAGCTAAGGACCAGATGGTTTTTACTATGTCCTGATATGTAAAACTCAAAATGGGTGTGTTTTCTTTTCAATATTACTGTACCTTCTTTATGGTCATGTGGCATTTTCTGGAAGCTGAAAGCAAAACCAGCTAAAATCATATCACCAGGTTTTGATTATCTTGCTTTGGAAGGTTCCCATTCCAGCATTTAAACTCCACTATACCCCTCAGGCCTTTAAGAAAACCCCTAGCCAGGAGAAGATTGCTTGAGAATTCTGATCTTGATTTAATACTAGGTTAGGAATGTATGTAGACCTGGAAAGCAAAATTATTGAAGAATTCATCCCAATAATATGTAAGGCTATTTCCCATGATACATATTTTTAGAAAACGTTAATTATCATTGTCACTGTCATTTGTGTTCGCATTTTAATTTGCAACATCTGACCAAAATAAATAATACAATGAATATAGCCTTTCTTGCAGAAATATCCACCTTTAAAACCTGTTTTGGGGAGGCATATAACTATAACCTCTTAAGCCTTGTCCTCTGTATTTTATATTCATTCCAGCATTATTTCCAAAGCAGATATAAAATCGAGTCTGGTGGACCTCTAATTCCTACAATAAATTTCCTACCCTAACCATAAATAATGTCCTAATAATAAATAGAGCAAAGCATTCAGTTCTCTTTCTGTATTTCCATTGTTTATTGTATTTTTCCCTGTACAGATGTTTGGGATAAAATCCTTGAGCCTGTTGCATCTATACGGAAAACCTCCGAAATGCTCCAGCTATTCCCTGTATATCTCAAGGGCGAAGATCTTTTTGGACTGACTGTCTCTGCAGTGGCTAGAATAGCTGAATCAGTGAGTGTTTGGGCGATGGGGCCAGGCTGAATCTTCATCCATTCTTGCTTAGTAATAATCAGAATTTGATTATTATTGTTATTATTATTGATTAATATTATTATTATTATTATTGTGGCAATTGTTTATAGAATATATTAGAGAAGAGTGCTGTAGTTGGAACAGCAGAACTTAACAAAAGCTGAAATTCATCCTTAGAACAAATAAATATAGAGAGACAGATACACAGACATACACAAGCATATACACACAATATCCTTCTTTCTGTTCTGTTGAGATAAATCGGAGCCCCTTCCCTTGGCTGGTGGTGTAGTGGCAGTGGGAATGTAAAGAAAGAAAATAAATCCAGGTGTGTAGTTTCCAACTGCCAGAGTTGCTCGGCAGTAATGGCATATACATTTAGTAAATAAATAATCCTCCCCACAATCTCCAGCGGCACAGAATGTACCAGCCCTAAAATATTTCTCATCTCGGGAACATTTTACCCTGAAGTAAACTCCTTTCTTCTATATTAAACTATGGGCCAAATTTAATTATTTTAAATCTATTTTTAATCGCACTTTATGTATAAATGTTTTATTTTGGCTGTTCACCGCCCTGAGTCCGAAAGGAGAAGGGCGGTATAGAAATTTGAATAATAAATGAATAATAATAACTATTATAGTTGAAACCTGTAGACTGCTGAAGAAAAATGAGAATTGGTCTTTGTGCTGCTACCTGTTTGGAGCTCTCTGTTCTTAAAGAGAATAAAAGAAAAACAGGAAACAGTTTTATGCACTCTTTGTACTTCTTTCATCAGTGTGAAGAAGATGGTTTTGTTTCAAGTATCAAGAGTTGTTCTTTTGGCTCTTCTGCAATTTCACTGACCCGGATTTCTTTGTATTACAGCTTCCTGGGGTTGAGGCCTGTGAGCGTTACACCTTCCGTTACGGCCGAAACCCACTCATGGAGCTGCCTCTCGCCATCAACCCCACTGGCTGCGCTCGTTCTGAGCCCAAAATGAGCAGCCATGTCAAGAGGTTTGTGTTAAGGTATTTTCTTTTAAATTCACATAGTACAGCCCAGGGTTTATAGGCTACGTAGGATACTTGTGCTTCTGTGTGCTGCTTACAAACCCTGCTGTCTTTGGCTGTGTATGTGGCCCGTCCGAGTTGGGGCAGCTGCTTTAATGTCTCTGCTAGGTGGCTTTGAATGTCTGTTTACCTAGGAGCTATTTTATTATTCAAAACATTACAACATTCAGAGAGATCTTCAGTTTTCCTTCTCTGTTTCTTCTGTTCTGTGACCCTTTGGTACAGGCCTCATACCTTGAATAGCACCAGCACTTCAAAGTCATTTCAGAGCACAGTTACAGGAGAACTAAATGCACCTTACAGTAAACAGTTTGTTCATTCAAAGTCTTCTCAGTATCGGAAAATGAAGACTGAATGGAAGTCCAATGTCTACTTGGCACGGTCACGTATTCAGGTCAGTTTGGACCAGGAAAGTATCCACTATATTTTTGTATTGAAAATACCAGATGTGTTTAAAAATAACATTTGTTTAATAAGCATATTTTATATTTATTATTTGTTTCATTTACATATTCATGCTAATTTATCCTTCATTGAAACTCACTATTTGTTTATTTATTTATTACTAGCATCTGTATATTGCCTACTTGAACAACTCCATTAAATTGCAAGTGATTAATCTCCATTGAACATAGTGGGACTTTTCTCTCAGTACAAGTAGTCCTCTACTTAGGACCGGTCACTTAGCTACCATTTTGAAGTTATGAAGGACCTTCCTGTAGCCACTTATGACCTGGTTTCAAAGTTCTGATGACCCGTGTTCCCCCTCCCCGGTGATCACGATTATATTTCATGCACTTGGCATTTATGGTCACTTGCGTCATCCCATGGTCACGTGACCACTATTTAACCCCCCCCCAAATAAACCACCCTTTACCTCTTGTTTTTGGCAAAAAAACCATCCATTGGGTACAATGGGTTTGCTGTGGCACTCACTTTATGACTTTGGCATTCTTTAAAGTCGTAAAATTGGCACAATCATGTGGTGACCTGCTTAGTGACCACAATTTATTCCCATAATTCCAGGTTCAATTACTGTCGTAAGTCAAGGACTACCTGTAATCATTGTAGCATTAGTTGAAAAGAATTGTAGGATTGTTAAAATATCTTAAAATAGACATGCTGAGATTTTGAAACCTATTTAAATCAGCAGAAGAGGCCAGTGATGTGCTCTATTACCAAATCATTCCTGCCTTTTCAGGGCCTGGGTTTATATGCTGCTAGAGACATTGAAAAGCACACTATGGTAATTGAATATATTGGAACCATCATTCGCAATGAAGTAGCCAACAGGAAGGAGAAGCTTTATGAATCTCAGGTATTCCTTAAAACAAGAAACATTTGTGTTTCAAGCTTTGTGAGACATGGAGGATCTAAGAGTTCCATGGGTTTCATTAAGGCCTTTGGTGTTAATTACAACTTTAGAAGTTTTTAAATATAGGTTTTCATATAGATTTTAATACTATTTGTATTTTCATTGATAACATCATCCTAAGTGCCCTAAATAAGGGAAAGGCTAGCTGTCTGACTGACTGGTTATCTCTTTTTCTCTTCATCATCCATCCATCCATCCATCCATCCATCATCTATCAGTCTATATCTTTATCTCACTATCTGTCTTATCTATCTTGAAGCACCAGGTGTATGTGTGCGTGTGTGCATGTTTTTAAGTGTTCAGATAAAGGAAGTTTTTTGTGAACCAGCCATAGTAACATTTGATTCTTTCACTTATAGAGGCTAAATGTGACTATGATTAAGTTATGTTTGAGCCTTCCTTGGAATTTCATTTTTGGTGTTTCTATTCTTAAAATCCTAACAAGAATGCTACTGTTTTGGAAAAGACCTTAAGGTTTCCAATGTTTTAATAAACTTTTGGATTGTAATTACAATTCAGGAATGGCTACATATCATGTCTTTGAATATTGATACTTGTTATGCTGGCTTAGTCCTTTTTTCCCCCTCCTTTCTGGTTTCCTGCCTACAGAATCGTGGAGTGTACATGTTCCGCATTGATAACGATCATGTCATTGATGCCACATTGACTGGAGGTCCTGCAAGGTAGGTAGTTCTAGAAGGAAACTAGTGCTGGATTAAAGGTAAAGGTTTCCCCGTCCAACCATGTCCAATTCTAGGGGGTGGTGCTCATCTCCATTTCTTGGTTGAGGGAACCAGTCTTTCCAGAAGAGATTTTCCATGGTCATGTGGCCAGCATAGCTATAGGCCAAAGGCGCATGGAACACTGTTCCCTTCCCAGCACCTATTAATCTATTCACATTTGCATACCTTCGAATTGCTAGGTGGGCAGGAGCTGGAACAGGAAGGGGTAGCTCACCCTGTTGTGTGGAAGTCGGGTCTTGAACTCGGGCTGTCAGTTCTCCAGCTGACATGCTAAGCATCTTTAATGGCTGAGCCGTCGTGCCCCAGTGTCGGATTAGAATGGGTCAAATTCAGCCTTGGAAGCTCACTAGGTGCCTTTGTGCCAGGCACACTATCAGCCAATTATCTGCACGGGATAATTGTGGGAAAGATTGGAGGAAGGTATGCTGTATATGCCACCCTGGGTTCCTGACATCCATGACCTGTTTATTTTTGAAAAAAAAACTTCACTTGAAACCATTTTTTCCACAGCAGCCTAAGTTGGTATTGTCTTTATCACCAGTAGTATCTTCCTACTATATTGCAACCTTGTTGTCACATTTCCTAACTTTAAATAGATAATTTTATCTTTTGTTGCTCGAAGTATCGTATAGTAAAATTATTGTACAATATATATTTACACTTCTCTCCCCTACCTTATAGGTACATTAACCATTCCTGTGCACCCAACTGTGTGGCTGAGGTGGTAACCTTTGAACGGGGACATAAAATCATAATTAGCTCTAACCGGAGAATCCAGAAAGGGGAAGAGGTACGGTGTATATGGCTTTTAGTACCATGCATATATTCATATACTGAATATTCTGCTGCTTCTTTTTGCAAAGAACAAAATACTTGGTATTGATGGCTGGTAGACAGATTCTTGCTCTCTAGGCTGAAGGCAAAAGTCTGTAGGAACCTTTGAGTTTGCTCTCTAAGAGGAAGCAGTTTCCCATCTGATTTTATTTATTTATTTATTGAAGGCTAGCATGTTTAGGATCTGGAGGGAATTTTTTTTGGCAGAAGACCCTTTAGCAGCTGGAGCAATTTGCCCTTTGTTAAAATGCAGGCCAAAGACATTGTTTGGGGTGGGAGTAGGGAGTTGGTATCAATGAACCGAGATTGAACTAACACCTTAATGAAATAATAATATGTTAAGAAAAAACAGAAGCAAACTTTGTCCAAGAAATAATAAGGAAGGACCTGCATTATATCCAAAAGTTCCAGAACTAAAAGCAATATTCTAGGGTAGTCTTGAAACTCATTGTCTTTTAAGACAGTTGTTACAATGCCCCTTATAGGGTTGGGTTGTTTATAGCAACCGGCTTGATCTAGCAATTAAGGCTCCAGGCTAGAAATAAGGTGGTGAGTTCTAATCCTGCCTTAGGCATGAAAGCCAGCCAGGGGACTTTCCCTTTTTCTCAGCCCAGCCCACCTCACAGGGTTGCTTTGTGAGAAAAATAAGAGGAAGAATTATTAGATACGCTCACCACCTTGAGTTATTTATAAAAAGGTAGGATAAAAATAAACAGACGGTTTGTACATCTCATTTTTTATACAGATGTGTATGTTGAAAATGCACTTTTAGTTCTGGAATAATAATTAAAAGCTAATTGGCCATTTTCATTTCAGCTGTGTTATGACTATAAATTTGATTTTGAAGACGACCAGCACAAGATCGCATGTCACTGTGGGGCTGTAAACTGCCGAAAATGGATGAACTAGATGCATTCCTTACTCCCTCTGAGGGCAGCGTGTCCCAAGGAAGAAGTGATTTTTGATGCTGTTCATTTGCAGGGTGGGGATGTGTTATGTGTAATGAAAACAATCACTTCTCTCAAGTTATCTCTTCTACTCCAGTGTAAAGTGAGCACCAGAAGCCAGCTGGCAGAATATGGAGTTAGGCCTGGCTTCCAGGCACCCAGAAAGGAAACTGATCTCCAGACCAGTCCAGCACTTTTGATTTCATTAAAAGAGAAATTTCTTTTCACTAAAGAGAAATCAGACTCGGGCAGAGAAGCTGTGGCTGACCTGCTGAAGGGCAGTGGGGCACTAATGAATGTAGACTGAAATCACCAGCGTAAGGGAGATATCCAAAGTGCTGGCCACAGCCTTACTTACTAAAGGGGCAGGCCCTCTAAAAACAGGAAAAAAAATTAAAAACGTAGACACCACTGAACAAGGAATGTACTGAAATGACTTCCTTAGGGATAGAGCTAAGGGAAAAATAACTTGCACTAAAATACATTTAAAATACTTGATTCCATGAGTCAGTTTATTGTAGTTTTGATTTCTGTAAAATAAGAGAAACTTTTTGTATTTATTATTGAATAAGTGAATGAAGCTATTTTTAAAAGGAAAAGTTAGAAGCCAAGCTGCTGCTGTTACCTGCAGAACTAACAAACCCTGTTACTTTGTACAAAAATGTAAATATTTTGAGGATAAAAGTACAGTATAAAAATAGAAATTGACCAAATGCTACCAGACCTTGCAGCAGTTCGGGTGCTTATTAAACTTAATAGGGATGTTACAATATGATTTCATGTATTAAACATGTCATTACAATTGTCATGGGTAACCAAAATCTCAATTTAAGAGAGGTTTTACTTTATTTTTTTAATCTTTAAAGCAGGCTCAGTTATGCTGTATTGACTTTTTTTTTTAAAGCAGCCCTTCAGATTGATTAGAGCGCGTGTAAATTACAGCAGTGGTTTTTGTAGATGTTTGAGGAAATTTAGACTGATCTATTTTATTTGTATTATATTGTTACATCCCTATTTCCTAAATCAGGTTCTTTTTTGTGTGTAGAATTTGTGATAACTGTGAATAACTGCTAAAACCACCCAAACTAGATGCTGAACATTGATTTTCTTTTCCAACAGAAATAGTGGAGATTATATGAACTGTTCAGTTTACACTAAAATTATGTAATAAAACTAGGAATGTGTAGTGAGAGCGTAAGTCAATAGCTGCCTTCTTGAAAAGTAAAATCAAGGAAAAAATTATAGAAATTGTGCTTTCAGCTGCAGGACTCTGCCAATAGGATTTTGAAAAAAAAAAGTAATTTAAAATGTGTTTGTATGAATTGTTTTGTTTACATTTCTTTAAAAAAAATAAACACTGTTTGTGTTTGCTTGTAGAACCCTAATCAACATTTTGAACCAGGTTAGCTTTTTTATTTTGTACTTTCAATTCTGGTACTGACACTTCACAGTCTAAATATTAAAAAAATGAAGTTTTTTTGTGTGCACAGCTAAAGTGGACTGTAAAACTGGTAGTATATTCAGTGATACAGTTCTGAACTTGTAATGTATATGGCATGATGTATTTTTATCTTACAGAATAAATCATTGTATATATTTTTCTCTTGATAATAGCTGTATGAAATTTGTTTCTTGAATATTTTTCTTCTCTTGTACAATATTCCAACATCCTACCAGTATTTGTCTTACAGGTTTTTATTCTGTTCTGTATAATAGTTATCTAATGTTGGCAAAAATGATTTTTTGAAGTATACAGAGTGTTATGGGCTTTGAAATTTGTGGAAAACAAATTTAGAAAATTGGCATTTACAAATAAAATATTTTACATCTATAAATATTTTAATATTTTCCTTTATATCAGGATGCAGCACATCCTGAATATATAATCTCCAGATACACCAAAGAGGCTGTTTTTGCCATCAAGAAGATATCTTAGATAGCTCAATGCTGTACCCAAATCCCAATTCTACAAAAACAGATGCATATGTAATATAAAAAGTATAGAAAACATAATTGTGCAGATTATGTTTTATGCATAGCAGAACTTACATTATTTAATAAATGATCATGCTAGTAGCTCTAGTTAATTTTTTTCCATTTTGGACATCCTTGTCAGCTATAGAACCTGCTCTATTCTTTGGAATTAAAAAAAAAAAAAAGCCTATTTAAGATGATTGTAACCCTCTCTCCCCCGCCCCCCAAAGCTTTTGATTATATCTTATGAACAGACCACAGTTGATTCTGCACACTTAATTAGGTTAACCTGATGAACAGAGGCCTAGGAAGAGCTTTAACAGACTAACAGACTGGCTGGTTTCATTGAATTAAAATAAAAGGTACTGTTACGAAAGTTAAAAATCATAAATGGCATAAGGTAACCAAGCATTTAATGTACACTAGAGACCAAAGGGACAGTTGCTAATATAAGTGTCAATAATACCTAGTGTTAATAATAAAAAATGCAATACAAAATACATAAAAATGGATATTTGTTTTCTCTCCATGATATTGCAAAGATAAATCATAAAACATTTTTCTAGACATACTTTTTATGTGCTGCCTGATTTTAAAAAGGAATATTAAAACCTTAACTAGAAGCTAGTCTCATTCATAATCCTTAATGTGGGCCTTAAACCTGCACTGCATAAATTAAGGACCAGGTTTCCCAATGAAAGGACCAGGTTGATCTAATATCAAATTCAAGCTTCTCACAAATATTTATGTGTATCAATAACTTGTAAAATGTAAAATGATCTGTTTTTTTTCTTTACCTTTTCACAAACAAATGGGGTAGAACTGAGTATGGTAAAAAATCAAGCAATGTACAGGTAAGTCCACAATTTACGATCATCACTTAGCAACCATCTGAAGTTCCAACTGATCCAAAAGATTTATGACCTGGATTCAAAATTCTGATGATGGAGTTCCTCCACAGTCATCTCACCAAAATTTGGGCACTTTTCAAAATAGCTCCACTTATGGCCATCTGCAGCATCCCACAATCATTGACCATGTTTTATGATGGTTTTCCCAAAAAACTGACATTTACATCCAATTTTCAGCAAAAATGTGTCCATAGAGAAGCTTTGGTTTGCTTAACAATTGTTGCAAAATCTTGTAAAATCATTTTACAACTGTTACAACATGCAACAGTAATGGGCAGTCTCTATTATGTTATCATATATTACCTGTAAACTTTTTTAAAATGCTGTTTTGTACTGTGGCATTCCAAATTGCCTTGGAAGAACAAGAAAAGTTATGCCACCTGCCCTTTGCCCCTCATTTGTCAATCATCCTCTCATGTAGAATTTCTCAATCTTAAATTTAAGATATCTGCATTTCAACTCCCAGAATTCCCAGGCAACATGCCAGGTGAGGAATTCTGAGAATCAAAGTCCAGCCTGTTTTGATGCTGCAAATCCCACAGCCACCCTATATGGGCTTCCTGGCACACAAGGGAGCCTTGGTGGTGGTGGGGGGGGGGAGGTGCAGCACTGGGGGCAGCATTGAAGCAAGCCAGTGCTACTTGGTCTTCGGAATCATCAAAATGGCATTCTGAACTGGTTCAAATATTATAGGACATGACAGATCGACATTTAATTAGGTTAAAATTAATAAAATTATTTACAAAAGAGTTAAAACATAATTTTCTCCAGAATTCCAACCATAAATTCAAATGAGAAAAGTAATACTTCTGCAAGAAATACTGGCAAAACATGGTAGGTTTCTGATAGACCATTTAGGCCGGCTTCATTAGACGCATCCACTAATTAAATTACATTGTCCTAATTACGACTTAAAATATTTCCGTATACTGTTTGGACTCCAAGGAATGTCATCGCACTTCTACCTCTTCAGAAAGAAGGAGCAAGAAATGCAACCACTTCTGCTCCACTTGCCGTGCATTGTGATTTCTAACCTTCATTAAAATAGTTTCCTTTAAGGGTTCAGGGATAGAAATAGCAGCAAGGATTGCCAGCCTTAGGAAATAATGCACTAAGCTAAGAGTCCCTGCACAAGTGGGCATTCCTTGAGGCAGTACTCAATTCTCCAAGCGCCACTGCTGAAGGGAGGAGCCATCGCATATGGCCATGGTGACGTAGCCTTTGAGATTAAGAGGATCAACCATCTTCATGCACTGCCCAACAGATACTTGATACAGCCGGTTGTTTTTCTGCAGAGAGAAACATAGCAGGTGAGATAAAACGGTTCCAAATCTATTTTTGCAGCCAAGTTATTCCTTTTGACAGACTGATGGGGTTATTTAGGTGCTCCCGTGCCAGCTCTGCCTTTACTAGCAATAGTAACAGCAATAACATTTAGACTTATATACTGCACCATAGTGCTTTACAGCACACTCTGGGCAGTTTACAATGTACGCATTATTTGAATATTGCCCCCAACAATCTGGGTCCTCATTTTACCAACCTTGGAAGGATGGAAACTGAATCAAACTTAAGCCCACCAGAATACAACTCCAGGAAGTGGGCAGAGTTAGCCTGCAATACTACATTCTAACCACTGCGCTACCAGGGCTCTATAGATTTTACATTTTAATACTCATAAACTATGACTTACTCACCAAAAGATTACTTTTAAATAATCCTGTCAGCATTAAAAAAAATGATTTGAGGCACATATTCCATGCTTTTCCCTATGTCCATGTAAACCTACCCATCTGGTCTTGAAAGGCCCAGTTTTGATTAATAGTACTTTCATTTTTCCACAACTAGTTTTTTGCTTCTATAAATTTATTAAGTCACCAATAAAATTAAAATACCATGTGATAATTGCCACTTCACAATTCCAGATTTAGACCATGATTACTTCTGTTAGTGAATTAAGGCTAAGTATTTTGGCACTGTCTACTCCTAACAGGTATTAGCGGCACTAGGCTAGAAGGCAGGAGACAGTGAGTTCTAGTCCCACCTCAGGCATGAAAGCCAGCTGGGTGATTTTGGACCAGTCCCTTTCTCAGCCCAAATCACCTCACAGGGTTCTTGTGTGGGAAAAAGAGAAGGAGAAAGAAGTATTTGGGATATTCACCATCACGAGTTACTTCTAAAGTAATAAAAGTGGAATAAAAACCAAATAAATAAATAAATAAATTGTGCTGAAAGGCAAGGATTTAAGCTTTCAAAAAAAAAAAAATTAAAACTGGTCAAAACCTTTTTTGTCCATGTGGCATATTCCTAATTGGAGGCCTTGCCTTGTGAAAGATCCACAGCCAGCAAATTTAAACTAGGCATTCTCAAGAATATCTGGCTTTCACAATAATCTCTGTAAACAGGAACTCATCCATGCACAAAGAGAACCAATTCTCAAGCTTGCATAAACTTTAACCATCTTTAGCCAGATCTACACTAGATTGAAATTCATCCTGGCCAAATTCACTTACTCCAAGTAGCCACTGCTGAGAGCCTCCTGAACCATGGCATTTCATAAGGCGTGGCGGATCAGACGTGCGTGTTTCAGATACATCCAAACACAAGAGATTATTTAAGATTAATTCATGATCCTCGTTATATATCCATACCTATGAAAATAATTACCAATATTTTAGGATCAGCTAGGAACCAATGCATTGAGGCTGGTTTAATCACGGAGGAGAGAAAACTATATATACTTCTCTTTCATTGTGTCAGTATCTTCACTACATTTTCATCTCCTGCTTTTGTTTTCCACCCTAGAGCAAAACTATTTCTTACTGGAGGGAATGTTATTTAAGATGACATGATGTTGATCACCCAAGGAAATTATGAAATTAGCAAACCAACCAAATCACTTCTGCTCACATGACCCTTTCCCACCATCCAGATGGAACAGCAAGAAAGGTTCTCGTATGGAAATAGCTGCACTGAGAGAAGAGCAAGTTAATTAACTTGATTGACAGGTTCATGTTTCCAAGCTGATGCATTTTGCCATTAATTAATAACATTAGTTGAATTTACAGATGCTGATACTGAATGAAAAGGCACTTACAGCTTAATACATACCAAGCAAATAAATAGTTTCCCATTATTTTTGCTTCTGTTTGGATGTCAAAAAACCCTACCCACCTACCATTTGTTTCCATCTGTCTGTTGTACAGGCACATTTCCAGCTTCATTAGATTTGTTTCATGTCATATTTACTTAAATTCAGAACTTCTTTCCCCAACTTGATATTTTCAAAATGAAGTATATTTCCCATAATCCTATCCAATGTGTCCAAGGGAATTGGAAAGCTGATTCAATACATTTGAAAGACAGCTAATTTATTTTATTTGATTTTTTATTTTATTTGATTTTTGAAATAATGAAATTGATTAATGAAATAAGCTGGAAAGATGTTGCCATGCAGAACGTAATTTTAACCAAGGCACCCTCAATATTTAATATACACTGGTTGATTTCTGAAAATACTGAAAAGATTTCAGAAAAAAATGAATTAAAAAGTGATTTATTCCTTCGCTTTCCATAAAGTAGCTCAGTTTAGGCATAAATGTAAATCAATCTATAGATTATGATTTTTTAAAATTTGTCCTCCAGTAGTGCGATCTAGTTTGAAAGTGTCTAAGGAGATTCTCAGTCATCCAGGTCATAGTTGTCCCAAAGGTGCTTTTTCAAAAGGCAACTGGACTTTGTTTTTCCTTAAAGTCGTTTCGCTCCTCATCCAAGAAGCTTCTTCAGTTCTGACTGAATGGTGAGGAATGGAAGGACGGAAGGAAGGTTCCTTGCAATCACCTAGTCATTAGCCTTCTTTCTGAGAGTCATTGAAGCCCCTTGGAGGTTTATCTGTGCCCTCAGGGTCACCTGAAAGTGCAAATGGGCTTGGAACCTTGGAATGGCTGAAAACAGGAGGTAGATAAACAACCACATGGCACAACGTAAGAGAACAAACCCATCAGGACAAGAGTCAGCAGTCCATCTGCATTCGAAAGACAAAGGCCACTCCTTTAAAGAGTCCACATTATGGACAAAGAGGACCATTAGTTTGAAAGTGGGATCAAAGAGGCCATCTTCATTAAGATTGAACAGCCCTCTCTCCACAGGGGGGCCGGAATAGGATTTAACTATCTCCTGTTTACAACACACTCTTTTCAGCCGTTCCAAGAATATTCCACACCCATTTGCTCTATTTACGTGACCCTGAAGGCACAGAGAAACCTCCAAGTAGCCTCAATGACTCTCAGAAAGTGGTCTAACAACCAGATGACTGCAAGGAATAGAAATTTATTTATTTACTTATTTATTTATTCATTTATTTATTTCATGTATTTATATGCCGCCCTTCTCCAGAAGGACTCAGGGTGGCGAACACAAGTTAAAAACATGTACAACAAAATCCCATTTTAAACCAAATTAACTAATAAATAATAAAACCCAGAATCAGAGTCAGCCTATTTGCTTCAATAGCCAAGTCTTCAGGTCCCGACGGAAGGAGCAGAGCTCAGTAGGCAACTCATTCCAGAGGGTGGGAGCACCCACAGAGAACGCCCTACCCCTGGGCGCCAAAAGAAGACATTGGCTCGCCGTCGGAACCCTGAGGAGAGCAGCCCTATGTGAGCGAACAGGATGGTGAGAGGCAGGAGGAGAAGGTCGTGCAAATATCCCGCACCTAAGTCATGTAGGGCCTTATAGGTGAGGACTAGCGCCTTGAAGCGGACCCGGAGAACCACTGGTAACCAGTGCAGCTCACGCAGGAGAGGTGTTATATGGGAGTAACGAAGGGCTCCCGTAACAACCAGTGCGGCTGCATTCTGGATCAGCTGGAGTCTCTGGGTGCATCTCAGGGGCAGGCCCATGTAGAGGGAATTGCAATAATCCAAGCGGGAAGTAACCAGGGCATGAGTGACAGTGCGAAGGTCATCTCGGTCCAGGAAAGGGCGCAACTGGCGCACCAGGCGAACCTGTGCGAAGGCCCCCCTGGTCACGGCCATCAGGTGGTCTTCTAGGGACAGCCGAGCATCCAGGAGGACACCCAAGTTGCGAGCCCTATCAACGGGGGCAAGTTTTTCCCCACCCATCAAAAGTGATGGGGTCTCTGAAACCCGAGATGCCGGCATCCACAGCCACTCAGTCTTGGAGGGGTTAAGTCTGAGTCTGTTTCTACCCATCCAGGCCCGCACCACCTCCAGGCAACGGGACATCACGGAAAGGGCATCTCTGGGGTGGTCAGGGATGGAGATGTATAACTGGGTATCATCAGCATATTGATGATATCTCACCCCAAAGCCATGAATAATCTCACCCAGCGGCTTCATATAGATGTTAAAGAGCAGGGGGGAGAGAACCGACCCCTGAGGCACCCCACAATTTAGGGGGGCCCATACAAACTGCAAGCGACCTGAGAGGTAGGAGGAGAACCACTGTAAAACAGTGCCTCCCACCCCCAACCCCACAAGTCGCTGCAGTAGGATACCATGGTCGATGGTATCAAAAGCCGCTGAGAGGTCAAGTAGGACCAGGATGGAGGAACAACCACCATCCCGAGCCTGCCAGAGATCATTCACCAGAGCAACCAATGCCATTTCCGTGCTGTGCCCGCGTCGGAAGCCCGATTGGTACGGGTCTAGATATTCCGTTTCCTCCAGGAACTATGGGAGCTGTTGCGCCATCACAGTCTCAACAACCTTCGCAATGAAGCGAAGGTTGGAGACGGGACGATAGTTATTAAGTGAGTCTGGATCCAGGGAAGGCTTTTTGAGGAGAGGTAGAACCACCGCCTCCTTAAGAGAGACGGGGAAGACCCCCTCCTTCAACGAAGCATTGACAATTGCCTGGATCCAGTCTCTAGTCACCTCCCTGGCAGCCGAAACCAACCAGGAGGGACAAGGATCCAATAAGCAAGTGGAGGAACCAAGTTTACCCATAATCCTGTCCACTTCCTTGACAGAAACAGGGTCAAACTCAGCCCAGATATTACTCTCAAGACCCTAGTCTCCCCATTGGATTCTGCCCAGTCAAATTCTTCCATGCTCCACCATTCACTCAAAGCTGAAGAAGCCCTAAAGTATCCAGAATCATTTTTCTCCATCTGATGCCTCCAGAAAAGCTACAAAACTCAAATTACACCACAAATAGTTCCTAGACCAACAGGCTTCTGTTATCTGAGGATTGTGGAATTCACAGCCCAACATATCTAAAGGCAGCCAAGTTGGATAAAGCTTATCCTAGAACAGTGATGGTGAACCTTTTTGGCACTGAGTGCCCAAACTGGAATGTGCGTGCCGGAGCGCCGGAAACCAGAAGACCAACTGGCGACGGCGCACATGCCCACAGAGAGGGCTCTGCGTGCCACCTCTGACACGTGTGCCATAGGTTTGCCATCACAGTCCTAGAACATTAATATTCACGATCTAAATTGGCTATCTCTCAGCCAAAGGACATGCTCTACAATAGGGGCTCTGCTACCAAATCTTAAGTGGAGCCCTCGATTTATGGGTATTTTTTCTGTTAAAGGCAAGATAAAATCAGCGAGTCATAAGCATTTTGAGGTGAATGATGTTCAAATGCAAATTTAAGCTTGGGTGACAAATGTTTTGAGTGCCTTTTGTTTACCTGACAAGGCCAGGCTCTGGGCTGCATTTGCAGAGAGAGCATGAAGGCGAGGAATGACTCACTTACAGATTTTCCCATTCGAGGAAAATTAGGACTGATCCTAGCAGGAGTTAAGAAAAGAGAGGCTAATTCTGAAAGGCTCAGGCAACGTAGCTCCTGTTTTCTGAGTGGGATCTGCAATAAACTTCAACCTTCAGTAAGAAAAGAAGACCTATCGGGCAATTCTAATACAAATCCCATGGCTTTCCTTCACAAACTATTTTTTATCAATTGTTGACAATTCTGAAAGGCAAATATATCAACACTTCTTGCCCTAGAACAGGGGTGTCAAACTTGATTTCATTGAGGGACGCATCTCTGGCTATAAGTCAAGGATGGAATGGTTCTATGGAACCAAAGATTGTCTCAGGAGTTCATGGTGTCCAGAGCATCCACTGTCCTCTCCCCAATGAGCTCAGCTGTTAGGCCTTGGAGGAGGCAGCATCCGATCCAAACACAGAGAAGAATGACTCCCATCCCTTTTGTCATGGCCAGATCACTCGTTTAGGATTGTCCACAAGGGTAGAAGACCCATCAGAATGGTTCAGTGTTGAGAGGATCCAGCTGGGTTTCAGGATATGCTTGAGGAATTTCCAGCAATCTGACAGACACCTCATTCATGGCCTGAAACAGTGAGGACACTGTTCCCAGTGGCCCCTCTGGACTTCTGAGGAGCTCCAGAATACACAGCAACAGAAAAGACAACAGAGCAATGACCCTGACAAAAAGTGAACACAACTAATCAGGGGAAAGTGCCCATACTCAGGGACGACGCTTCGGCAACAAAAGTGAAAGAGGAGCAGATTGGGGGAACCTCCTGGATCCACAGCTACTACGGATCAGCACATGGGGGCGAGAAACAAACTGTGGCAACATGCTACACGGGTAGTCCTTGACTTACAGTCATTCATTGTGCAACTGTTCAAAGTTACAACAGCACTGAAAAAATTGACTTAAACTTACTCTCACACTTGCAATAGTTGCAGCATGTGATAAAAAATTGGGAGCTTGGCAACTGGCATGTCCTCAACTTACAGACCTTATTGGGACAAGAATTTCCATTGCTAAGCAAGGCAGTTGTTAAGTAAATCACATCCGATTTTATTAAACTATTCACTAAGTCTGCATTACTATTACTATTAATCTTCTTATCGTTCCTATCACCCATCTCCTCCCACTTATGACTATATGACTGGAACTTGTTGCTGTATCCTTATGATTTATATTGCTTGTTTCCTAGTATGATTTGATTGCTTATTTGTACCTTATGACTGTCATTGAGTGTTGTAGCTTATGATTTTTGACGAATGTATCTTGTTATTTTATGTACACTGAGAGCATATGCACCAAGGACAAATTCCTTGTGTGTCCAATCACACTTGGCCAATAAAGAATTCAATCTATCTACTACATTTTTTGCCTTGGTTGTTAAGCAAATCACTGCGGTTAAGTGAATCATGTAGTCATTAAGGGAGTCTGATTCACTTCATTGACTTTGCTTATCAGAAGTTGTTTGGGAAGGTTACAAACTGTGATCACATGCCCCCTCCCCCCTCAGGAACAGTAAAACTGTCATAAATACATGTCAGTTGCTAAGTATCTGCATTATGATCATGTGACCATGGGGATGCTGCAACAATAAGCGTGAAAACCAGGCCATGTCACTTTTTTCAGTGCCAGTGTAAATCTGAAGAGTCACTAAATGAATGGTAACGTAAACTGAGGATCATGTAATACTAATTTGCCATCTTCCCAGCCAAATTCCTACAAGCGAAGCCAATGGGGAAGTCAGATTCGCTTAACAATCACACAGTGATTGTTACCGGAACATACAGTAATTTAAATGATACCATATTTTCTGGCGTATAAGACGACTTTTTAACACATGAAAATCTTCTCAAAAGTCGGGGGTCGTCTTATACGCCGGGTGTCGTTCTCCTGTAACCAGGCAGACCAGCCCGAAAGGCTCTGACGAGCCTTAAATGACTCTGACGATCCAAGCCCTGACAATCTGCTAATCAGGCAACTCAGCTGGGATCGCCAGAGCCATGGAGAAGGAAAAAAGTTTTCCCCCTCCAGCTTGCTTACCTTAGATGCTAGTCGCAACGCTTGCCTTGCTTTGCTTGCCTGAATCCATTCCATCAGCAAGCAACTCCCTGTCTGCAATCAAGCAGGCAGGGAGTTGTGGACTTCAACTCCCAGAATTCCTCAGCCAGCAAAGCAAAGCTGGCTGAGGAATTCTGGGAGTTGAAGTCTACAAGTCTTAAAATTGCCAAGGTTGGAGACCCCTGTTCTATTGGGTAAGTTTTTTCCCCTTTGGGAGCTTTAAAAAAAAATAGTTAATTGGGTTTTTTTTTAGTTGTTCTTTTTTAGACCTAGCCATTTAAAGTTTAGGAAGTTTTAAATTTAGCTGCTTTTATATAAAAATAAAAATAAATTAAAATAAAATAATATTTGTGCAGCTTTCTGAGATTTAGTGTGTTTCTGTAGTGTTTCACTCTAACTACACAAACACACAAAATCTCACAAAGCTGTATGTGGAATTTTGTGTGTGTAAAGTGAGAAAGTTGGGTTTTTGGGCTTTTTGTGGTTGTGTGAGGTTCCTGCTTGTTGCAGGGGCCATTTTGGGTCTAGCACAGCTGCTTTTACATTGTGAGTGAACCAGTTGATGTTTTTTAATTTTTATTTGGTGTGCATTGGAAGAGGGGTAGTCTTGTACGGCGAGTATAGCCCAAACCCTATATTTTAACAGGAAAAGTTGGGGGTAGTCTTATACGCCCAGTCGTCTTATACGCCGGAAAATACGGTACTATAGTGATTTGTTTAGCAACCATAGCAAAAAGTGTCACAAAATCGGGTGCAACCCACCCAGTAACTGCCCTGCTCAGCAATGAAAATTCCTGTCTCAATTAGGGCCATAAGTGGAGGACTACATTTACTTGGGATCATCTTTAAAAATTACATAATAATTACATAATAATATAAAAATTCACTGAACCAATAATGACATGGTATCCTAGGACCTATGTTTTGTTTTGCTGTGAACAATTGAAGCAGGCAAGTCCAACCCATGGCCTATAGGCCACAGGCAGCCCTAGTAACCACAAGGTAATAAAATATTAAAGATATTAAAAATACAAGACAATAAAAATATTAAAAAACAAACAAAGTTCGCTATATTAACTATATTATATATATTTATAATGCAGCCCAATTCCTCTTCATTCAATGCGGCCCAGGCAAGCAAAAAGGTTGGACAATGATGGAAGGCAGCCCTCTGGGAAAATAGGAACATGAAATGTCAGAGAGATCAACATTAGCAAAACAATAAGAGGTTTAAGGAAACTTGCCTGATTTTTATTACTGTAGTCACATTCTCTGACCACCACAAGTCCTCCTTTTTGACTCGGGTGGCTTTGCGCTGCCAGACATTTATTAGTGTGAAGGTGATGCAACTATAAGGAAAAGAAACGCAAACACTGATAAGAGAACATCCAATGTGAAAAGAGGTCAAATTCTTAATCACGCTTCCTTCCAACATTCCTATTATATTCTCTAAGAACAAAAGAGTGAGGAACAACAAGGAAGAAGGAGAGGTTTTTTTTCAAACATAAATTATCAACTAACGTTTTCAGCTTTATTTCACTGGGATATTTTACAAATGAAATATTTGTCTCATTCTATCCTTAATATTTGCCACCATCCTGCTGGGCCAAGAATCAACTTGACAAAAAATATACACGATATGCAGGGACGTTATGATCTCTCCTTAAAAGCCATCCGATCACCTTGTGTGGTTACAACCGCAATACTTATGTCGTGAAAAACATTACTTCTAGAAGTGGAGACAGTGTAATTTGTGAGAAATATTACTACTCGGCGGTTTTAAAACACAAGATATATAAATAGAAAACTAACTGGCACAATGACTACACTTTATTAAAAATTCAATGCTAGAAACCAATTTCTATAGAACTTTATATTGAAAGTATAGCAGTCACAGCACAGCACGGACAGGATTAAATTTTACACAACCACATAACAAATCACCAGCAGTATTAAGAAGGGAGATGGGAATGAAACGGTTAATTATAGGCAAGCTACACAATCCTAGAAGACTGCTTTGCTTATGAGAGTATATAAGCATCCCAAACAGATTGATAGGATTTTACAAAAATCAGGATATCTGTCTGGACAGCTGGGATGGATAATCATCAAAACACAGACACTATTTGTTCACAAAAGAAGTACAACATATCTGGGGATTTGATATAAACATAATTTTTTACAGAATAAAGTATTCAAAACTGATTCTGATACAGTACAACCTGTTTACAAAAAAGTAAAACTGAAACTCCATTTTTATTATTTATCCAACTCTCACATTCAGCATTTTGTTCCACCATTTCAAAGACTGAAGTTAATCAACAGGTGGATTCCTTTTCTGAAGAACAACCTTACCTGATCTCAATCAAATTACCCTACAGGTAGTCCTCGACTTGGAACCATTTGTTTAGTGACCATTCAAAATCATGATGGCACTGACCATTATGACCATTTTTCACACTAACCACCACTGCAGTAACCCCATGGTCATAACTGGCAAGTGACTTGTATTTATGACAGTTGCAGTGTCCCGGGGTCATGTGACTACCCTTTGTGACCTTCCGACAAGCAAAGTCAATGGGGAAGCCAGACTGACTTAATGGCCACTTAACTAACTTAACAAATGTAATGATTCACTTAACAACTGTGGCAAGAAAGATCGTACAATGGGATAAAACTGTACTGATTCACTTCACAATTGTCTTACCTAACAACAGAAATGTAGGGCTTAATTGTAGCCATACATCAAGGACTACTTGTATATGCTTACAGATTCCTTCCCCAACAGCATCTCTGCTTTCCCACCTCAATGTAACAAGAAGACAAAATGATTTAATGATGTCTTCTTAGCTTAAAGCCATTTTAAAGACTTTGCTATGAGGCCAGAAAATTGTCTTACACAGTTTATGAAACTAAGAATAAACAAACTTCTTTGAAAGATGAACATGCTTTCCCAAAAAACACAAGGAGCTCAACTAGAGATAACCATGAGCCATCACAGGGAGTTTGCTTTCCTTCCCTTTTTTTCCTTGTCCAGAAATCAAAGTCCACTTCGATTCAAATTCAGCCTAAATAGGGAAACAGAAAGTGTTCTGACTCATCCAGCAGCAAGAGACTTCAGGGATTCAACACTGCATGCAGGATAAGAAGAGGCCCTGATCAAGATAATGGTAGCCAAAAACTGGTAGCGATAACACATTTTATCTATAACCAAGTGCTCGGTGGTTAAAATGTTTTCCTATAATTTTGTCTTTCTTCAGTCAGATGTCAAACTTGTATCCAGGATTCTCAATTACAGGTACAGTTACAATTACTCTGTGGAGGTTGAGAACTGCAGAATTCACATGCACAAAAGATTTCGGGCTACCTGGGAAGGTCTAAACCAACACTGTGGAGACCGTAACAGGTTAAGTCACTAACTGATGGGATACTTGTAATCTCTCACACATATAACCTGCTTCTGCAAAACCATTCGAGCTCCCCATCCGCCACAGCTTCATCCCAATCTAAATCCTACTTCAGCTTAACCATTTTGTGCCTCTGGTGAACTGAATGCTGAACAAGAGCTTATGCCTTATAATAACATTTATTAATCTGAAAAGGAGCTACTGGACCCCTCCTGATTCTGGGATGGATGCATGGTTTTTGATTGCTTGATTTCTATTAGCTGGTATTTAGAAAACGCCTTTAGATTCTTTTACCTGAAAGATTTGGCACATTAATAATATAGAATCCCCTACAAGATTATGACAGCCATTGGATTGATTGAATTAAAATGAATAGAGGGCTGGCATAGGACTGCTATAATAGCTACATAAGTAAAAGTACTGTATTTTGAAACTATGCTTTTAAATAGGAATGGATAGTAGACAAGAAAACAGGAAGGGCTGTAATTTTTGGAAATTCATCACTGTAACTAAGAAGGGGCATTTTTTAAAAAGATGGCAGCTCCTCGACTTTATAATGTACTCTCCCTAGAATTTAGATTAAAAAGTCATCCCTTTTAGAGCACAGGTGCAGATACCAAAATATATCACTTTGATTTCTGCTGATTTCTGCGTAACTCCTTTTGTATATATATAGCTAAGAAAAACTGCAGGCTGGAGGAGTGGAAGCTATCAGAACAAAAGCTGAATGTGTACTTTTACCCTGGTAAGTAGGGCAGTGCTCTACTTACATCATCTACAGATTGATCCAAAAAGGAAGAAAATGTTAGGCAAGCTATTTGCCTCCCCAGGCTGTGTGGCCCTTGCTGATAAAGGAAATCACATGGCAAGTGTGCTTATCACAACCAGATTTTTAAAAAACTGATCACAACTGACCATGGCCTGGTGGCTCAACAGACTAAAAGCATTGTGATTAACAGCTGCCTGCAATTACTGCAGGTTCGAATCTCACCAGGCTCAAGGTCAACTCAGCCTTCCATTCTTTCTAAGGTAGGTAAAATGAGGACCCAGATTGTGGGGGCAATAAGATGACTTTGTATAAATATACAAAAAGAATGAAGGCTATTGCTGAGCACATTGTAAGCCGCCCTGAGTCTCTGGAGAAGGGCGGCATATAAGTCAAATTAAAATACAAAAAAATAAAAAAAATACAAAATACCATTCAGTTATGATGTGGGGTTTTTAGTACAAGTTGTAGAAGTCATTCAGAAAGATTAACTACTGTTTGCCCAAACAGAAACCAAATGACACAAAAGTCAGACATCTTTATCCCAATTACTGCAGTGTATTATTTATTTTAAAGCTAAATTGCTGTACGGTACTAATATATTTCCTTTCCCTTCAAATACTACTTTAAAGTTTCCATGTCTAGATTTTTAAGAGCTTGGGTTTAAGCAAACCTGAAGAACAGCCTCTTACCCTTCCTTGTTGCAGTATTTTTGGCCTTTTCTGTCCTTTATTGAAAAAGACCGGAGGCTGTACCTTGGCATTGGGCCCAGAGATTTGCATCTCTGGATACACATTGTCTAAATACCATTTAAATGTTTTGCAGTTCAATTTTTTTCTTAATTCCACACGGTGAGTAATATTCCCATAGTTCCTTGTTCGCAGCTCTGGACGTAAGGCAAAATACTGTTCCTGTTTGAAAAAATTAAAGATAGCAAAGAGAGTCACTGCTATTCCTGTTATGCGAAACTAAGTCTAAGAACAGGTAGTCCTCAATGAACGACGGTAATTTGCGGACTGATAACTCTGCTGATAGGTAACGTGGTTGTAGGAAGTGTGATGTCATGTGACCACGGCAACTTATGCAGCAGTTCTGATTGTGGCTGTTAAGCGAATCCTGAATGGTCTTACGTGAGCACCCTTTGTAATCTTCTCTGGCTTTTCGTTGACCAGCAGTGAAGGTCACAAATGCTGTTTGTGTGTGATTGCAGAACGCTGCAAATACTGTAATTGCAAACCGATGGACAAGCAAGCACCCGAGTGGTGATTATATGAGGCTACAGTGGCCACAAATAAGAGGATCAGTCGTAAGTCTCCTCATTCAGCCTCGTTGTAACTTCAAACGGTTGCTGAATAGTGATCGCTAAACAAGGACTACCGGTAACAATGGCATTAGTGGGGTGGAGAACTGATTTCTCTGAGCTATACATTCAAATTCTTTCCCCAGCTAAAAATTCCAAAATACTACTGAAAAAAAATTAAGATTTTATATTGTGTTTCCAACATTTATGCCTCTGTTCCCTTCCCATATGACGTGTCCAAATTTCCAGAGACAGTCTAATAAACAAAAGCACTAATGCCTTGGAAATGGAAGATATAACAGCCACAACTTCAATAGATTTTTTTCAGGAAAGTGGGAACAATTCCTGGGTCCCAAAGGAAGGGAGTTCCTTTGCTCCCTTCACAGGAGCACTGAGGTATATTTCTTCTCCCACCCAACCACCCCGCCTCACCCAGTAATATATAGTCGTGACAGTCTTGCCTTGTATTCATCCATCCACACATGCGCGAGGCGTAGAGAATTATGTGCCATGGTGTCCTGCCCGCCTGGCGACCCATAGGGCCGCCTTTTACGAAAGATGTGCCCTACTCTGGAGCAAGGGATGATGAGAAGTTTGCCTCCACACATCCAAATCTGTTCAGAAATAGAAGGACTTAGTAAAATATTTGTACCGAAGGCAGTTGATATTACACATAAATTTCTGAAAAGGTTTACATATTTGCATAACTGCTACATTTGGATCTTATTAATGGCTGAATGATCTCATTCAGGATGACAACTGTCTTCAAACTGTCTTAACGTTCAACCCCATACTGCTCTTCCAATAACACAGAACGAGAGCAAGGAGTTTCTCTTATACAGGTAGTCCTTGACTTACAACAATTCATTAAGTGACTGTTCAAAGTTAGAACAGCACTGAAAAAAGTGACTTTATGACCATTTATCACAGTTACCACCTTTGCAGCTTCCCCATGGTCACATGATCGTAATTCAAATGCTTGGCAACTGGTTCATATTTACAACCATTGCTCTGTCCTGGGGTCATGGGATCACCTTTTGCAACCTTCCGACAAAGTCAATGGGGAAACCAGATTCACTTAACCACCAGGTTACTAACTTATCAACTGGAGTGGTTCACTTGAGACAAAAAAAAAAGTTGTAAAATGAAGCAAATGTCACTTAATAAATGTCTTACTTAACAACAGAAATCTTGGGCTCAATTGTGGTGGTAAATCAAGGACTACCTTTCTTGGTAAAGCCCTCTATGGCTTGGTAAAGCCTCTAAGCCCTCTATGGCTTGGTAAAGCCCTCTATGAATTCTGGGAGTTGAAGTCCACAAGTCTTAAATTGGTCAAGGTTGGAGACCCCTGCTCTATGGCATTGGTCCAAGATATCTGAGGAGCTGTCTTTCCCCTATAGCAGGAGTGTCAAACTCAAGGCCAGCCCATAGGGTGCTTAGATCTGGCCCGCGAGGCCACTCTGGAAACAGTGAAGGAGCGGCCCACGGTGCCTCTGCCAGAAAAAAATGGAGCTCGAAAGGGCCGCCTGCGCACCCTGGGCACACCCAGCCCGGCCCCCTGAGGTCAAATACAACCCTGATGCAGCCCTCAATGAAATAGAGTTTGACACTCCTGGCCTATAGGGTGAGCCTGCCCCACTTGTCCTGGCAGATGGGGCTACTGTGGACCCCATCAGCCAAGGAACACCTTACCACAGGAGGCAAGATCTAACCCCTCTGGTTCAGCCTTCAAGAAAAACCTTAAAAACTGGTTATATGCCAGCTGGCATGGTGTCCTGAAAGAGAAACTACTGGCTGGAGGTGGTTGTGCATTAGGAGAAAAGACACAACCACTGCTCTGCACCATTCCTATGGTTTTTAGTCTGTTTCAATCTTCTGTAATTTTAATCTCTTTATATATTAATCTCTTAATATTTTATATTTAATCTCTTTTTATGTTTTATGTTTTTATATCTGTATGTTTTATTATGTTGTAAGCTGTTCAAAGGCGCCTCAAGCCATGAGATGTGCAGCATATAAATTTAATAAATACATAAATCCCACAATAAATTGCCAAGATTACATGTAGATCTCTTTTTATAATGGAATGCAATCCAATATTTGCTTATTTCCTTCAAATTGAAGTTATTTTATTTAAGAATAGGCCTTATATAACTATTTTACAAATTATTTTTCAGCTCAATTTCACTGGGTAGCACAATTCACAACATCTCTTGAGAACACAGTAAACAATCAATTCAGTTTTCTGAATTCATCATCGAATTGTTTTCACTCCAGAAATATGTTCAATTGCCTAAATTCAAGCCCTGTCTTTGTGTAACAAAAGCCCCACAAACTGTATTCCTCTCAGTTCTTTATAACCGTTATATATAACATATATTTATATCTTATCTTATATACAGTATATATACAAAACAGATAGTAACTAGCTAGATAACTAGATAGCTAGATAGCTAGATAGCAAGAGAAAGAGAGAGAGAGGTATCTCTTATAAAAGTTCTTCCTGCTTTGAGATAAATAACATTTCAATTACTCTCACAATAATTTCATATATGCTAGATAATTTTTTTTGGTATGTTGCAATGGATGCTTTACCTAAAATAATCTCAGAGAAACTATTACTCTAGATTACTGTTTAGTTTTTTGGAGGGTTTTTTTTTATTGTTTGTTTTTTGAAGGTAACTTCATCTTGGCAGAGGCCTTTCTAACTATTTAAAATAAGAAAAATTCATACTACTGTTGTCTTCAATGCTGCAGAAAGTGATCCCCGAACAATGATGTGAAAACACCTCCTGATTCTGAAAGTAGCCTCCATCAATCATCCAAGAACGAAAAAGAATGCCCACTAGTAAATCCCAAAACAAACATACCCGAAATGATATTTCCAGATTTTCCCCTCCCCAGATGTCCATGCCGCTGTCATACTGTCCAAGCGCATTGAAATATTCTCTGTCCATTGCAAACAACCCTCCTGCCATTGTGGGAGACCTAAAATGAAAATGAAATCTTTAGCAAACTTCCTAGGTCAAGAAAATATTTAAATTTAACCAAACCTCTTGCCTGGAGCAGCCTTAGGAGGCAGCAGTGGTCATTGCATGAAGGGACCAGGGCTTGGCCACCCAGTGCGACCTTGGTCAAACATGGCTCTGCAGGCGAGTGGCCAGAACGCAGCCAGGAGCTATTGATTTGGCCCTCTAAAACAACCCCAGTTTCTCATGTGGCCCCTTGGGAATGCTGCCCAGCCCTGCTCTACATACTACTTCTATGGTTTCATAGGATGGCAACAGAGAGCAAGGTCTTGTTGCCTTGTAAATTTAATAGATAAAATAAAAGAAGCAGTTGATCATAAGCGTTAATAAAAACACGAGAGAACAAATTGTATTATTTACTGAACAAAGACTCAATTCTTAACACCTTTCTAAAAAAGAATTACAATGGAATTATTCCAAAGTTCTGGCTTCAAATCTTTAGTTAAACTGAAGCAGTTTCCCTGGGAATGTACTATAAGTGAATATTAACTAATATATATTAATGAATAAATATTGAGGGTACTGACATTGTCTTCCCTCCAGCCTTCACTTTAAAATTCCATATAAAATTAAATGTCTGTAGTTTGGCATGATACAGTCATTGTATTTTTATCCCACACCTTTGGTTGAAGGAACTCGTAAAACCTCTTTTCTGGTTTTAAGTGAAGCTGTTCACCCCATTAGAGCAGAGTTCCCCAGTTCCTTTCTGGGTTGGCAGCCCAGAGGGAGGGGCAGGTGCCTTTACGTGCGTATGCGCACAAGCGAAAGGAGCTGCTATTGTGAGGGGGGGTGCATGCGCACACATGCATGCATTGGCCAGCCACTCACGTGGCCTGGTGGCCAACAGTCCATAGCCCGGTAGTGGGCTACTAGCCCACTACAGGTTGGGGGCCTGCATTAGAGGATGGTATTTGAAACTGGGAGGTCTCACCTGATGGGGGCAATGGCTTGTTCAGGTCCTTCCAACTCCGACATAGGAACGAGATCCCATTTAAAGTGAAGGCCCCAGTTGAACCCTCCACGGACAACAGGAGAAGAGCTGTACGTCAGCGTGTCCGCACTGATGATATCAATCACAGGACAAACAACTGTCCTGCGGGATTCCTGGATGGGTGTCAGCAACGGCTGCAACCACATCTCATTCACTTCACAGTGGCTGTCCAGAAACACAAGCACCTTTCCTGAGAAAGTAAAAGCAGAAGAGGCACATGAGATACAGAATAACCGAATAACAGAGTTGGGAGGGACCTTGGTGGTCTTCTAGTCCAACCCCCTTTTCAGGCAGGAAACCCGATACCATTTCAGACAAGTGGCTGTCCAATCTCTTTTGAAAACTTCCAGTATTGGAGCACCCACAACTTCTGGAGCAAGCTGTTCCACTGATTCATTTTTCTGTTAGGAAATTCCTCCTTAGTCCTAGGTTAGTTCTCTCCTTGATGAGTTTCCATCCACTGCTTCTTGTTCGTCAAGAGACAAGAAGGCAAGAGACTACACAGAAGCCCTCCTGAGAACACCATCATCTCAAGAATCTAATTTACACGAGAATATTATGACGTTTATAACTTGCACCTTTCAGCATGAGTAAGAGAAACTGGGAATTAATACTGAGATTAACTGATAGAAAAAGAAACAGCGGGAGAAAAATCCCTCAAAATTAATGGTAAATTATGTTTCACTGGAAGGTACAGGGTGAACTTGTTTTCTACCCAGACATACTGTGGGCTTGGTTCCAAAATACTGCAATAAAGCAAATTTTGGGGTTCCCAGTGCGTGTAAAATTATATTTATATTATACTATGTTCTATTAAGCGTGCAATATCATTATGTCTAAAATAAGGTACATAGCTTAATTAAAAATACTTTATTGCTAAACACTAGACTTGAGCTTCAGTAGTTATAATCTTTTTGCTGGTGGAGGGTCTTATAAAAAATGCATTATCAGTGAGTCCAATGAAATGAAGTGCAAAGGTATGCCTGTATTTCTATATTTTTTACTTTTGCTGGAAATTGTTAGGTACAAAATAATCATTACTGTAATTTCAATCTATTTAAATGATGGTTGCAGTGTCCCAGGGACAAGGGGCCACCTTTTGTGACCTTCTGATAAGCAAAGTCAATGGAGGAACCAGATTCTTTACAACAATGTTGCTGACCACCGCAGTGATTCACATAAGAACCGTGGCAAGAAAGGTCATTGTAGGCGGCAAAGGTGACTTAACCATAAACATTTTGGCCTCAACTGTGGTTGTAAATCGAGGACAGATTTATGGCAAACAACCATTAGTCAATTTACTGCATTCATAAACCTTACTATTCCCAATTATTCTATTTAGGAAAAGATGAAACGGAATATTACTTAATATGGGGGAAATGGTACAAATGGATAGAGGACAGGAATAACAAACCAGAAAATATATAATAGAGATGACCTAGAAATCAGGAAGTATCAATAAAATGATATTAAATATATAATATGTGTCAAGTAACATATGGATATAATAGTTTGTATAATAAGTAAGTAGTATATAATACACACACACACACACACACACACACACACTACAATATATAAGAAATAAGGGAGCCACAAAAATAAGTATGTGAGTATATAAGGGGGGAAAAACATAAACTGTGGATATACACCAATACGAAACTGTTGTAAAATGGAAATTTTTCTTTTGTCTTTGTTTTTACAGAAAAAATAAATAAAAAATATTTATAATTCCATTTAGGAAGGGCTGAAATGCACACAAGGATATAAAATTACTACTTAAAGGCACAAGGTTAGTGTATTGCCTGCATTAGTGCTGGAATGTTACCTGTAGCATGGGAAGCTCCAACCATTCTCCCTCGAATTAGCCCTTCACGCTTTTCATTTCTTACTAGTTTCACTTTATTTGGAAGATTTTTTGTTAAATATATGTCCAAGTCTTCTTTTAAATCAGCTGCAACAGATGAAGGAAAGATGAAAAAAAATGCTTTATAGTCATCCTAAACCTTTCCAGCCACTTCTCACATTTCTTCTATTTTAAAAGGCTGGCAAAACAAACTTGAAACGAAACCCAACAGCTGTGACAATTGTTAAGTGTTCTTCCTTGTGGAAGGAAATGAGATAGCTGACTAATCCTAGTGACACGTCTCTTCTCTAATAAAGACTGGGATTTAGAAAGGTATGTCAGTATCCAGGGCATAATTAGAAATGCAAGAGAGCAGAGAATCAATCAGATTACCATTTAATGGACAGAATTCCATTTCTGGAAGCAACTTGCGTAGCCCATGCTGCATATCCTTAAGGCCTTCTCTGCAAAAGAATTCCTTAGTAGAGGGTGGTGTGCAAAACATTTGGGACATTTTGCACTTGAAAAGCTGCGTCAAGTTTGAAATGCTCTGTTCAGTAATGGAGCAGCTGCCCTGAACATTCCACAAGTGTTTTGAACTTGAAATGTTTCTCTTGAGTGTTCAATACACCTGTTTCAAAGAGATCTACTGGGCTCAAAATACTTCCATAATGGCTGGAACCCTGTCAAAATATTTCCAATAATGCTGGAACAACCTGTTTCAAATAACAAACAACTGCTCAAAATCTGAAATACTTGGTACACTCAATACTATTGTTCTTATTTATTCCAGGGAGCTGAGATTGAGACAATAAAATCTACTGCAGAGTCATTGTTTTAATCCAATCCTTCCTAGAACTGAATTGGCAATCTTCTTGTGCATAGAGGCCAGAGGTCACACCACACCAAGGATGGTGAAAGCATCATCATAATGACTATTTAAGGAGCTGGATAGCCCTCTGTTTTGTGGATTGGGAAAATACATTTCTTTCTGGAACCATAGTCAGGTGATAGTGAGCCTGTGGGCCACAGATTGCATACCCCTACTCCAGAGTGACACAAAAATCTAAGAATCTCTTACCTAATTCACTTCTATCATCCACCAAAATAATTTCATGGAGAAGATGAGATGACGTTCGATCCAGAACACTATGAACAGTCCGAAGCAAGGCAGAGAAAGCTTCATTATAGAAGCAAATTATGACACTGGCAGAGGGAAGATCATGAGGATATATTTTTTCTTTACACCTGGAGAAGGAAAAAGGCCTATACTATATTATCATGTCATTTCACTTTCCCTAGAGTCGTTTGGCTCTTGGAACAAAATGTTTATTTTATGATGAACACATGATAGCTTACTTTCTGTCCCTCGTATCTGGCACATCTCTGTGATATCCCAATCGGTTACTGATGAGCACATTAAAAGCATGCTTCTGATAGCCCAAATCTCTCACTTCCTGATCCTGTTCATTGAAAATCATACCTGAAACAGAGAATCCACTGATTCTGTTAATATATTAATAATGATTTTCTAAAATATCCTTAATCTCAAAAATTCCACTAAGGATGCTTCCCAAAACAAGCTACTCTTCCTACAATGGTTTTGGTAATCTGTCTTGAAACTCAAGAAATTTGGCAGATAAATATGTAAATACAGAGAGGCCATCATAAATTCCTAACATGAGCAATATAACACTGTAATATCTGTTAACATTATGATATTGCAGCTCTATTTTTCACTCTTTGCATTAAAAGCCATAATGCATCTGTCTCTATTTTGTCTGGCTTAATGCAAAGTGTGAATCCTGCCACTGTGGTTTATATATCATGGGATTGATTTGATTGATTGATTTCCCGCCTTCATTATTTTTACAAATGACTCATGGCTGCAAACATATCCAGCACACCTTCATCCTCCTATTGTCCCAACAACCACCACCCTGTGAGGTGAGTTGGACTGAGAAAGAGGGACTGGCCCAAGGTCACCCAGCTGGCTTTCATGGCTATGGCAGAACTTGAACTCACCTTCTCTTGCTTTCTAGCCTGGTGCCTTAACTACTACCGGTAGACCAAACTGGCTCTCGTCCCAGTGTGTTAAAATGGCTGCTAATTAACCAAATTATCTTTAAACCAAATTCTCCCTCCTGCAATATCTGAATCCATACGGATCAGATATTGGTTTAGGCAGACAACATTCTCTCCAAAGGTCTCAGCCTCCGCCCTGCTTTATCAGGCTTTCAGACCTGATTCAAAGACCAGTGCCCGGCCTTCCCCAATATGGAAGTCACTACCTCAGCGCTCTATCCCTCCAACATACCCATTTCAGGGGAAAACTCTGTATCACTCTTGAGGAGATCCTGCACAGCATTTCCCAAGGGATTCCTGATCTTGCCATATCTGGGCTTAGATTCCTGCATTCGTCCTGGTCCATTCACAAGCTGGGGATAGAATCTTTTGGAGAACGGCTTCTGAGGTTCAAGCCCCTTGATGGGCACATTTTTAAAAGACTGGGCCTCTTCACTGAAATTAAAATAAACAAACAGCAGAACTGTCCAGGTTACCGACGTAAAGAGACAGCCATAGCAAAAATAGCGAAGTGTGACACTTCCCATTGTAATCCTAGCATTGTTGTTGGCACATTTTCAATCCCCTAAAAGAAAATCAAAAGGGAAAAAAAGTAAGTACAGAGATTCTTTACTGCTGCATATTAACAGTTGGCTTTTCTGAAAAGAGACATTTCCAGATTAATTTTACATTATAATTACCTCCGAGACTGCATTTTAATTTTACATAAATGCAACAGCAGCAAACATTCTAAATTATATACCTTTATAATCCATAACACTAATATGGCATTAAGGAAGTGTTTACTATGATTTAAAGTTACATAGAATTCTGTAAAGATTACATTTTCAATTTATCAGATATGTAAATGTTTCCATTTGGTTTCGCATACTCATGATGCTTCCCTGCAAACTGTAGGAGGTAAATTAAAAGATTAGGCATTCTCATATTTTATCAAAAGCTCTCATCTAATTTTTTCCCATTTTTCAACTCCAAGACTGAGCTGGACTATAACTTGCCGTATTTTTAATTAATTGATTACTTGAAGTTTAATCTGTGATATATTAAAAACCAATATAACTAGAAAGTTTAAAGATTTACAGCTTGAAGTATTTATCACTTAGGTCAAGTAACAACTAATTTTTAACAGAAAAGATATCTTTAGCAAAAGCTTAAAATCAGCAGTTAGTTCTATCTCAATTCAGCTATCTTTTCCTAAATGAAAACCTGAGACACAGATAGTATGTATTACGAGGTTCTACTATAGGAAAAAGTCCTCAGAACACAATAGGAGAATACTGTAGGTGGGGGGAAAGGTCTCAAAAATCAGATTAAACTTGGGTGAAATCTATATAATTTATAGAGTGGTTAAAACTGCAAGCAAGATTTTTCTAAACTCTTGACATAAATTATATTCAATGTCCTCTTTATTACTGGTTTACAGATCTTTATTACTACCATTAGCAATTATATACATGTGAGTTATTCTTCTGAAATTCACAATAATTTCAACTCAAAGCACACAATCGGTAAGCATTCTAGATCAGGGGTGTCAAACTCGTATCATCACGTCATCGTCATGTGACATATCACAACTTTTCCCCTCTTCACTAAACCAGGAGTGGGCGTGGCCAGCATGTGACGCATCTGGCCTGTGGGCTGCGAGTTTGACACCCCTGTTTTAGATTAAAAGTTTCTATAACTAGTCCTGCATCTAAGTAAGCACAACAAAACCACAGGGGGAATATTTAAATGCACAGAAATAGCCTCTTTGAATTAGTCATATGATCTAGTTCTTGAATAATATCTTTGCCTACATAAAATCCTTGAATATTTCAAAGATGAATATGTATTTTCTTAATCTTAAATATCTGTGGTTCATGTAAGAGGAACTCAGTGATCTTGCAACATAGGACAGAGAGAAGAGAACTTATGAAACATTTCTCTGCAGGACCTGGAACATTCTGAAAATTATTTGGAAAAAGTGTTCTGAACTGGTATAACTCTTCATTACTATTCATTGGAGCATCCATCTTTTATTCAGCTTTCCATGTTAGTCTTAAAAAATGAAGCTCTTTAAAGAGTGAAAAATTAATGCAACTCCTAAATCAAAGTCAATGGGGAAATCATGATCCACATGATGTTGTGCCTAATAACTATGGATGCTTCACTTAACAAGTGCAGCTGGAACTAATGTGGTAAGTAATCTAGTGCTGACATAAGGCAGTTCACTTTATGACCATATCATTTAGCAGCAGAGCAGCCAATCCTAACCGTATACAGGTAGTCTTAACTGACCGCAGTTGGCCTGCAACACTTATGCAGGCAGTTTTCAACTTATAACCACGGTTGAGATCAGAATTCCCATTGCTAAGCAGGGCAGCTCTTTAGTCACTACCCATTTATGTTCTGGAGCATTTCTTCCAAATCAATTTTAAAATGAGCACAACTATATTTGTGGTGCCCCATTGTTCTAAAATTTTAACAAACAACCTCCATATGAGAAGGCACAAACTTTAATATTGTTTGGAAAGAGCTAGAAAAGTAACAGCAGAGTAATAATCAACTAACGGATCATGACATTTCTCAAAATTATAAGAACCCCCATTTAATCTGATCCATTAAAAGCCTTATATTATTCCTTCATGCAGAAGAAACCTTGATTATTTGCATGTTTGGCAAAATACTTAGTTACCCTGTTTTCCCCAAAATAAGACATCCCCTGATAATAAGCCCAATCGGGCTTTTGAATGCATGGCAATAAGTCCAAGCGCTTATTTCAGGGTTTAAAATAATATAAGACAGGGTCTTATTTTCGGGGAAACACGGTACAGAGGAAGCACCTGGATTATTTGTCTAAGATTATTTGTCCCATTATTCTCTTTTCTAAAATCTATTTAGGAATCAAAAATCATACTTTTTATTTTTTTTATTCTGCCTAGGTAGGTAGGTAGATCTGGGCCCAGCTGTATTTGGTGGCTTTCCCATCAGCTCCAGCCTCTGCTGGAGGAACAAACCAGTCAGCATGTCTCTCAATGCCATGCTGCCATATTTGTCATGTTGAGGGACTGCTACAACGATATGAGGGTGGGTGGGTGTCAAACTATTTTCCAAAGCACCAGAAGGCAAGAAGGCAAGAAACAATGGATGGAAACTAATCAAGGAGAGAAGCAACTTAGAACTAACCCGATATTTCCTAAAGGTGAGAACAATCAACCAGTGGAACAGAAGTTGCCTTCAGAGGTTGTGAGTGCTCCATCACTGAAAGCTTTCAAGAAGAGACTGGGCAGCCACTTGTCTGAAATGGTATAAGGTCTGCTCAAGCAGGAGATTGGACCTCCAAGGTCCCTACCAACTGTTATTCTAATCCCATGCCACAAAAGGGGACCAAGGTCACCCAATGCAGTCCACAGGTTTGCCATTCTCTGACCGAACTTCACATAGGAAAAATGCTCAGACAGAATGTGAAAATTACTAAAGCACAGAAGCCACAGGAGGTATCAAAGTTTTCTGCCCGTTGGAAAAATACCCTGTGAGATATTTAATTAACTCCTGCCATCCTCTAATCTTTGAGGTTACAATCAGCATAAAGAAACTCACATAGTTTGGGCATGTGATATATAGTCTGCCAATTTTGCTTGGCAAATTTGAAGGAAACAATACCAGGGGAAGACAAGAGATAAGATGAATGGATGGGTGGAATCAGGGAGATCACTAGTATGCCATTGGAAGAGTTCGATTTTGTTTTGAAGTTGGGTCCCAATATCAGATATCTGCCCCATACAATCACCAGAAGTCAACCCAACTTAAGCAGCTGACCCTTTAGCATCTTAGACTCTCATTTTAGCTGCCAACATTTCTCAGTAAGTCTTTATAATCAAAATCTCAAATAAATAGCTAAGCTGTTCCTACTCTACTCAAACCATATTCATACATATATTTATTAACTAGTCCCTGCTGGGTCACTGTTTCAGAGGAATTTCCTTACCTAAACAAAAAAACAGAATAACCGTTGATGGGGGGGGGGGAGGAGCAGGAGTAACTTCCAGCTTCTCCATTGACTTTCCTTGTGGGAAGTTAGCAGGCACTCAAGTGGCCACAACCAGCAAATTTTAATCCTATAGGAATAATGGATAATCATAATCATAATAATGGATCCCAAATTTCAGATGAATTCTGTAAGTTAGCCTATTTCAGACACATTGATTGTTTCCCTATAGTGCACTGTTTCTCACCCAATTGAAGATTAGATCAGTTAACAGGAGTGTTTTAGTGTATGTAGATTATGACTTGTATTATTTAACACACATTTCCTTTATGGAACTAACCATTCCATATTATTTGTCCTGTAATCTCCACAACAGAAATAATTTGAATTGGTTTGCTATTCCTCGAAGGTCATTTATACATTAATTCTTGTGTAATTCATGGGAGACTGCAAAGAAATTTTTGAATGATAAAATCACCAACAGTGGTTTATTGATAATACCCACACATTCTTATAGTATATGTACCTAAGAACATGAGTCTCAAATTTATATTATTCCTATAAAGACATGCGAATCTACCAGCTTTACTTTTCTATTATGCTATTAACTTGACTTCTTATTTTCCTAGAATGAGACTATTATCATCCACTCAAGGAAAAAATTCTGTGAAATATTTGCAAACCAACTATTTAATCACGGAAATATCTCAGCTCATTTTCTGAGAATAAAAACTGGCCAAGTTGTTTTCTAACTGCCAATTTAAAGCTGCTTCTGACAAGCATACCAAGACTGTATTTTCCATTCTAGAAGTTACTTAATCTCACAGTTTTAAACTTGTTATTACATTAATACAACTTCGACCAATTTTACAAACTTGACATTTTTATGGCTGTTTGAGGAAAATGATTTCTAAATATCAATCCACCATGAATCAAATGGGAAGAAAATGTATTACTATCTAAAATCAGGTAATAGTTTCAGTATGTTCAATATAATTACAAAGCAATTCAGCCCCTGACTGATTGTATTCATTTTATAATACAACCATCATATTCCATAACCCACTAAATTATCCACAACAGGTGGCCCATTCAATCCCCATTTAGAAATATTCAGCAAAAAGAACAGCACTGCTTAAAGAGGACTCTTCTGCTCTTACTGACAACAACTTCTTCCTAATATTCAGCGGTCAATCTTTCTTTTAATTTCAGCTAGTTCTCCTCCTTTCTTCGGTCTCAATAGAGAACACATTCACTCAAGCACTCTGCGTGCACCAGTCTTTTAGATCTTTGTAGGCATCTCTCCCCTGAGCCTTTTCTTCTGCAACAGAAACATACTCAGCTCCTTGACCCATTCCTCACACAATCTGGCTTCCAGCCTCCTTAACACTCTGGGAGTTCTGAAATGGTTCCTTTCAAAGTGCAATGCCCAAACAATATGCCCCAGCAGAGCATAATGAAACAATTACCTCCACTGATCTGGCTGCAATTCTTCTGCCAATACCCTGTAATACTGCTCTGGCTTTCTGAGTCACACTGCATCACTCTTTTGTTCACCCTATGATCCACTAAGACTCTTAGATCCTCTCACAAGTCCTGCCTCCAAAACAAGTTTGGCCAAGGCTAATCATTTCAGGTATTTTCCTTTAAACAGAGCTAAGGCATCTTCTTTCCAGTTTACACAGAAAGGCAACTCTGTACATCAAAGCTCGCACAAATACTAGCAGGACCTTTACTGCCTCCGCCTGCAGTTTGTCTTCCTCTTTCAGACACATTGGAAGAAGACTGGCAGCTCAATGGGAAAGGCTCTGATGCTGGGAAAGGTGGGAGCAAACAGAAAAGAATGACCATCAAGGAATGTGAAGGGACTCAGTTACAGCAGCAATGGATGCACCACTTATTAGAAGACCTGAAAGACCAGCAGGTTAGGGATAAACCTCTCCGGTGAAAACCCATCTATAGAATTGAATTTTTATTGGCCAAGTGTGATTGGACACATGAAGAATTTGTCTTGGTGCATACGCTCTTGGTGTACATAAAATAAAAGATACACTCATCAAGAATCATAAGGTACAACACTTAATGATAGTCATGGGGTACAAATAAGCAATCAGGAAACAATATCGGTATAAATTGTATATACTGCAACAAGGTTACAGTCATAAGTGGGAGGAGATGGGTGATTGTCCCAAAGAGGCTGTAGAGAGTCTCCAGTAGACTTTTTATCTATGGGGTTGCTCAAAGTCAACACCGATTTGATTGATCTATCAAGGCAGACTGTTAACGCTCCAAGATGATGAAAAGGACACAGGTATTGTCAGGTGTGCCTCCTTTCAATACCCAAGAAAAAAAAACCCTGACTCCATTTTCATAGAGAAAGGTACTTTTACTGAATATGAACTGAATGCATCCAAAGGAAAGCAAGGTCTGAGGCAAAAGGCACGAAAAGTACATATAGAAAGCATCCCCAATATCCTTACCCCCAACCGTCCAGCGAAATTTATCCAATCCACATTCCCCTCAGGGGTCATGTGGGGTGCAACATCCGATGGTGCCATCCTCCTGTTCTGCCACCATTGATTCATGCAGATTGAGTACTCTATTAAGTCTAGATAGGAACTCAAGTCAAAGAGACAAAACACAAACATGCATATCTGCATGCATACACAACACACACACACATACACACACACCACCAACAACAACAACAACAACAAACGAGCAGGGCTTTTGGAGCAGGAGTCTACAACCTTGGCAACTTTAAGCCTGGAGGACTTCAATTCCCAGAATTCCCCAGCCAGCTGATTCATGGTGATTGAGTACTCTATTAAGTCTAGATAGGAACTCAAGTCAAAGAGACAAAACACAAACATGCATATCTGCATGCATACACAACACACACACACACAACAACAACAACAACAACAACAAACGAGCAGGGTTTTTGGAGCAGCTGGCTGGGGAATTCTGGGAGTTGAAGTCCTCCAGGCTTAAAAGTTGCCAAGGTTGCAGACCCCTGTTTTAGAGAGCAGCTCACCTTTGCTAAGTTTCCCAGCCCCCCCCCCCCTTCCCCCCCCCGACTCGGCCCACCTGTTTCCCCCCTCTGCCGATCCGTGAGCCCAGCAGCCATCCCCCTCCGAGACCCCCGGGACCCTCTGCCCCGCTGGGGGTGAACGCCAGGCAGATCAGCTCCTCACCTGGGGCGAGGACAGGAGGCTCGGCGCCTTCCCTCCCTCTCTCCCTCCCTCGGAGGAGGAGGAGGAGTAGGAGGAGCAGAGGCGGCGTGGCAAGGAATAGGGGAAGCCGTCGGGGCGCCTCCCCTTCGCCGCCGGCCCCAGCAGCTCCTCCGAAGCCAGCCCGGCCCTATCGCTGGGCCAAGAGATCCGCGGCGGTTTTTTCGCCCTCCCGCCAGTAAGGGGCGCTGTGGGGATTCTCTCTCTCTCTCTCTCTCTCCTCGCTCAGGCCCGAGCTGGGTTCCGCAGCCCTCACCGCTGGTTCCCCCCCCACCCCACCCCACACACACACACACACACACACACACACACACACACACAGAGTCCCCGCCACCTCCTGAGAGAATACCATGGTGGTTCCTCTTTCCTCGGACTCACCCGTGTGGCCGTGACGGTGCGGAAAGCGGCGGCGGCGGCGCGCCTCGGGAAGCATCCTGACCTTTCTTCTCAACGGCGCCGCGACGACCGCTCGCTGATACGGCGGGCAGGGGGGGGGGCCGGTGGGCGCGAGCGCGAGCCAAAGCAACCGGCGAACCCAGAGGGGGCGTGGCTTGTAGGGAGGCCTGAGGAATTCTGGGGGTTGAAGTTTACCCGTTTTCAAAATGGCCAAGTTTGGGGGTGAAGTGGGGGGATGGTATGTGTGGAAACAAACACTGGGTCAGACTGACTCCACTGAGTCAACCCCGATGGTGGGAACTCTTTGCTAAGTGGTTAAATAATGATGGACCCTTTTTGTTTTTGTTTTGTGGAAAAGAAAACCAGGAGGAAAAATTATTCCAGTTATGGAATTTGCAACCTGTGAGGCGATTGCCTTTGGAATGCCCAGTGGGCTGAAAACAAAGACCTTAAAGTAGATATTATATAGGCAAATCGCAACTAATAGCTCTTTTTTTTTCAATTTTTTATTTATTTTTTTATTTTTTAAAATTTTTATACCGCCCCCTCTCCTGAAGGACTCGGGGCGATGAACAGCCAAAATTAAAAAACGTGCAATATAAACATTAAAATAGTATAAAACAAAATTAAATTTATCTTTGGCTTCCCTCAATTTAAAAACCCCTTACCCATAAAATTCACCAATTATTATTTTTTGTTTAACCCAGCCCGGCTTGCAGAAATAAAAAGGTCTTCAGGGCCTGGCGAAAGGTCCGGAGGTCCGGGATCAGTCGTATCCCTGGGGGTAACTTTTTAATTTTTAAACAAACAAAACATAAAAATCCATCTTCCTTAACAATTACAAACAGTGCGTTGGTGGGTTATAAATCCCTTGTGCTTCATCCCCATATTCATATTTTACTAATTATCTAATTTCACATATTATCAATCTAATATATATCTTTGTCTCATTATCTCCATTTGTCATTTATCTAACAATGGCGTTATCATTCCAAAAAAAATATATATTTTCACATATTATATTATAACATTCATTTTATATTTCATATTTCATTTCCATGTTTTAGTATCTAGCCATTGATAAAATAAAATCTTGATAAAATCTTGAGCTGATGTTGGCTTTCATAGGCATTGAGATCTTCTCAAGGGTTTAGGATTGATTTGGGTGTTTGGGTGGTCTTTGAGTGTTAAGTGAATTTTGTTGTATGGTATACTGTGTATATATGTACAATGAATTTCATTGTATACTGTGTATACACGTACAATGAATAAAGTTATTCATTAAACATGAAACTCAGTCAACTGAATATTCAAAAATGCATCACAAATACCATTGACTGGTGGTAACGCTTGATACGGGTTGCTGCCAGCGTCCTAGGAATCAATCAAGTATCTTCTTAAAATATACGAATTTCTGAGTAGTGCAGTTTTTTGCAGTTCTGCTGGTGTTATTGCAGGAAGCTGCAATTTGCTGGTGTATGTTATAAAATTCTTGGACACGGTACCAAGTGCCCCGATGACAATGGGTATCACTGTTACATGTTTCATCCATAGCCGTGTAGTTTCAATGGCCAGGTCGCAATATTCATGATTTTTTTCCAGTTCTTTTTCTTCGACTCTGGCGTCTCCTGGTACCACGATATCAATAAATTGTACGTTTCGGTTTTCGACAACTGATATCTGGCGTGTTGTGTTCCAAGTGACGATCCGTCTGTATTCGAAAGTTCCACAAGATCTTCACCTTCTCATTTTCTATAATAGTTATTATTATTATTGGTTAATCTTTAGTGAGATTCACAGCCTTTGAGGCTGGTTAATAGCTCAGCAGCTCGAGTCCTAACCAAGGACCTAGGACTGTTAAGGTATCGTCGGAGGATGTAAGCTGTTCCGAGTAAGGTGGTCTTTTGTAGAGTCAAAATGTTCAAGTCCGGCAAATTTAGAATTTCTAAATAGCGGGGTAGCCCTTTGGGTATTGCTCCAAGGGCTCCAATTACAATCGGGACAAATTATTATTATTATTATTATTATTATTATTATTATTATTATTATTATTCCAATTTATATGACTACCTCTCTTATGGAAGATGATTGAGACAATGTACAACGGTCCAGGATGTCATTATCCTGATGAGGCCGTTGGCCTAGTTACTTCATGTAGATTCAAGCATTGTGGCCTTTTGTAGTTAATGGATGGAAATTTTGTCAATATGCAATATCATTAGATTTTTTTTCATCCCACCTTTTTATATATAACTCAAAGCAATGAACATGCCTAATTCTCCTGCTTCCCATTTTCCCCACAGCAACAGCCTTCTGAGGTGGGTTGGACTGAGAGTTCATTCATACCTGGGCACATCTCCTTTTTGCATTGGGATCAACACAAGAATAAATTAGGGGTTTCTCAACTGGACACCCCACACACCTTTATGAAATGTCGCTCCCAAATCCATCTTACACCAATAGTTTCAATTCAGAACAAGAAAAATAATCCCTCAAACTTTGGGCTATAATTCAAAACCATTTGCGCTACCTTTCATGTTTTAGCTAGTTAGTTTTCACTGTATTTTATTGTTGGTAATAGTGGATCTTTAAAAAATGAAGTTGCACTAAGATGTATTGCTAGAGCAAATGACTTCTTTGGTGTCAAAATACAGATAATCCTTGATTTACAACCATTTGTTTAGTGACCATTCAAAATTACAATGGCACTGGAAAAAATAATTTATCTGGTTTTCATACTTATAACTGTTGCAGCATCCCCATGGTCACATGATCAAAACTTGAGCGTTTAGCAACTGACATGTATTTATGACAGTTGCGTTGTCCCAAGATCACAGGATCATCTTTTGCAACTTCCCTAGCCAGTTTCCAACAAGCAATTCACTTAATGACCGCACGATTCACTTAACCACTGCAGTTATTCAGTTAACAACTCTGGCAAGAAAGGTCGTAATATGGAACAAAAAGTATTAAAAACTGCCTTGCTTATCAGTGGAAATGTTGGCCTTAATTGTCATAAGTCTAGGACAAGCTATACTTCCGATTATAACCAGTAACTAGTGTGCAGAAAACGTGGCAGAGATGTCTTTTGTGGGAAAGGTTGAGGGTACACAAGCAAAATAATGGCCACACTTTCATAATTGTAGCTCCACTCCCTTTTTACCTGCAGTGCACACAGCTCACATGTCAAAAAAGGGTTGAGTTTTTATTGTGCTATCACAGACATCACGGTGAGTTTTTAATATTCCCTTCAAATATCTCTCCACTGCATACATGTGTAAAGTTCTTTTGGATTAATATATATCCTCGTCATTTAAAAAAAAGTGCCCAAAAGTCAAATATAGGACATCTTGTGATTGTACCAGCTTTGAAAATTGTTTTTGATCAATTTTAATCACATTTTCCACATGCGTTAACTGAGTTTGGCAAGAACCTTAATCTTGTTTAAAGGCCACCATTTCTCAGAAAAAATGTGGTTTTTAATACTCTTTTTTTCAGTTCCAAAGCACGTAAAATTCAAAATATACTGAGATTTAATATAAATCAAATGATTTCTCCGCATCCAATGCTGTCCTTCCCTCTATGATCACTCCCACTTAACCTTTAGCAGAGTTTCTAGGTAGGAAAACATTTCAAAGTTCCAGTTGTTTCTTATCAACCTGGCAAATGTAGTGAGAGGTCTACGGTAGTGAATGTTTATTTGCTAAAGCGCTAATAGCATCTGATATTATGATTTGAAAAGAAAAAGCAAGCCATGTCGCAACATATTATCCTTAATAACAACAGTATTTTCTCTGCTAAAAGTGACAATTCTAATGGTTGAACTTCTCCAAAACAGTGAATTTAAGACCAGATCTTCATGGAGGCAAATGTTGCATATCTAAAAGCAGAGCCAAACCTGAAAAATAGTGTTGTCAACTACAGGAAGTCCTTGACTTACAACAATAATAAAGTAAGTCATGATGGTTGTAAAAAGGATTTGTCACATGACTGACTCGATTTTACAAAAAAAAATTTGCAGCAATTAAATGAATGTCACAGTTGTTAAGTGAACCACTGTTCACTATGGATGTGGTTTTGTCAAAAATGGGAAGTGAATGTCAGGTTTTAGCAAAACTGCCATAAAGTGAGGTAATGTGGCCATTGGGGCACTGCAAACTGGCATAAATGCAACCTAGTTGTTGAGCACCTGAAGTTCACTCACATGACTGAGGGGACCCTTGGTGGTCAGAACTTTTAATCCAGATTGTAAATAGCCCCTTATAGGTCTGTCATAACTTTGTATGGTTGCCAAGTGAACAGTCATAGGGCTGATGACTACCTGTACCATCAGCCCAATTATATTACTGACATAAGAGTTTTCTGATCTTATTCCATTAAAATTAAGCCTTCTAGGCCCATGTATCTATTTTAATAACTTACTTTCTTTTACTTTAGTATGTATTTGATTTAAAGCTCAACTTTCTTCCAATGAGATAATGAAGACTTCCTTATAGTTTAGTCTTAAGATACCCTTTTGAGGTATGTCAATTGTCCAAGGTAAGTTGTTGCGTTTGGATTGGAACTCAGCCAAGTTCCAGCCAACCTTCTGCCCTCCCCACAAAAAACAAGGACAAAAAATAGATTAATTTTCAGGTTCGGCAAACACATAAGATTTCAGTCTGGACAATGCAAGAAGGCAGTTGAATATGAGATGGAATTATCTTTTCTTCTG